CGGGAGTGCCAGCACGGCACGGTCCAGCGCCGTCTGGCTCATGTTGCTACGCATATCGCAAGTCGATCGCAACGGACCACAAATATAACGTACAGCACTTGCAGGCCGCTCGGCAAAAACACGCTCTCGCGCAAACTCGGGTTGCCGATGATGGACCTACACAAGACGAGCTGAGAGAACGCCCTCGTGGCCATGCTGACGCACAGCTGCGTGGTGCGGGCGCGTGTGAGGGCGGCGGCATCGGTCGCAAGACCAAATTGCCGCAAGCCGTTGCCGCGAAACACGCTACAAGAGGCAAAGTGGTTAGGACGACAGCGTGGGCAAGGCGCGGACATGGTGTCGACGTTGGGTGGCAGCGAGTGCACGAGCTCGATTTGGTCCGTGACAACGGCGACGGCGCCAAAGGCGTAGCTCACGCTCTGCGCGCAGTGGCGGTCGAGGAGGCAGCAGTCAGTGCTGGTCGCGCATGCGGTGCACGTAAAGGTCGACTCGTACGCGGCGAAGCGGCAGGCCATCGTCTTGGCGCGGCCGTCGTCTCTGCGGCCGGACCAGACCCAATTGGACGGCAAAGTGACGCGCCTGATCCTGATAACGACCAAAAACACATGGCGATCAGCGCGGTTGTACGGTAAATTCGCAAAAACACAGTGCGAAACACGATGAGCTTTGCGGCTACGTTCACCTGCGGCGCGTTCTACTGCGGCGACGACCGCGCCTGCAGCATCTTGGATCGCAACTGCACTGTCGGGTCCCGGTACTTGCCTATTAGTACGTCGCTACTGGTCGTCCCGGAGCTCATCGCGCTCGTGCACACGTTGCCCACCATCGACCGCATGATGTCCTGTATGGGCCGTGGTCTCATGGGAGCGTAGAACGTTCCGCGGCAATGACCTTCGACTGTTGGGGCATGTGGGCGACCAAGACTAGCTCCAGCGGGCGACCGTACGCGCCTTGTACTGCATCGTGCTTCTTTGTCGGCGGTTCGATACGAGCCGCGTAGGGCAATCATCGACAACCCGAATCTCGGCCCCATGGTCTACCTTCCGACATCCCTCAAAGCGCTGTCGGTGTAGCTATAGCTTGTTGGACCATTGAACGACGATGGCATCCGTAGGACGCTCACAACCGTCGCAAGTCCTCGCAAGAACGATACATTACACGGCCACCCGAGTACGCTTGGCCACCGTCGCTTTCGAGCCTGTACGAGGTATGTACACCGTGCACTGTCGGCTAAGAATGACATGTAGGCGTGTGACCCGAACTTGGCTACCGATGGACGCGCCGCTTCCACCGAGTCTCGGCGTCTTGTAATACAACCTCTTCTATTTCAATAATGCTCAAGATGGACCAGCGACTTTACCGCCTGTGCCTGGACATCGGTCCCCGCCGCCTATCCATGGCCGACAAATCTCACAAATATGTACGTCTCTTCGGCGCCCATTTTCTCAAGCCGCCATCTCCGTGTACCGGTAGCCACCTGCGTGATAGCAACCTTGAAGGCTTCTCGAGTCGGCAGCGCTGGCCCCTGACCCTCCAGATCCTGTACAGATCTTCCTCTGGGCTAGAAGCCTACCTTCCGTAATGGCGCAGGGATGTCTCGCTCAACAAGATGGCAAGTCTCGATGGCCTTTCCGCACAGCTTGCAACACTGTACGTGGTCGTCTACGCGCCATCGTCGAGTTCCGATTGCATACGTCGAGCAACGTGAGCGGCAACCTCCTCTCCAGCGTCACGATTGGCACTTCGTACTGGGCCACAACCATGTATACCGATTCTTCCAAAAGGACCAAGCGAAGTGTTTATGGTCAATTATGAACTTTTCGAAGAATGCACTGCTACAGCATATCACGTGCACGAGTCCGCAGGCATCGGCCGCCTTCGAGACGCTGTAGAACTTGACTCCAACTACGTCGCATGAACAAGAGGCGTAGGAACGTCGAAGGCTGTCCCATCGCGCCCCCACGTCGACAGCGACTGCAGGAGTACCCACCTCTCGCGTGGTTGTGAGCTCTGTCTTTTGCCCGGTGCGTCCAACTTTTATGGCATCCGAGCTGCCAATGATGCCGATACGTCAGGCGCCTACTCGGAGAAGACGTGGCAAGTCATCGTGCTCGTCGAGTCCATCATGACCATCGTCTTTAGCTGCATTCTGCTCTTCGCTCACTGCTACCCGCGGTGTGCTCCGAAGCGTCTGCCCCCGCTCGTGCTGGACGAGCCGATGGACGACGGCGCCCGCCTCGTGCCGCTGCGCCGTTACCGCGTCGACGCCGCGAAACCTGCGCATCGATGAACTGCGCCCACGGCCTCGTCGCCTACGGCCAGTACAAGCGCCGACACATCGCTGTCAAGCGTGTGCGCGCCGATATCGCGTCACCCGAGGTCCTCGACGCCTTTGTGCAAGACGTTGCGCTCAACGCCATGTTCGTTTGCGTTTCAAGTGTGTTCTCATCGCTTGTATTGGCTAGCTTGCACAACCCGAACATCGTCGACTTTGTCGGCGTCTACTGGTCGCCCAAGGTCGGGCTCGCGTCGCTAGCGTGCCTCGTCGAGTACATGGCACGCGGTGACTTGCGCGCGTGCTTGATGGCACCACAGACACAGACGCGGACGCTCGGTGTTGCGCCCCACGCGCTGCATTATTATTTGCACAAGAATAGTGTCTCATATATTTCCATGTAAAACGAGTAGAGCTCGACTCGTCTGCGCTGCCGTACGAGCATGTCCGCAACGAGCGCGGCCAGCCATTGGGCAACATCTCGCTGCTCTTGAAGGTCGAACGATATTTCTAGCAATGGGGAGGGGTCGTAACCAGTGGTGTCGGTCATGGAAGGGACGATCGCACCGACGTTCGCACCCACGTGCTTCCCGTGGTTGCGTGAACTGCATGCAGCGCGCACGACCCGACCACTCGACCAACGGCCGCCGACATTCTCTTGGTGCTGGCGCGCCTCGCCCCGATCAAGGTCCCGTCCGAGCACCTCCACGGGGTCTATCGCCTGTAGCAATCGACGACGACTAGTGCCTTTGCTATCCTACTAGAAAAGTTTAGTCTACTACAGTCCTGGAACTGGAGAAGCGCGTGCATTTTGTAGCGACTCGGCAGCTGAAAAAATTGGTTGACGACCCTTGGTAGCCGTGTCTGCTTGGACAAAAGTGGCCTCATGGGTGGCGAGTACAGTACGTCGTTGATGGTTGCCCGGTAGCTTTGAAATCCGCGACGCGCTGTGGGAGTTGCGCGTGGACGTACAGCCTGGTTCGAACGCAGGAGGTCACTTGGACACTAGGTGCACCAAAATGAACACCACGTGGATTTGGTGTAGTCATCTTTTCCTGCGTGTGCACGGCCGCCTTGTCCAGGGCGGTGTCAGATATTCGACGGCCTTGGCAGTTGAAGCAATGAGGACGAGCGAGAATTGCTGCGGCGGCTGGTCTCTTGCGAACGCGCATGCTCGTCGCTACAGATCATTTGGCGTTGTCTGCCCGAATAGGCGCTGTGCAGCTCGTGGCGCGCGCGCAATCAACCTTCTGCGCGTGGGATCCGGGTCAAAAATACCGTCACGATCCCCAAAAACACGGTACATTTATCAGATACAACCGTCGCGGCCCGGCTACGGCGCATGTCGCAAATCTAAACGGCAATACGGTCGCCGAGTCGGCGGTGCCGACTGAAGGCGACACGGCGTGGGCGGCGCGTCTGCTTACGTAACTCAGCTAACAAGATAGCGTAGCAGTGGCGAGACGCCACTAATAATATGAGTGCCCTTGGAGACCACGAGCCGCTCGCTGCGTCCACGGGCCAGCATCTATCGCGTAATGGATCCCTTCAACAACTCAGATGCGCTTGAAGACGGTCGTGGCAACTCGTCAATTGACCTCGTGATGCCGTCTCTCCTCAGCAGCCTGCCGTGCATCTTCGTGGGCTTTGCATCGACGTTCAGTTGCGACCGCCGGTTTTGCCCGACCGAGTGCTGCATCGTCGACGACGCATGCCGGCTCCTGCAGACGTACGCGTCGCCGCCGACGGTCGTTAACGATCCGATCGAGCTTCTGCACTCGCTGCCGCGCGTCGCCAGTGTGTAGGGCATAGCGTTATGGTAGCCGCCGGTTTTGAGGTGTGCGACTTTAGGACCTTTCAAGGCAACGGTCTGCGCCAAATCGGCTTGGCCACCGACGCAACGGCGATGATGTCGAGCCAAACACCGTCCCTGTAGTAAATTCAACTCGGCCTTGGATCGCGTCTGACGCTTGACGCGTGGTGTAGGTGGGTGCGTGCGAACCCGCATGTGAACGGCACCGTGCTGCTGCCGGCGGCCATGACCCACGTGTACTACGTCCCTCTCACCACTTGGGTTCTCAGTCGTCGCAACAGATCGTTTACCGACTTGGTGGACAACCCGCTCCGGTCGTTTGCGTGGCCCGAGGCGCTGCGCTCTCTGTACTACATGTCTGTTGCTATGGGCGCCGGTTGACGGTGCGTGTAGGTCGATGGACGACGCAGCGTTCGCCCTTGACACGGCGCTGCCGGCCTCGCTCGAGAGCTTGTACGCGACGTCTATCTTATGGTGTCTTATTTTGTCCGTGTAGTTATTGCAGCAACTGCGGCTGGTCGCGCATCCCGCATTCGTACGAATGGCCCCGCGCTCTACAACATCTGTGCGCCGCGTGCTTTGAGATCCAACGAGCTCATTGCGTTGGTGTAGGACCCTCAGTCGCAATCGCATGCAGTCGTTCACGGCCAAGCACACGTGGCCATCGATGCTGCAGACACTGTAGCCTGAATGTCGTTCACCTATGAGGTGCTCATCGCCACGGTGCGCTAGGGACGTGTCGAACAACCTCATCGAGCTCTTCGAGGGCCTTCCTGTCGTCAAAACACTGTACGTACAAGCCATAGAAAACACGGCGTCGACTCGTACTGCTAGTAACATGCGTCAGAATCGTCTGCGCTCGATCCATCTCTCGGACCACATGTGGGCCGACGACTTGTACGCATATATATGTTGGACTATCGCACGAGTGAGCACTCATCCAAAGGACTAGGGACTTTTCAAGCAACCCATACCTCGAATCCATTCAATGCGCGCAGCTACCGCGCCCGTTTTCCTCTCTGTATGTGTTTTCTTCTGTCCATATATCGCATGGCATCGACCGTATGCGTCTATAGAAACTTGACCAACTCATCGTATGCGACGCTTTCGCTGGACAAAACTTGCGTCAAGGCTCTGGGATCGTCGCTCGACAAGTCAGCCGTTCAGGTCATCACTGTCCCCAAGAGCTACCTCGACAAGAAGCCACCGTGTCCTTTTGCGTGCTCAGTGTCGCTGACGGTCACGATCGACAATGGAACAGGCGTCATTGCCGTGTGCGACATGACAGGTTTGCGGATTCTCGCCTGCGACGCGATGAAGTTGCTGGATAGACGTCACGACAACGCAGCTCTGGATCGGTATCTACATCACCGAAGGCGTCCTTGTCATGGTTGGTGCCATCGTCCTCGTGCTTCGGGTCACTCGGTCGTTTTGCTTTGCGCTGACAAACACCCGAGCCCACGACGGTGTCGAGCTCGAACTTGGCCCGGCGCCGCTTTCGGACGATGAGATTCGCCGGCTTCTGCCGTTGGAGCCCTACCGACTGCGAACACCGCTGACGTTGTATCCCCGATCGATTCTGGGGCGAGGCGCGACCTCCGACGTCGTTCTTGGAGTCTACCAGTCGCAGTACGTGGCCGTGAAGCAGATTCGACGCGACCTTGTCTCGACCGAGATGGTCTGCGCCTTTGTCGACGAGATCCGCCTCATGGCTCGGTACATTATATGCTCGTCCATTCCGACTCGAAAACGTTGATTTTTGTAGGTTTTCGTGCCCACACCTCGTCAGCTTTGTCGGCGTCCAGTGGTCGACGTTCCTGCATCTGCAGTGCGTCGTCGAACACATGGTCCACGGAGATCTGCGCGCGTACTTGGAAACGCACCGTCTGCTGTCGATGCACTCGAAATGGCGCATGGCCCACGCGGTGGCGCAAGCGCTCGTGTACCTCCATGAACATTGCGTCGTGCACCGGGATTTGAAGTCGCGCAATGTGCTCCTCGGCGAAAACCTGCAGGCCAAGGTCGCCGACTTTGGTGTCGCGCGTCGCGTGGACGACGACGTCATGACGAGCGCCGTCGGAACGTTCCGCTGGACGGCGCCCGAGGTGCTTCAAGGCGCTCGCTACGACACGAAAGCGGACATGTACTCGTTTGGCATGGTACGTTGCATCACACGAGGCAGAAGCACGAGAAAGAGATTATGATGCAGGTGCTCACGGAGCTTGACTCGCACAAAGTTCCGTATGCAGACGTTCGCAATGGCCGTGGCCACGCCATGGGCAGCTTCACTCTTCTCTACCACGTACGTTTGAGCCACCATTACGTGAGAATTATAAGCATGTGTGCAGGTGATGCGAGGTGAGATGCAACCCTCGTTCTCTGCCTCGTGCCCCGAGTGGCTGCGGGACTTGGCCTTGCGCTGCGTGGCGGTCAACCCGGACACGCGCCCCACGGCGCGCGAGGTCGTCCAGGCTCTCGAAGACGCCAATGTCTTCACCATTTTGGACGACGACCACTCGGACACATCCAGCGAGAGCTCAGTCACGCACTAAAGCCAATCTTATTTACCATTTCTACCATGTCTGTTGGCGGAAAGATACGGTGGATCCTCGTGGTGCCACGTCATTTTTGGAGCATGACGTGGCGCCGTCGGAGAGAAGCTGTACTGCATACGGTAATTTGCCGTATCTTCGAATCCAGCCGTTGCGGCAGTGGATCTTTCTACAGTGACCGTTCGATGCCGTCGCTCAAGGTACTCGTCGTCGGCCCGAAGGAGGGCGGCAAGACCGCGGTACTTCCACCCGACAGACGGAGTACGCACTCTTGGGATGTGTTTAGATCGCCAACTTCCTGGCCGAGGGCACGGATCGACTGGGGAACCAGGAGCGGTACCAGCCCACGATTGGAGTCCGGTGCGTCTTCTATGCATCACGGAGTCGCTGATATCCGAGGATGTAGCATTCTTGAATGTGAGAAGAACCTCGGGCGCGGTCAAGTGAGCTTGGAGTTTTGGGACTGCTCGGGCGATCAAATGTAGCACACGTGAGAATCTGGCACAAGAATTTGACGCGACTCCGTAGCTACGAAGCGTGCTGGCCCGCCATACTGAAGGACGCGCACGCAACGCTGCTTGTGTACAACCCCGAGAGCCACGTGCACGAGAGCGAAGTGACCTTGTGGTATCCTCGGCCACGTCGAATCCACCACGCGAAGCCAATACCGACTGTAAGTATGAGTGGTTTGTGCAGAACGCGGGCCTGGATCCAAGCCAATGCCTCGTCTTCGCGCACTCGCCCAACAAGACGGGCGGGCGCGGCAAGGTGAACCTCCCGCCGACTCTTAAGACGGTGCAGACCAACTATGAGGCTGCGACCGTTCTCAAGTCGGAGTTTGACTCGTTCCTTCTCACTGTCCAGGACGCCGTGCAGCGGCAGCAGCGCAGCCGCAAATGAACGCACCCACTGGCACCCGATAATACAAAGCTCATTCGTTGTCTTGTAGTATGGTTTCTGTCCCGCCATCAAAACACTTGCAGCTCGCATGCAATGTGTCCTCGGAGACGAGGCAGACTATTGCAGCACGAGAACGGCGTGGACCGTTCTCTACGTTGGTCAATGTGGTCTACTGTGTGTTCACTTTAGAGTGAGTACACATCAATCTCATACTCTCTAACCCTCAAATGGATGCAAAAACTCAATTTCGCGAGCAGCGACGTTCCTCGCTTGAGGCCAAGGCCATCGCTCCAATTCGCACAATCTGATGTTTTTGTTTGGAGTATCATCGAGGTTTTATGGATTCATGGATTCTACACGTCCAGTGTCGTCGTTTCTGCTGGCATTATTGACTAAACTTCTAATATAGCTCTACTACACTGTGTAGTACATGTTTAGCTTCGGTATTCTTCGAATCGAGACCGAGGCCTTTGACGAGCTGTCGTGCTTGCTAGCCCAAGCCCTCGGACAACTCGACCACGCAACGCTAGAGTACATAATGGAATGCATGGAGTATGAAATGCTAGTCAAACAGAAATCCTGCATCGTATGCGGCGCAAGACGCGACGCTTACACGAGCGGGCGCTGCTGGTACATGGGCGTCTTGAACTCGGTGTGCGCGGCTCTGGCTTTGGTCGGGCTGAGCCGGAAGGGCTGTCTTGGCGGCCGCCGGGATTCGGTCGCGTGCTCACTCTTGCGGGCGCGACCTAGTCGATGCGCAGCGAACGCGATGAGCGCCATAACGGCGACCGCCGCTGCCACAATGAGCGCGATCGCAGTGGTGCTCATGGTACGGCCGCTGGCGGCGCCGGCATCTTGTTCGTGGACAACGACGACGCCGTTGGCAAACTCGGTGGTTTGGACGGCACCGACGCTGGTGACGCTATGTAGCGCTGCCGAGGCTTGCAGCGACGTCAGCAGCGGGGCATCAGTGCTGTTGGTAGCAATTAGCGTGTAGAGATCGCTGTTGTGATCGCCCATGGCGGCCAATTGCAGCTCGAGGCCTGCGGTCTGCGGTGACTCGCTCGAGAGACCAAGAAGCACGACCGACGCATTCCAGTGAGAGCTCAAAGTCGTTGTGAGCGCTGTGAGCTGGTAGGCACTCATATACGCCAAGGCATACCCACCGAGGTGGAGCTTGACGTCAACGTAGTTGAGCCACGTGTTGGGCGACCGACACTGGTCCGCGCCACCCGCACTCGTTTGCCCCGGGGCACAAGGCTCGCAAGACGAGGACGCGCCGCCGGCGCATTGCGTATTGGCGTCGCACGCGCACGGAATGCATTTCGTCGACCCGCCGTTCGAGAAGAACCCCGGGGCACACAAGGTACAGTTGGCATTGGACGCCGACGCCGGCGGTGTCGAGTCGCCCACTTCGCACGCGGCCGCCGTGCACTGCGTAGCGCCGCCGACAGAGACAAGGCCCGCGGCACACGGAAAGCACTGTCCGTCGACCACGTCAGCGCCCTACAAAAACAGCATGCGTGAGAGCCCTAATGCAGGCGTCAATGTCTACCGTGGGCGAGCTGTAGCCGGGGGCACATGCCGTCTTGGCGCAGAGCGTGGCACCGCCGGGCGAGAAATAGCCGGCTTCGCACACGCCACAGGTGGAGTCTGGATCTACCGCACCCTCTTGGGTCGCGCCGGTGCCCCGGGGGCAGGTCATGGGCGCGCAGTCGTACCCGGCGCCAGGCGAGAAGTACCCCTTCTTGCACTCGTAGCACTGCTCGGACGGGGACGACGCACCGGGTGGGGACCCGTACCCCGGGTTGCACGCGGTCACTGCACACGTGGTATTGCCACCGACGCCGTACGTGCCAGCGATACACTTGGTGCAGGAGCCATTGACCGAGGCGGCGCCAATTTGAGAAGCAAACCCCGGGGCACACGTCGTTGGACCCACGCAAGGGCTCGTGCCTCCCACGGAATAGCTCCCGGCAGCGCACGACGTGCAGTTGGCGACCGAGTCTGAGGCGCCAGAAGGCGATGACGTTCCTGGTGGGCACTGCGTCGGGCGACATGCGGTTGAACCACCGACGCTGTACGTGCCCTGTGGACATGCGCTGCACTGGAGCACGGGGTCTGTCGCGTTCGCGGCCGATGCCGTGCCCGGGGCACACGTTGTCGGTAGCGCCGGCGCTGCGCCACCGGAGCAAAAGTAACCTGGGGGGCACAGGGTGCAGTTGCCAACGGCGTCGGTTGCGCCCGCGGCGGCCCAGCTTCCGGGCGCACACGACGTCGGCATGCATTGGCGCGATCCACCCACGCTGTAAGTTCCGTTGCCGCACAACGAGCACGTCGCGTCGATGTCCGAGGCGCCCGTCGTGTTGGACGCTGATCCTGGCTCGCAGCGCATATCGGTGCAAGCACCCGTCGAGCCGTTGCTGTAGAGGCCAGGTTCGCACGCAACACATTGATCGGTGGCGGTCGTCGCGCCTACATCCGAATCAATTCCACCTCCTAACTACAAGGACGGTAGATGTACCCGGTGACGCAGCCGTGCCTGGCGCGCAACTGCACGGCGCGCAGTCGGCAGATCCTCCGGCACTAAACCAGCCAGCGCGACACGTACTGCATTGCGCGACGGGATCCGAGGCGGCGGCTGGCGCCGCTTGGCCGGGAGCACACGTTGTCGGCAGGCACACACTGCTGTTGCCGCGGCCAAACGTGCCTTGGGGGCACACCTTGCAGTCGGTCACACCATCAGTGGCACCAATCGGCAGTGCCGAGCCGGGTAGACAGAGCCCAGAAGCGCATTGGTGGCCACCGCCCGCGCTGAAGAAGCCGTGCGCACACGCTTCGCACATGCCTTGGGAGAGGTGCGCGCCGGCAACCGACGACGCGGTCCCTGGTGGGCACGATGTCGGCATGCATGGGTGGTTGAAGCCGATGCTAAACGTTCCTGGTGCACAGATCGAGCAGTTGGCAATGACGTCCGACGCGCCGAGAAGTGCACCCGAGCCTTGGGGACACGCCGTTGGCTTGCAATGCGCCTCACCGCCGCGTGAGTACGTCCCAAGCGGGCACAGCTCGCACTGTGACGTCGGCGACGTCGCGCCTTCGGGTGCAAACGTACCGGGAGTGCAAGCCGCCGGGGTGCACACGCCGGCCCCGCCAGTGGAGTAGGTGCCGATGGGGCACCCCGTGCATTCCGTTGCGGACGCCGCCTTGTCATCAGCTGCCCAGCCAGGAAGGCACGTGGCAGGTTGGCAGCGTGTATCGCCTAGCCGCCGCTCACGTCATCACCCTAAATTGTATCGAAAAGGGTACCAGCGGCAGCGTAGAAGCCCCGTTTACAAGCCACACAGGCTGCGGCTCCACCCTGCGAGATGTGGCCGTCCGGACACGTGACGCACTGATCGCTGGCCGTCGCGTTGGCAACGCCGGTGGTGCCAGGCGCACACGTCATATCGCTGCATTGCGATGCATTGCCCGTCGAAAACTGCCCGAGCGCACAGGCTGTACACGTGGCCGTTGGGTCGGAGGCTTTCACAATGGACGACGCGGTGGCCGGTGCGCAGGCCATGGCCGAGCACGACATACTTGCACCGAGACTGTACATGCCAGCGCCGCATGCCAAACAGTCGGTTGGGTCGTTGGAGCCAGCGACCATGCCAAACCTACGCAACACAACGTTGACGCTAGAGGCGAGACGGCGTCGCGACGCACCCTGGCGGGCACGTGGCCGGGTTGCAGATGGACTGTCCGCCGCTGCTAAAGTAGCCGGATGGACACACGGCGCAGTCGGTGGCGTTGACCGCACCAGCGAGCGCCGCGAACCCCGGTGCACACTGCACTGGCTCGCACGTCGCGTTGCCACCCGCACCGTAGAGGCCTTGAATGCATTGGACGCAGCTCGACGTGGTCGTGTCGACGCCGTAGCCAGCGTCGCACGAGAGGGCCACCGACGCCAGCGCGCCGTAGTGGCTCAACGCCGCAACGTACACGAGCAGCCGCATATTCGATCAAGTGTTCAAATGCGAGGATGGAAGTAGAAGAAGAACAAGATGCGGGCGTATCTTGAGGGCGTTTCGGCTCGCAGCCAATCCCAATGCGCGTAGAACAACATGGCCGTGGCCGTGACGTGGCACGCTGTCGGGTCGTCTTTTGGATCCACCACGAATGATTGGAAGGTCTGTACAAGTGGCCGTAATTTCACGCTCGTAGTTATACGTGACCATCGAGTCTTCAATGAGTTTATCGTGATCTGCTAAAACTTACTACTAGTCGGACCACGACCAGAGGCGCCGCCACGCCGATTGGGCGCGGCGCCAGGTGTTGCCACAGTCCTCGAACGAATCGAGGAGCCGAAGCAGGTGCACATGTACGACGTTGGTTGGCACGGCGCGATGCACCGCCGCCTCGTCGTCGATGGGAAGGCTACGACGATCTCTGGCGTGGTGCTTGAGCACGACCAGCGACTTGGTTGCCTTGTCTTTGCAGAGGAGGACACGCCCGTGCTTGTCGAGCGTCCTCTGGACAACGTACTGCTTCATAAGGCGCGACTTGGTATCTGTGCTTTGACGCATTCAACATAGTACTCGGTGTCGGTGAGATTTGGGGCGACGGCAGAGTGATGGTCGTCGACGACGTAGCGTCATACTGCATGGGCCAAAAGACTGCTGTCCGAGTGATCCTGGACAGGATGTAGTGTCATCATCCAGTGTCCCGTCGCTGGATTCTTGATGAAGCTTCCTCTCTGCGTGCCTGTACCGGTATGCCAAAATCAATCTCATTTTCGAGATGGCTCTCAATTCCCTCGACGGGGTTGAGTTTTGAGTCGACCCGACACGCGACCAAGAGTGGGTGAAATAGGACGATTAGGTTAAGATGATAGTTATTACTACGGACGCTCTTCCTTCTTGTGGAGCGTCGACGACGATGGCGGCGCCTCGAGCGAGTCTTGCGACTTGAGCTGGCGACTGCTGTTGGAACAAATCGAGTCGGTCGACGTCGGGTCAAACCCTTGCTCGAGCAGCTCGCGGCGCTTCTCTTCCGAGCGCTTGCCGCGGATCTTCTTGACAATGGCTTGCGCATCGCCCTCCTTGAGCGAGTCGAGGCCCTTCCGCTGCTGCTTGGACGACGCGAGCGCCTCCATGCGCTTGCGCGTCTCTGCTTCGCGTCGCACGCGCTTCTCTTCGGCGATGCGCTTGCGCTCGTTGTCGCGGTCGGCGGCCGCCAGCATTTGCCCAAAGCTGACAAAGATCGAGAAAAACGAGTCGGGGCCGCACCCGGCTGCCTCGGGGTCTTCGCCAAACCACTGGACGCACTCGTTGAACGTCGTCATCATGGCTTCAAACTCCTCCACAACCTTGGCCGACGTCGCGACCGACTTTTCGGCAAACTAGACAACACAAGATAAGACAACTTGTCCATCATCCGATCGACACCAGGTGGACGTACCGGCGCAATGGCGTCTTGAAACTTGTCATTTTCGGCAATCGACGGCAGCTTGGCATGCAGTTCGAGCTCCGAGACGACCGTTGACGAAGCCTTCTTAATCGCGGCCTCGCCCGCCTTGAGCACTTGGAGCGTCACGCGGCTCGCTTCGTTGAGCGCCTCGAGCTGGTCCGTAAACGTGAGCCACTCCGGATTCTTCTTCCGGAGCACGATCGCGAGGTAGTTGAGGAGCGTCATCGAGTTGTCGGCCGCTTTGACTTGAACGAGCTTGAGGAGGATGCTCAGCTTGAAGCCCTGCGCGCCACCTGCAAAAAAACGTCTACAAAATGGTTTCCACAACGCGCCACGTACCGCGCGGGGTGCCTTCGTTGAGCGTGTTGCCGAGGGCGAGGACGAGCTTGAGGATCTCGGGAATCGCCTCGTTGGCCTTGAGCGCAGCGCACGTCGCGTTGACGCTCTCAATCAGCCGCCGTTGCTCCTAGGCACACACATATGTATATATATGCATCGACTTGAAGGGTACCTCGACGTTGGCGTCAAACTGCCACGTCGCGAGCACGGCCTGGAGCCGCGTCGCGTACCGGGGCACGGTCGAAATCTCCAAATAGTACTGCTCCGCGTCGCCCAAGAGCTTGACTTCCCCGGTATACGCCTTGACCGTCTCGAGCTCTTCGCCTTCGGGCGCAAACTGGATGAGCGCCGCAATCTTCTCGGTCGTGAGCACGTCGCGGTCGATCTCGAGCACGGCGCGCTTGATCTCGGGGTACGGCAGCCGGAAGCGGGCGAGCATAATGCCTGCACACGTTCAATATACCATAGCAGTCGTCTCTGTGTCTACCGAGATTGTTGGCGCGCTTGGCGTCAATGAGGGCGACGCGCGTCGCGACCTTCTTCTTGGCGGCCGGCTTTTTCTTTTCCTTGTCGGCCGCCGGCGGCGCCGAGGCGAAGAGCGTTGTGAGCGAGTCGAGCTCCTTCTGGTGCTCGTCCGAGAGTCTACGCCATACGCATTGAGACAACAGAGAACAAAGAATCAGTAGTACTCGATCTTGGACCAGAGCGACGTCTCAGTGGGCGCGGCCACGGGCTCCCAGTACAAGTTGCGGAGCTTGGGCTTGGCCTTGACTTTGGCTACAAACTTGGCCACGTTGACGGCCACGTTGGTGCTGAGCGGCTTGGCCGCCGGCACGACAGCATCGGGCGTCGCCAAGAGAGCCGGGTTGAGGCCCTCGGCTTGCATCTTGAGCTCGATTTGCGGCAACGGCATGCCCATGGTTTTGAGCTTGAGGTACTTGGCGTAGTCTGGGTGGTCCTTGACGAGAACGTCTGCGGGCGGCGCCGGGGCCTCCTCTTCCTTCTCCGGAATCATCTTGTCGGGCGTCGACAGCAAGGACGTGTCGAGGTTCTCAGCTTTCATCTTGAGCTCGATCTGCGGCGGCGGCATGCCCATCTTCTGGAGCTTGAAAAACTTGGCGTACTTGGGATGGTCCTTGACCGCCAGCATCACCGGCTGCGCGGGCGCAGCACGCGCTTCTTCGTCCTTCTCAGGAATCATCTTGTCGGGCGTCGAGAGCAAGGTCACGTCGCAGCCTTCCGCCTTCATCTTGAGCTCAATTTGCGGCGGGGGCATGCCCATCTTCTGGAGCTTGAAGAACTTGGCATACTTGGGGTGATCCTTGGCCGCCAGCATGACTGGGCCTGCCGGCGCAGGCGCCTCTTCTTCCTTCTCCGGGATCATCTTGTCGGGCGTCGACAGCAGCGAGGTATCATGGCCCTCGGCTTGCATCTTGAGCTCGACCTGCATAGCTGGCATGCCCATCTTCATGAGCTTGAAGAACTTGGCATACTTGGGATGGTCCTTGACGGCAACCAGGACCGGGCCTGCCTGTGCAGGCGGCGCCACAGTGCTATTTGGGTCGGGCACGAGCTTCTCTGGGTCACCGAGGATGCTCGGATCGACGCCTTCCGACTGCATCTTGAGCTCGACCTGCATCGCCGGCATGCCCATCTTGAGTAGCTTGAAGAACTTGGCGTACTTGGGGTGCTCCTTGATCGGCACCATGGCCGGTCCCGCAGGTGCTGCCGGTGGCGTGTCAATGGGCAACAGCTTGTCCGGGGTGTCGAGCATCGACGCGTCGACGCCTTCGCTGGAAGCCTTGAGCTTGACGTGCTCGAGCGGCATGCCCATCTTGAGCAGCTTGAAAAACTTGGCGTACGTCACGTGCTCGCTGGCCTTGACCGTCGTCGGCGCCGTCGTCGTCGTCGTCGTCGTGGCTGGCGGCAATGGCTTGCCGTCGTCGTCGACAAACATGCCCGGCTGCTCGAGGACGCTCGCGTCCAAACCGTCGGCTTGCATCTTCATCTGAACTTGGAAGAGTGGCATGCCCATCTTCTGGAGCTTGAAGTACTTTGAAGCGCAGGCGACGCGTCCGCGCGGGTACCGGCGACCGGCGCCAGCACTTGGAGACCCGTGCTGAGACCCATCTCGCGCTGGATCTCGACCAACGATACGCCCTTTTGCAGCATCGACACGACCTTGGCCCGGAACGCGCTCTCGGCGCTCTCTCCCGGGTCCGCGATCGAGTTGTTGTCATCGTCGTCGTCGTCGTCCGACGTCGTGAGCTCGTCGCTGAGCTCGTCGTGTGGCGCGCGGTTGCGAAGAAGCTCGATGGGGCCCATGGAAAAGCCGCCGGCCGAGAGCTCTGGCGCAGTCTCCATGAGGAACGCTGTAAACGTGTCGCGGGCGCTCAGGAGCCGCTTCCGGTCCTCAAAGCTAAGCTCGTACCGGCGCACTTCGTCGACAGGCGACAAAAGCGCAATCTCCTTGGTGACGCGCTCGCACATGGACCACATCTCTTTTCCAAGCACTTGGTCGGCCGGGATGAAGAGCAGCTGCTGGAGGATCGAGAGAAAGCAGTTGCGCAGCTCCTCGTCAAGCACCACGCGCGTCATGATGGACGACACGACGCTGTCGAGCGACGAGAGGTCCGTCGTGCCGTACAGAGTCGTCTTCCGGTCGTCCTCCATAAAGACTTCAAACACTTCCATCTGCCGCTCCATGTTGTCCAGCTGCTCGCGAATCTGGAGTTCGGTCGCCGTGAGCGCACTCGGATCGTCCTCGTCGCTCTCGGAACCGCTGGCGTCGTCCAAGCTGAAGGACGGCGACTCGGCCCACGGGTCATTCACGGGCTCGTTCGTGTGGACGGGCGACTCGACAGACACAAGCGGCTCGGGCAGCGCGGCCTTCTTGCCCGCCACGCCAATCTTAACGGTCGGTGGGAGCCCCGTTGACGTCTGGCGCAAGGCCGGCGACGGCGGCGGGAGGCTCAGCGAGGGCCGGCGCAGGCCCGGTGACGGCAGGACCGACGACCGTCCGGGCGACGGCAGGCCTTGCGAGAACTGCCGCCCCATGGCCGGTGGCGGCGGCGGCGTCGACGGTTTGGCGACCGGGGACATGGGTGGGGTCGATGACTTTGGCTTTTTCTTCTTGGCCTTCTTGACCGGGTCCTTGCTCGTGCCGGCCTTGGCGTACATGGCCATGCTCTTCATGCGAATCTCCTCAAAGTACTCGCTGATGCCGAGCGCGACAAAGTCTTGTCGGATCTCAATGCGGCTCTCGACGCGGAGACCCTTGTTGACGAGGATGTTGATGAAGCTGAGCACGTCTTCCTTGAAGAGGAGGTTGTAGCGCGTCGACTTGAGCGCGTCGCGAAGGCACGTGAACCGGATCATCTCGCCTTTCACCTCCTTGTAGTTGCTAAAGCTGTGGACGACGCTTTGGTGGCCTTCCGCGCTGTTGTAGCAAATGATGCCGAGCACTTGGAGCGTAATCTTCTTGACGTCGCTGCTCTCGGTATGGAAGCAGAGCGCGAGGCGGTCGACGAGCCCAAGCGTGCTCGTGATCGCGTCAATGCCGCTGGCAAAGTGCGAGAGCGAGAGCAGGATGCGAATGATGTTTTCGCAAAACCGGCTCGCCTTCTCAAACTACCCACAATACAGACGACACATGACCATCGTGTCCACAAAAAAATGAAGAAAAATATCACGTACGCTCTTGTAGTGGTGCTCGATCGAGAACGGCGATGGCTCGGGCATCTTCATCGTGAGGTAGTCGAGGCCATACGACACGACAAACTGGTCGGTCCACTCGGCCGTGCTCGACGCGATCTTGCGGTGCAGCGTCTCGAGGAGCGCGAGCCCTTTGTTGTCCCAATGGAGCTCGACAAGCGCCTCGGCAATCTTGATCGCGTCGGCAATGTAGCCCTGGCTGCTCTCGTCGTTCTCGTGCTGCTTGGCCGACCAGACGATGCTCCACTTGTTCTCCAAGCTCTCGATGCGCACGAGCTCGTCGAGGACGTCCTCGGGCACGTTGCGCTTCATGAGAAGCTCGCGGTACATGTCGTTGACAATGTCGGACGCCGGTAACGGCGGCATGTCGACCTTCTTGGCCTTGTTCTCGGTCGACGTCGGCAACCGATCTTTAAAGAAGCCGCGAAAGTAGTTGAGCTTGTCTTGGAACGACCCGTCCTGGGCCGAGGCCGATGTGATGGTCGGGGGCGGCGGCGCCGTCGTCATCGCATGCGCAGTTGACGACGACAAACCCGGGAGGCTCATGCTCGCGGCGCGAAGGAAGCCCGAAAAGCCCTTTGGTTTCGCGGGCTCGGCGTCTGCCACTTCGGGTTCGCGCTTAAACTCGAGCCGCAATGGCCACGCCATCGGGTTGTCCTGCAGCTGCGCGGCCAAGTCGACGATCGCATCGAACGGCATGTCGTCGACCTTGGTATCGTGGAGCTGTACAAGAATGTCCTTCTCCTTGACCCGCCCCGTGCTCTATTATGGACATGAGGACACAAGCGGGCGAAGGGAAGCGAATGGCCTACCTCGATGTAGCCCTTCTTGCCATGGCGGTTGGGTTTGAAGCCTTTGACGACGGCGCCGCGCTGCGGGTGGACGTTAGCAGAGAAGCGCGCCTTGAGGTCGAGCCCGAGCGGCCCGCGCTCGGGCACCTCGACCGTGAAGACGAGCGCGCGCTGGCCCGAGCCCGTGCTCGAGTAGATGCTGCGCAAGGCCGCGGTCGCCGCCGTCGACCCGCCCTCGGCGTTCCCACTGCTCGAGTTGGATCTCCTCCTACGCCATGATCATCATCCTCCTCCTCATCCTCGATGCATGGACGTACAGATAGTTCATGACGCGGTCCCTGCGGCGTGCCCCGCCGGAACGAAAGTCAATGACGTATCCAGGCCGCCCAGACGCTCCCAGTTGTGTTTCAAACACAGCCCTGTACTTCTACTTGTGTTTTGTATGCTGAAAACAACAGATATGTATAAAACAGTGCGAAGTTGTGAACCACATACTTGACTTTTGTATACGTTCGAAAACGGTCGGTTCTGTGCCGATTTGGGCACGCAACCAGATCATTGCTGGCCTCGTGACCGCGCCAGGAGATGGTCAGCGGGCAGCCGCGCTTCACCCACATGTGCGTTGAGGGACGTAATTCACGGAGGCGCCGACCACCTTGAAGATGGGCTGTATTTCAATCGCCAGAGGTTCTAGAACCCGCCTTTCTTCAGATCGCCTCGATCGAACGCTGCCGAGATGGAGCCGTTGGAGTACGTACTCGTAGTAGCCAAAGCTGTGTTGGCCTATCAGGCCCTTGTCGAGCCAAGGCCGGGGACTAATAGGTCGGGGAGGTGGCCGCTCGGTGCAAAGTGGCCGGTGCGGCAACTTGAGCTGTTGTATTTTGGCCAATCCACGCGCTTTCTTCCAACAACACGGAAAGTGATTGGTGCATGCGAAAGATTTGCCTGCGGGATCGGCGAGCAAGCGTTCGGGTACCTACGCTTGCGCTACCGTATTATTAATACGATAGCTCAGCTTGAACATGGCGCTTCAGACGTATACATGTACGTACATGGTCTTTGTAATGTACTACACGATGGAGAGGATATGACATTGAGGTCCCAAGGCGAGGTTGGACGGCGATGCGTCGATACAACCAACGTGTTTCGATGCACCTTGTCGACGCGGCCCGTTTGTCGACGCAGCTGAGCAACGCAGCTGAACGACGCTCAGTCGTGTGCGCCATCAGCCACATGCAAGTTGAACCTTCCACGTGGCACTGTGGGCAAGCACGAGGACGGACACGTGGCAGCGTCAGCGGGCAGCACGATTCGAATCCGCGTTTGGTTCCGAAAGGCGTCCACCCTCCGCGCAAGGCCACCGCCTTAGTACCGAACCCTCTAGACGCAGGGTGAGGCCGGCGATGTATCATGCACAGTGCTGTTTACCGGGAGCGTCTCGTGGGATTATGTACATCTGTGCCTTCCATAATCGGTGGTCCCCGTAGTTGGGTGATGCTGATCGTCGTCGCCCCGCCAACGATCGTCGGATCCTGCGCCTTCGTGGCCGACGAAGATCCAAAAGCAATATGGATACCACTGTATTCCTTGTGTGGTTAATAAATACTCGAGCGCGGTGGCCGCTTCTTGGCCGCTTGATTGGACGACTCGGACCGGCGCCAATCTCGAGGCGTCGTCCAAAGCGCTTTGAAGAACCGACCAACGTGGTCGGTGATCTCAACGAACCGGAGGCCGTCGCGCACGTATGGGTGCTTCATGACTGCCTTCATCGCGGGGCGGCGCTTGGGGTCGGTATCGAGCAGCTTCTTGAGGAGGTGGAGGCAGTCTTTGTTCACGAGGTGGTCGAGCTTCCAGCCGCGGAGGACGCCGGCGAGGCCATGCGCCTGCACGTAGCGGAAGACGCTGTCGCTGTCGTCGGCGCGTCCAAAGAGCGGGCAGCCCGTGAGCATGATGAAGAGCATGATGCCGAGTGCCCACACGTCGGCTTTCTCGGGCGCGTAGCCGCCCGGCGAGAGCATCTCGGGCGCCATGTAGATGCGCTTCCCGACCGGCGTCTGCTTGCGCGCGGCCGTCGGCGCCGCGAGGCCAAAGTCGCCGACCTTGCAGTTGAAGGCTGCATCGACAAAGACGTTCTCGAGCGAGAGGTCGCAGTGCGCGAAGCCGCGTTCGTGCATAAAGGCCACGGCGGTCGCGACTTGGATGAAGCAGTCGTGCGCGCGCGTGGGCTCGAAGCGGTGCGACGGCTGGCGCTGGAGCTCCTGGAAGAGCTCGCCGCGCGGACAATACTCCATGACAAAATGCTCAAAGCCGTCGGCGCAAAAGGTCTCGTGGAGCGCGACAATGTGGTCGTGGGCGAGGAGTCCGTGCACGTGCTTCTCCATGGTCGCGTCCTCGGCGACGAGGCGCCCGTCGTCGACCGACCGGCGCTCGGCGGCCGCGCGCAGGTCGAGCCGCTTGACAACGACCCGCTGCGTGCTGTCGCGACAAAGAAGCACGCGGCCATACAAGGCATGCGCGAGCTCGCGCTCAACGAGGTAGTTCTTCATGCGTACACACGGGACAGCGAATCACCAACTGGCAACTGCGCGAGAGTGAGTGCTCACATGCGACGGTGGCACTTGAAGCTGACCCGACCACTCGCGTCCGCGATGCGACCAGCAATGGCTTCGAGACAGTACACAACGATTACGACGCAGAAGCCAGTGTGGGACGCTCGTGTGGGAAGCTTCGCGTTCCGTCTCCTCCGCGAGGTCTCCAAGCGCAACCCAAGTAGCTCGGCCCACGTGCCAACCTCCAGCCAACCTCATCAACAACGACGCCTGTAACACGAAATTTTGCGAAAAGTACCGTACGTAACTCGAGCTTGAACAGATTTGCAGCAGCGGCTGGACGAGCCGCGTTCCAAGCCGGTCACGTAGCGTAGAGAAGGTCAAGAGCGACGATGACCTAATACAAAAGATACCGTCGTCTTCGTCCCCGCGTCCTTATAGACAGGTCGCCGCCCACTTGTTGAAGAGTACTGCCCTCGCGCTGCCACGTCGCCAGAGGCGTGTCGGCTTTTTACCTTGTGCGTCACGAGTCGCCCCTGCATCGACGTCACCTCTGTGCATGCGCGTCATTCTTACCGGTACAATAGTAATGTAATACCAACTGCGACAGACGATAAGTGTATGTATACAATAATGTGTTCAATAATGTGTTTCATGTCGAGGACATCGACACTCTCGCGCGTCGAGGCCGTCAACAGCCGCCGATTCTCGGATCGCCATGGCGTTTAGGCGCCACGCCGGCGAAAGAGACTCGCAAAGAGCCGGCGGACATGCGGAAAGCGCTGTGAACTCGCCGCTGTCGCGACGTAAGGGTGCGCCACGACCGCGGCCATGGTCGGGCGCCGCGCCGGGTCCACCGAGAGCATTTGCGAGAGGAGGTCGAGGAGGTCCGGTGCGAAAACGTCGGCGACGTTCCAGCCGTCAAGAATGCGCTCCAGACACTGCGCGTGCACGTAGAAGCGGTAGACACCGTCAGTGGTCGTCGCCTTTTGAAAAGTGGCGACCCCGTGAGCATGACGAAGACCATGATACCGAGCGCCCACACGTCGGCCTTCTCGGGGTTATACCCTTGAGTCGCAAACATCTCTGGTGCCATATAGAAGTACTTGCCGGCGGTCGCGACGCGCGGCTCATGCAGGAGTGCCGCGAGGCCAAAGTCGCCGAGCTTGCACTGCCCGTGTGCATCGAGGAAGACGTTTTCGAGCGAGAGGTCGCCGTGTGCGTAGCCGCGCGCGTGCATGTAGGCGACGGCGCGCGCAATTTGGCCAAAGAACAGGTGCGCCTCCTTCGGCGGCAACCGGTGCGATTTCTGCACGCGCAAGAAGAGATCGCCGCGTGGGCAGTACTCCATGACCAAGTGGTCGAAGCCGCCGACAGTAAAGGTTTCGTGGAGTGCCACAAGGTGTTCGTGGCCGCGCGAGAGCTCGAGGTGCACCCGCTTCTCGAAAGCAAAGTGTTCAGTCACGGCGCGCTGTGCGTCCCAGGACCGACGCGCGTTGGCCGCAGCCACTTGGACACGCTTGACGACGACGCGGCGCTTGGCTCGGCGGTCGTAGCAGAGGAGGATCTTGCCAAAGATGGCGTTGGCGAGCTCGCGCTCGACCGTATACTGCGTGTGCTCCATGTGCAATGTCATGAAAAAAAATCTGAAGAAAGGCGCGTGAGCCAAACAAAGAGGAATGCTGGTCGCGAGTGATGGGCTTTAAGGTGGACATGGTGTGTCGCTGCGCGTAGGATCATCCTGGACAGCGCCATCGATAGAATCAACGGCAGCGAAGCTCTCGTGGTGGGGATGGTCGTTGGACATACTGTTGCTCGCGAAGAAGAGAGGCGAGAATGCACGGGCGACGAAGACGATGATCGAAGATCGACTATCGACTTCAAGCCGTGAGATGGCTATTACGACCTTGCGAGCGAGAGTCCCACAAACGGCCATGACTCGTCAAATGACTGCTCGTCGGTCGAATCACCGCTGGAGCGTCAAAGGGTGGCAAGCGCTCGTATGCATTCTACTGCGATCCACTTGGCAATCCTCGATCGCATTCGACTTAACGTACAGTATTTACATGATCATATGTATATAGTGTTCACCTAGAATTATGTATATAGTGTACGTCCGAGTCTCTGACATTCGGAATGTCAGAGCCTCAAACAATTAAAACTAGGACTCACTCGCCAGGGTGTGTAACGCAGGCCTTTTTTCGCGCTGGCAGGACGAGCTTCAGGCTCATGCTGCTCCTTCCTGCATGTGTTGCTTCTTCCTGCATGCGGAGGCAAGCCAAGAGAGGCAGATGATGAGATAAGGGTATAGAATGGTAGGTATACATGACGTATTGATAATAATAAATGGGGTCTAACAACTAGGCAAAATGGCACGCTCTAAATATGACAGGCAACTTCCATGAAGGGCATCGGGTCAAGGACAGCCGATGCGTCCGTCATCTCCTTGGAGAAGACACCCATCGGATACAGAAAGCTGAGCACTTGCTTCTCCGACGAGCCGAGCACCTTGGGGTCGTCGTCGCCCATCGTAAACGACGCCAGCACGTCCGCAAACGAAGACTCCATGCTGACCGTGTCGTTGACGTGGCTCATGTCGACGACGGCGCGGCGCAGCGTCGCGTCGCCCTGCGTCGCGAGCGTGCAGAGCACGTGGCGCTTCTCGCACCAAAGGCGCGTGAGGTTGGCGTACGACACGTCCTTGGTCTTCGACACCATCGTAAAGGCGGCTTCCGAATCGTCCGACTCCTCTTCCGACGACGTGTGGTCGCCCGACTCGCTCGACGGCGAGAGCCCCATGTCGTCGTCTTCCTCTTCATCCTCGTCGCCGAGGGGCATCGCAAACGTGAGCGAGAAGTCCGTGTCCAAGAGATCGTCAAACGGAATGCCGCCAGCGTACTGCTGCTCGTTCGACGACTTGTCGCTCTTCTGGGCGGGCTCGTCAAGCTCGGGAAAGTCCATCCACGTCGTGCCGTCCAAGTCCGAGAGCACGCGCGACTTGACGCTCATCTCCGAGAGGAGCTTGGGCGTGTACGACTTGAAGTACGAGCAAAAGCCGTTCGTGGCGCTGCCCGTCGTGAACGAGTCAAAGATCGACATCATGCCGCCGAAGAACGTCATCGAAAAGACAATCGCCATCATCATGGCCACGTTCTTCTTGGCCGCAAACGAATCGTGCTCGACCGTCTTGGTCGGGCGAGCAGGCACCGGCGCGGCCACAGGCTCGGCAAACATGAGGTCCTCCGAGCTAATGTCCAAGTCGTTCAAGATCGACGAGTCCCAGTGCTCGGGCTCCGAGTCCATTTCGTAGATAAACGACTCGGCGTCCGAGATAATATCGGCTTGCACCGGCGCAATGGGCTCGGCAAAGGCAGTGACAGCCGCCGCCTTGGGGACCGGCGCAACGACGACGTTGTCGACTTTCTCAATCTTGATGACATCATCTTGCTTCAAGCGTTTGTTCTCGGCGAGGAGCGCCTCAAGCTGCGCCTTCATCTTGGACATCTCATCGTCCTTGGCCTGGAGTTGCTCTTCGAGTTGCACCACGTACGCCTTCTTGCGCTCGCGGTGCAGCTGCGCCGACATGCGGTTGCGAATCAGGCGGCGCTTCTTCTTGGCCTCCTTCGAATCGGGGTCGAGGCTCAAAAGCTGGCGCTCCATCTCCTTGATCTTTTCTTCGGCGCTGCCCATGTCGTTGTCGAAGAGGCCGTCGTTCGTGTTCTTGCGTTTCTTCGAGCTCGTCGACGACGTCGAGCTGCAGTCGCTGCCGAGCGGCGACTGCACCATGGCCTTGCGCTTGTCCTTGCGCACGACCGGCGCGGGGATCTTGAGCTTGGCCGGCGACGGCATGGCCGCCAAGGTCATCTTGGGCGAGACAAACTCTTCCTTGACGCGGATCAGATCTGCTTGCTTCTTGGCCGCTTGGAGCGTCGGGGGATGCGTCTTGATCGTCGACATGGACGGTCTCGGGCTTTGCACTCAAATTCGAAATTGACCGCAGATTTCGAAGCGACACTGAAAGGCAATACAATGCCAAAACCTTGCCCACTCTCTTGGCATTTGTATGTGGACAATAAAAATACACGCCAATGCACGGCGGAGATCCAGATGGGCATGCTGATCTCGGCAATGGGTTGTGTATTTTATTGGATTGCATACAAAGACCAAGAGAGACGCGAATAAAACGAGCCGTTGGGTTCAAAAGATTCCGTGTTTCCGATTGGACACGATCTAGAAAAGTCGGCTTTTTTACGACCAGCTGGGTGACATGGAGCCCTTTGATTGGCCAAAATGGAGCATGCCCAACTGCACAAGAATATTCAACCGGTTTGCGCCGAAGTAACACGTGTGCAATGAGTTGAGGCCGACGCACGTGCGGTCGCGGTAGAAATGGTGCCCACTCGCGACGCGACGCTGCTACTACTGCGGATAGAGCTAGACATTTAGCGCTCGAGTCGCTGGATATCGAGCCATTGCATTCGTCCAGCAGTGCGGTGCCGCCAAGCCGTTTCGGCCGCAATCGCTTGGCGCCCGATCGCGTGACTGCGTGGGCAAGCCGTTTCCTTCGTTGGAGCGACGGGGCTGACTCGACGAAGAAGAATGTCGGTTTTGAGAGCTGTAACCCCGAGCGATGTACATAAATGCGCTTCGCACACGCGTCGCTGCTGGATACACGCGTTCCGAAGCCGACAACGATGTCAGCTCTGATACCGATTCCGTGCTGCCGTTGTGCATGGGAAGGGCGCTCTCAGATGCACGAAGTCGCGCCACCTGGACCGCTGGGATCGAGTCGCGGGGCACGAACCAGCAGCAACTCAGACGTCAGAGCGGCAACCCAATAAGTTCTTTTGCACTGCAATAAGGTCGCTCGCGTCTGAGTTTTGGCGTCGCCTGAGTCGACGTCTTTGCTTCAACCGCGCGCACAACACGACGTTGCATGGGATCGGCTGCACTATCGCGAGCACCCACGTCATCCATCTGTACTCATCAGACAGCTCGATCAGGCTCGAATCTGCTTGCACGATCGACCTCCAATAGACAGGATGTGGTATGATGATAGCCAGGATGATAGCCTCAAGCGTCCGACATCATGGCGACAGCGAGCATGGATGGGGCGAATCTGCGATGGTAAATCCGCCGCATTTTCCAAAGCCTGCACCGCGGTGTCAAATACATTGCCGCAATGTGATAGGCTGCTGGCACATCGCGCATGCGACCCCTCGCGACCGACGAGAGACGGACTGATCGCGTTGCACATGCGACTCCGGCTAGCATGCATTTTAGTAATGATATCTCGAGCAGGTTCGTTTAGCCGAAGCCACGTTCGAAGGCTACGTGTTCCGAAGCGCCAGCTCGGATGTACGCACGCCAACGTCGTCAAGCTCTCGATGAGATTCAAAGCAGCGAATCCAGTGGCCTGTCTACACCTGGTTTTGAATCAGACGGCGCCATGTGCTGCATTCCCAGACCGTCATTCCGGAGGAGAACCTCTTGCTTTCAATATATTGATTATACGATATAAGAGGTTTGTGAACCTCTGTAACTGTATCCTGGCACAATACGAACTTTGAAAGGTAACGGCAATGGACCCGGCGAACTAATTGCACGCAGCTAAGCTCCGACTTGTACGAGGTGTTGCGCGCGCTATGCATTGCACTCGGTAATACGAAATGCTACCCTGTCGCGCACAGCACAGAGGCCTGTCGCGTACGACCCGCGCGCTGCATAAACGACCCTTGTGTGGCGCATCGTCTATGCAGCAAGGCAAAAACGGCGTGTTTTTAGTCCATTTCCTCAACGCTATTTCCATCGCACAAAACACCCAGCTTCAAGATGCAGCGCGAGTCGATCAAGGCTAAGGGAACGCTCAAGAAGGGCACGCGCGGCCGCGCAGCCCACGCCGACTCGGTGCGCAAGTCCAAGCAGTCGGCGCTGAACAAGCGTCGCCGCCTGCCCAGCCACGACATGGACGACGTCAACGACCTCGAGTTTCAGTCGCTGCTCCTCGAGCTCGCGTCCGAGGACGAGGGCCGCGTCCTTTCGGCGCTGCAAGGCCTCAAGACAGCGCTATCGGTTTTCAACGCCGAGCGGATGGACAAGGTTGCCGAGTCGGGCGTGATTCCCATTCTGTTGCAGCTGCTCGAGCGGTCGGCGTCGACGACCGTCGAGCTCATCCAAGTCCTATGGTGCCTCACGCACATCACGTCGGGCCTCTATGAACACACCAAGTGCGTCTTGCCGGCAGTGCCCACGCTTCTCAACTTTCTCGCGGTGCGTACTCGCTATGACGACCACATCATAATGACACATTGATGTAGAACGCCGAGCTGGCCGAGCATGCAGCGTGGACGCTCGGCAACATTGCGGCCGACTGCGAAGAGTTTCGGTTGCACTTGATTCGCCACGGCGCGATCGCACCTCTCGTGCAGCACCTGCGCCACGGTCCGCACGACCACGAGATGGTGAAAGGTCGTTGCACGCGCCGCCTTGGTCCCTCTCACTCGGCCCCGTAGTGTGTCTTTGGGCGCTCTCCAACATGGCGCGGGGCACGCAGACGCCCGCGAAGGCGTTCTTTGACCACGACATTGGCCCGATCCTCCTCGAGCTCCTCCAGTCGCGCGACAACATGCAAGTGACGCAGGAGCTGCTGTGGGTGCTGAGCTTCGTCACTGCCAAAGAAGACAAGGCGCTGCAGTGGCTCCTCGAGCATGGCCTCGCCTCGGGCGTCGTCGCGTACTTTGAGACGACGGACGAGCTCGTGCTCACGCCGCTTCTGCGCGTCTGTGGCAACATTGTGTGCGTCGCCGCCGACCACCACGCCGACAGCTGGCAGCTTCCGCACACGCACGCACTGCTCGCCGAGCCCCGGTTCCTCTACTTTCTGCGGCGCGTGCTTCAAACGTCCACCGACTCGTACGTTGGCGTCTCGTGTGCAGGCCTCAATCGACCGATCGAATAGGCACGTGGTGGCCGAGGCGGCGTATGTGCTCGCCACCATTGCTGGGCAGAGCGAAGCGAACGTGCGCCTTCTACTCCAGTACGAGCTTCTGTCGCCGCTCGTGCACGCCTTTCTCAGCGGCACTTACGACGTGCGCAAGGAGGTGCGACGCTCGTCGAGTCCATCGCGTCATGGTGTACGTAGGCGAGCTTTGCGCTGGCAGCTATTGGCCGCGCCTCATTGGCCGACCTGGACCGTGTCCTTGCCTTCAACCACGTCCTCGAAGCTTACGTTGGTCTTTTGTCAGGTAGTACTACATCCCGCCGTCCATCTTCATCATCTCATGGTCGATGCTAGTGGCTGACGTGAGCGTGGTTGGGAATGCCTTGACCTTTCTGCAGCACGTGCTGACCCAGTCCCCCGCAGCGTGTACGTGATCGAAGAGGCCGGCGGTATCGATGGCCTCGAGAACATCCAGGACCACGATGACGGCGAGAACGGACGACTGGCCGCCCATTTGATGGACACGTTTTACGGCGACGAGTACGCTCCGCTCGAGGGGCCGTCGTCGCCGCCACCGGTGGCGTTTGCGCCGCCGACTGCTGGTGTGGGCCGCGGCGCACACATGACCAAGCCGGCCTGGGCGACGTCGTAACTTCTGCGCACCACATGTATTGCAGCCTTGGATTAAATAATGGGAAATACAAAGTCTTTTGCATCGAAAAAAGCCTCTTGTCACCGCGCTGGCGTACTGTCGAGCTCGAGGATCAGGCTGAGAATGTCGGCCGAGACCTCGACCAGCGATGGGTCCGGGTCTGCTCGGAACGCTAAAGGGGACCAGCGCGCGTCGTCGCTCTCGTCGCTCGTGCTATCGGCGCTCACGGCCGAGGACGACCGAAGTGTATGCTTCGATCGATGCCGGGCTGGGCCATGAACCGAGCAAAAGCCGCCGCGGCCGGTCGTCGGCGCACAGCACCGATCGACCTTGCACGTGCGCTTGCCACCATGGCGGGCGCAGAGCTTCCGAGCGTACACTTGGTTGGTGCAGAGCGGGATCGCGCAGTGGCGGCGGTACTTGTGCACGGCGCAGGTGCGCTTGGCGCCACTGGCCGCGTCGATGGGGCGGTGGCAGCCCTTAAAGTCGCAGCTCTCGGTCTTCATGGTGGAGAGGGTAGTATTCCAAATCTAAGCACAGGCGTTGGTTCTACTAAGAAGTGAGCGTAATGCGCGTCCGTCCGTCGGCAATTGCACGGCGGTGGTCGGGTCAAGTTGACGCATTTGTCGTCGGGCCGTTCGTAGCAGCCAATCAACGACGCGGTTGAAAGTGCACTTGGCTGGTGATTGGCTCGTGACTTTGCACTGACGCAGAAGTGGCAGGTAAGACGGTGGCGCCAAGGCCGACGAAGGCTGCAAGTAGCAGCATTACCACGCACTTGACACAGACCGCCACAGTACAGGTGCACCCGTGTCTTCGCACGACCGCAGCGGCGACGCACCGTCGCCGTTACCGCGCCGTGAGTTGCGCCGTCGTAGGTGGCCGCTTCGTCATGGGCGAGGTGTGTCAAGCAACCATGACATGACGGCTGTTGACTCGAGTAGGGTGACGTTGGGAAGAGCGCTCGCTTGCTTGGTTGCTCGTGGCGCACATGGAGAAACGTCGCCTTGGATGCGCTCGGAGCGCCTGCGTCGGTGGTCGCGTTGTGACCAAGCCAGCGACGTCAAGATCAGGTGGATTGGAAGACGATCGAGTAGGATGCTTGCTGCTGGCTCTTCCTGGGCGTAGAAGGAGGCCGATCCAACATGGCGTCGAGTGTCGTCGTCCCGCTGATCACCTCACGCGACGTAGAACCCGTCGTCGGTCGAGCTTCGTCCAGCGAGGTCAGTGTCAACAACGGAAAGAATTCAACCGGTATTCGGAACGCAAGTAGCTCTATTCAGCGCCGTGGTTGGTGGCATCGACGAAAGGTCGTGTTGTTGTACAGGAAAGGGCCAGGAGCTTACTCGTCCTTGGCGAGCTCGACGAGCACGTGCCCGTCCGTGACAAAATCGCCGACGTCGCAGTTGATTTCGCCCACGACGCCGTCCCGCGGCGCGCGAATGACGTGCTCCATCTTCATCGCTTCCATGATCAAGAGCGGCTGGTCCTCCTTGATGACGTCGCCCGCCTTGGCCATGACCTTGATGATCTTGCCGGGCATCGGCGTCACGAGCGACGACGCGCCGCCCGCACCCGCGCCTTCGCCGTCAAACGACGCCTCGGGGATCGTGAGCTTGTAGTCGTATCCTAGTACATCCCTTGCGTGAGCCTTGCGCGCAACAATAAGAAAATGAGAATCGTACGGAGCGAGCCGTCGTTGCAAAACAAGTGCAAGTCGTTCTTGTACACGACCGCCGTGCCCGTGTAAGCGTGCGTGTCGATGACGAGGTTGAAATCGCCGCTCGCGTCAATCGACCCCGAGACGCGCTGCGCCGGCGCGCCGTCAACGACCACGTCAAACACATTGTCGGCGAGGCACGCGACATCAAAGTTCATCGGGTGCGCGTCGTGCTGGAGCGAGAACGTCCGATGCAGCGTCTCGAGCGACCGGTAGTTCTTCAGGCTCGACCACGGCGACGACGGATCTAGTGCATCAAACATCAGAAAAATCAGAAAAATAAGAATCCAATCAGAAATCTACCGGCCGTCGTGGGTTCGAACGCCGCCTTGGCCTGCTGTTGCTGCAGGAGGAGCGCGATCGCGCCGAGCACGGGCGCATGCGGCGGCAGCGACGGGTACGGCGCCAGCACATCGTCGCCGTATTTCTACGCGGCGATGAGACTGGTATTTTCTTGCAGAGATGATGTACGTTGAGGAAGCTCGTGTCAACACCGCCCTTGACAAACTCGGGGTGGGCGGCCGTGCGCGCGACGAATTCAATGTTGGTCGGGAGACCGACAATCTAAACGGGCAATGCTTGCCGCGGTCGACCCCATATACCACGTCGCACCTGGTACTGCTTGAGGGCGCGGACGAGGCCGTCGAGCGCGTCCTGGCGGTCCTTGCCGTGCACGACGAGCTTGGCAATCATCGGGTCGTAGAAGATCGAGACCGCATCGCCTTGGACGATACCCGTGTCGACGCGCACCGAGTCCGAGAGAGGCGGGAGGCGCAGGTGGTGGAGCTTGCCGCTGCCCGGCAAAAAGTTGCTAGCGAAAAAATGAGCTTTCCACGCCACGTGGATCATGATATCGTACTTGTACGGGTTTTCCGCGTAAATGCGCGCTTCGATGGCATGGCCGTGGATCTTGAGGTCTTCTTGGGCCACCGGCAGCTTCTGGCCGGCCGCGACCTTGAGCTGCATCTCGACGAGGTCCTGCTGCGTGATAAACTCGGTCACGGGGTGCTCGACCTGGAGACGCGTGTTCATCTCCATAAAGTAGAACGACTCGTCTTCGTCGAGGAGAAACTCGACCGTGCCGGCGCCGACATAGCCGACGGCCTTGGCCGCCGCGACGGCGGCATCGCCCATCTTCTTGCGCAGCGCCTCGCTCATGTTGGGCTACGACGACAACATTGTCCACTCGCCCTGCACGCACAAGAATCGCGTACCGCAGGTGCCTCCTCGAGGACCTTCTGGTGCCGGCGCTGGACCGAGCAGTCGCGCTCAAAGAGGTGCACGACGTTGCCGTGCTTGTCGCCAAAGATCTGCAGCTCGACGTGGCGCGGGCGGCGCAGGTACTTCTCGACGAGAATGTCCGTGCTCGCAAACGACGCCTTGGCCTCGCGCTTGCACGCGTCCATGGCCTCCTCGAGCTCAGCTTCCGAATCGACAATGCGCATGCCCTACCCAGCGTGAGATAGATAGATACCTTTGGCGATAGTACCTTGCCGCCGCCACCAAGCACGGCCTTGAGCAACACCGGGTACCCAATCTTGGCCGCTTCGTCGCGAATACGCTCGTAGCTCTGGTCGTCGCCGTGGTAGCCAGGCGTGACGGGCACGCCGGCCTGGATCATAATGTCCTTGGACGCACTAGACAGAGAGTATAAGTCAACGCCATTTCGAGACATGCGATCTACCTCTTGGAGCCCATGGCCTCAATGGCAGGCACCGGCGGGCCGATAAACTCGACGTTGGCGGCCGCGCATGCACGTGCAAAGGCAGCGTTCTCCGAGAGGAAGCCGTAGCCCGGGTGGATGGCCTGCGCGCCGGACGCCTTGGCAATGCGGAGAATCTCGTCAAAGAGGAGGTAGCTCTCGGCGGCCGGCGGGGGTCCGAGGCGGTAGGCTTCGTCGGCCATCTTGACGTGCTGCGCGTTCGCGTCTGCGTCCGAGTAGACAGCGACCGTGCGCACACCGAGCTTCTTGGCCGAGCGCTGGACGCGGCAGGCGATCTCGCCGCGGTTGGCGATGAGGATCTTGGAGAACATGGGCGTGCCATCGCTGCGTGCGAACGACGACGCGTGGCGGGCGAAGATGCGGGAACGAGACAAGCGCAGCATCTTAGGCGCAAGCTTATTGGCAAAAGGCAAAATGAAGCGCTGGGGGCGTCCGTGAGTGACGTCAGATAGCCCCAGGTCCAAGCGCATAAAATATCGTTTTTAATTGTATCTTGCATTTTGTATGTCATCCCAATGCCTCAAATAAAACACCCGTGCCACCGCAAACACAAGTGTTTTATTGCAAATCTCAATTGTATATACAACAACACTGTACAGAGCACAGAAAAACGAATAGTAATATACACTTTGCACTTGGCAGATGGTTGAACTTGCGGGACACCGAGTGGCCGACTGTCCCACGAACGCCTCCGGTCGGAACACCGCCGTCGGTGGCGACCGACGCCGCGCACGGCATGGCCTTGTACACGGCCGCCTCGACGCGGCTGGCTGGTGTCGCTAGCTTGTCAAAGGATAGTGCTGTGCGTTGGTGGCTATCTGGTGGCGGCATCCAAAAAAGAGGTGTTATAACGTCGTGTTGCAAAGGGCAATTTGGTGCTGGGATGTGTTACGACCAGGTACCTAGGTATCGCGGCGCAGATCGCGGTACAGGAGCTCGACAAAGGTCGGATCGTCCGCGTCGTGCATGGCGCACTCAATCTCGTGGCGCTGCTTGGCCGCGAGCGCCGCCCGCGCGCGCTCCTGCCGGCGCACGAAGGCGTCGTACTGGTCGCGCTGGGCATGGCAAAAGAGCACCGACTCGGCCAGCTGGACCTTGCGCAGCGCACTCTGCTCTCGCTTGTGCTTGAGGTGCAGCGCCACATAGTAGGCCGGGCACGCCGTATCAGCCACGTGCGTGTCGACGTTCGCGGCTTCTTTTAGCACGGCCTGGTACGTCGTGTCTTCGATCGCATGCAGCTGCGTGAGCGCCCGTTCTTCATGGGCGTGGCGGGCCGTGAGCGCCGAGATCTCGTCGGCATGCACTTGGTGAAGCAACGGTGCGTCGGTGTCAGAGGCATGAGGCAACAAGAGTGCCGTCGTCGTTGCAGCGTCGCCGGTGTGGCATGCTGCCACGGTACCACCACTCGCGTCACTACTCATAGTCGAATCCGCTCGCTCCAAGACCGAGAAAACGAAAGTAAGAAAACGAAGAACCTACACAGACCACGACGCTTCTCTTGGGACCCGGCTGCCGCCGTGTCTCGTCGGTAGCGTTCCGATTCATGGTTCCGATTCGGGCACGTGGCAGTTGACAGTTTGAGCCGAACCAAAAAGTCCCATGAGCGAGACCAGCGCCGCGCTAGAGAAAGTTCGGAAGCAGTGCGTTCTCGACGCGCTCAGCGAGTCCCACGGACGAGAGACCAAGGCGCTCGACTCGGCCCAAGACGGCAAGAAGTCGAAGCTCCTCATTCGGCAGCAGGAGGCCCTGGACCACCTCGAGTCGTACCACCAGAAGAAGCAGTCGCTGCTCGACCAAGTGCAGCAAGGCGAGGACGCGGCGCTCGCGCTCGAGCAAGAAGAACGCACCAAAGAGACGTTGCGTTTCGACGACAACGACTGGCGCGCGCTCCAGATCAAGCACAGCGACGAGCTCGAGTCGCTCCGCACGCGCCACGCCCACGAGCAGCAACAGCTCCTCGAAGCCCACGCGGCCGAAGACACGGAGCAGCTACAGAAGCATTCGCCGGCGCAGGACCAGCTGGACGACCGCAAAGAGTACGACGAGCAATGCATGCAGTCACAGCACCAGCGCGACAAGGTGCACCTCTCGGAGAAGCACGCGTTCCAAAAAGAGTATGCACTTGGTCGCCACGCGCGCGCCCGAGCAGCATTGGAGCTCAAGCACAAGCAAGAGCAAGCTGCCTTTGAGAAGCTCGAGGAAGAAGAGGCGATGATAGTCACCCGTATGCAGCGTCAGCAAAGCGACTCGCACGAAGTCTCGCACCGCCGCGCGATGGAAGCCCTCGCGGAGAAGCAAGCGGGCGAAGTGGAACGGGCCAAGGCCGCCAGTGACGTGCACGAATTCGTCGATCAAGTGTACCCTGGCAAGACCAAGTTTCCCAACTCGCCATAAACAACATGACCTGTATGGACGGACCCATATATATACATGCGAGCTTCCTGTCATTGGCAGTGGTGAGTACAACTCGCTTGGCACCCAGCGCTATCGGAATTCCGCAGGACGTTGAAGCTGTTGAAGACAAGTGTTGAGCCATTTCTATAGCGACAACGGCCACCTGCGACATCGCGCACCTGGCGTGGACCATCGTGCGGCCCCCAAAGAAGAACTGATGTTTGTTGTTGTTGTCTGGAGCATCCCGCTGGCTCGATGGAGTTTAAAGCCCCCAAGCATCGCAGGCTTATAGCACACATGGCGAACAGAACTCGACCGACCATGGTGTAGTACGTAGCATCATATGCGACGAAGCTTCGAGGTTTCCGTGGTCCTCGCCGTCGTAGCCGGCGTTTCGCCGGGCACCGCTGCTATGAGGCCATCGTACAAGTGCTGCGAACGCTGTGCGCGGGTACGCAACGCCAAGACGCGCGCCGGCGACGCGCCAGCGCTCTGCTGCGGCGCGCTCGTTCTGTGCCGCTTGGTCGTGTTTCTCCTGCGGTCCTCGAAGTTCGAAGTTGGTTAGGTGCAAGGAATAAAAAGACTGGCCGAATGGCGCCGATCCCCATCGTTTTATTCGACGGCATCGAAGTCGAAGCACGGGCTGGGATTTTCCCTGGTGACGACGACGGAGCCATTTACCAAAAGTACCATGTCCTTCCTTCCGAGCGTCGTGCCCCGCCTCAAGCAAGCCGTGCTCGCGCAGGACTTCGTCGCGAAGAACCCCAAGGTCGTCTCGTTCCTCGAGCACCCCGCGGGCCCCTTTACGAGTACGTACTTCTTATCGCCTCTCGCCGCGTCTTACCGTGCCGTGCAGTTCACTTTTGGGCGCCGGCGTTCAAGTGGTGCATCTCGCTCGCCAACGTCGCCGACATGAAGAAGAACCCGGACTTGCTCTCGACGCCGCAGCAATTCGCTGTGACCTTGACCGGCGTCATCTGGTCGCGCTACTCGCTCGTCATTACGCCCAAGAACTGGAACCTCTTTAGTGTCAACCTCTTCATGGCCGGCACGGGGCTGACGCAGCTCTACCGCAAGGCCCAGTACGTTGACTTTTTCTCAACGGAAACTCATGGATCTCGCTCTGCTGTGTAGCTGGGAGTACATGGGCGGCCGCGACGAAGCGGCCAAGGCGGCCCTTCAGGCGGAATAAGCATGTTCGATGGCTCTCGTCTCAATACACGTGGGATTGCTCGTAGCGTTAAAACCCTCGGTAGGGCTGCTGCTGTTGACTGTAGCCCTGCGCACCGTACGGCGCTTGCTGCGGCGGAACTTGCCGCGGACCATGCCCCGGATACGGTGGGACCGGTGGTCCAAGGCCATATCCCGGTTGGGGAGCTCCATAGCCAGGCTGAGGGGCGCCATATCCAGGTTGAGGGGCGCCATATCCAGGCTGCGGTGGTCCATATCCAGGCTGCTGTGGGCCATACCCGGGCTGAGTTGGCTGAGGAGTAGGTTGCATAGCGGCATACCCGGGCTGAGGAGCACCATACCCGGACTGAGCTCCATAGCCAGGCTGAGGAGCTCCATAGCCAGGCTGAGGAGCGCCATACCCGGGCTGAGGAGCGCCATACCCGGGCTGAGGAGCGCCATACCCGGGCTGAGTAGCACCATAACCGGGTTGAGGTGCATACCCGCGAGGCGGCTGCGCGAAACCTTGGAGCGCCGGGCCAGGTTGGGCCTGGCCTGGAAGCCCCGGGTATGGCGGATGGCTCATCGGCTTGAGCATACCGGCGGCGTGGACGTTGCCGGGGTTGGGCAGCAGCGCCTCGAGGAGTGCGGTCGGGTCGGTCATCTTGAGGGGCGTCGGCGCCGCGGGGCTGGCCGGCGTCGCGACGGGTCTAATCACACGCAACATAGTACGCCGTCGACTCTACGAAAAGCCTACGGGAGATCCGTCGAGAGGTCAATCATGTTGAGCTTCTCAAACGCCTTGTCCATCTCGATCTTGCGCTCTTCTTCGTACACTTCGTGTGCGTGCTGCTCCTCGAAGGTCTGGATGCCCATCTGGATGTCCTGGAGCCAATTGCTGCGCTCCTTCTCGCTGCTTGCACACAAGAGGTGGCCACCCGGGATCCCAACCACATCAATCTTGAAGCCAAACGTGCCCCGGGGTGCGTCGGCAAACTACCATCGACGAGGTCGCGGTCGTTCCAGTCCATGCTCGAACATGTACCTGCGCCGTCATGGCTTGAATCTCGTCGTTGATCGGGATGATGACCATCGGCATCTTGCCCTTCATGTCTTCGTAGAGGAGGAGCGCGTCCGGGCGGAGCACCGCGTACATCTTGACCCAGCTGAGGCCGCTCTTGTTGCGATAGAGCGTGCCCCGGAGCACAGTCGAGTTCATCTCCCTGCCGCCGACCCATGAGCGAACGACAACATCAATGAAGATATTAGTACACGACGTCGGTGACCGAGCACGCAGCATATTGCATACCGTTGAGTTCGCGCGCTTGCTTGGTCTATTGGCAGTCATGAGGCGAGGGATAGAGACGTCTTCGATCTAGTACCATGTACGTCTTGGCTTCTTCCTGCTCGACCGTGTCCAGATCGACGTCTTCGAGCTCGGCCTGCACCGACATCCACTGCGCCGGCGTCGAGAGCCGGTACTGGCCACCGTACTTGTTTGGCAGACTCGGCGCGTCAATGTAGTGCTGGAGCTCGCGCAGGTCCGCGAGAAAGTGCACCTTGGCGGCCGTCGCCTCAGGTGCGCCGAGCCCTTTGAGCAAGAGCGACGTCGCACCGCGCATGAGGAGGCTATTCGCCGCCATGTGCAGCACAAACACAAACTGGATCGTCTCGGGGAAGTACTCCTTGAGCATCTGCAATAGCTGGAGGTGCACCGAGCTCGCATCCGAGACCATGGCCGACGACGCGTGCTCGAGATCCACGAGGTACACGATGCCAGGGGCATGTTCGTCTTCCATGAGCTCGATCGCAAGGCTCACAATGTACACAATGTACCGACGGGCGTCCTCCAACGTGCTGGTCGCCTCGGCGTGCCCGCCATGGTCCTTCGCGAGCTCGTTGCCGGCCACGAGCTTGTCGCTCTCGGACGTGGGTTTAAAGCGCGACGGGTTGAAGAGCACGATCGGGCACTTGCACTTGTCGTGGGCATCGTGCAGCACGTGGAGGTAGTCTTTCTTGGCCTCGCGCTGGAGCGACGGCTTGGCGAGGCTGAGGTTCCCGAGCTGGTGCTCTGCCAGCCATTTCGCCTTGGCCTTGAGCTGCATCGCGGCCTTGGTCACGTCGCCGTGGTTCCGGCGCAGCGACCGCACGTACTCGTCCGGCGAGAAGACGTCGGGCTCGGCGACAGCGGCGCGCAGCGCCTCGACGGCCGACGGGCTGAAGCCAGCATGCATCTTTGATCCAGTCTCGAAGTCCGGATATAAACGGCTTCAAGTTTATATCCGGACGCCCGAAAGATCGCAACCCGTCACCGCCACAGCCCTACTGGAATCGGATAGATAGATAGATAGATAGATAGATAGATAGATAGATATTGTTTTATATTCTGTGTGAAAAAGGATCGTTCCATTGCGTCCAAGTGCAATTTACTTTCATATATGCAAATCACATCGTAGTATTATGATGAGTTAGTCGTCGCTAGTGCCCAAGGCGGTGCAGCTGAGCCTCCAGGTCCCGGACTTCTTTCATGAGCTCTTGGGTGCGTCGGTAGAGCGCGCTTGTCGAGAGCCCTTCGATGGTCGTTTCCAGCTCACGGTTCGTTGTCGCGTTGGCTTCTTGGGCGGCTTCGGCCGTGATCGCCCGCGTCTCGAGCGCCTTCTTGTCAGTTTTGGCTTGTGTCTCCTGTGTCTGCAGCGCCGCTTCCAAAGCGGCTGCGCGCAATGCGAGGCTCGTCGTCTCCTCCTGGAGCGTTGTCTTGGTCTCTGCGAGCGCCGACTTGTCCGACGAGAGCGCGTTGACATCGGCCGAGAGATTGCTGATGGTCGCCATGAGCTTCAAAATCTTGTTCTCGAGGCGCAGCTCGTTCGATGCGGCGCGGGCTGCTGCGGCGTCGGCTTGCGATTTGAGCGCCTCGTACGCCTTGCGTTCTGCCTCGAGCTCTGCGGCCGCGACCAGGTCTGGCGGTGCCGGTGGTTCACCGAGACCCACCTCAATGTCGCTGTCAAAGTCCGTGTCTTCCATAAGCGAGTCATCAAAGACGGTCCACTGACTCGTTTCACCAACGTCGCCGCACGCAGGGCAGACCACACGGCGGCCGCGCACCGCGTCTTCGTACTTGGCTCGGAACTCGGCGCCCTTGGCGGCGAGGGTGGCACTGGCATCGGCCAGCGCCGTCTTATGGTCGGCCAAAAGGCGGCGCGCGACGTTCGCTGTCGTCTGATGCGCTGTCACAAGATCCGATTCGAGAGCAGAGACTTCTTGCTCGTGCTGCGCGGCCTGCACCTTGAGCGTCTTCTCGTGCTCGGCGCCGAGGTTGACGATCTGCGTTTGGAGAGTCGCAACCTCCGAACGCAGCTCTTTGAGGATCGCCTCGGAGATGGCCGTCGATGTCTTGCCGGTTGGCTTGACATCCGTGGTGGCACTGGACGGAGCAGGTGCAACGCTCGTCACCGGTTCGCGACGCTGCGGCTGCTTGCCGTCAGTGGGCACCCTGCCGTCGTGGCGGGCGTCAGCGTCGACCGAATCGTTGATCGCGCAGTCACCGGGACAGTTGTCGTCGCACGCTGGCGGACAATCGTCGGGGTCGTGCTGCGCCCGAACGTGGTGGCACGCGAACCTTTGTTCGTGGCCGCCGTCAGGCTTGGCTTACGCATGAGGGCCTCTTGGGCCGCCAACTTGGCATCGTCGCAGTCCAGTTGGGGCACGGGTACCAGTCAGTAGACTAGGAGCACCCGGCAACAAATTTGCCGTCATCGCCGCAACGATGAAGATAAAGCAAAGATGAGGCGCGATCCATGGAGCCCCCGGACACGAATGCGAAGAGAAGCTCCGCATCGAGAGCAAGCGACCTGCGCCTTGGTACATGATATTGTCGAGCGCGGTACTGAGATCTGAACCATGCAGCAGCACACGATCGAGTATATCGCCAGGCTTCATATGGTGCGCCAACGAGCCAACCTGACTCGGATCTGAGCGTAACTTGGCGCCGCTAAAAAATCCGACTTGCGATCTTCTTGGCTCTCGTTACAAGAACATTGATGATGTACTATCGAGGTCTGGAATTGGACGGAGCTCCCATTGTTTCCAGCCGCCCGCGTATCGATCGATGGTGCGTACGACTCGAGCTAACCTCGTGATGATGGCGGCCTGCGTAGTCTGGCCTGATCCTCAACCCGAAGCCCTTCCTCGCCGGCCTCACGGGCAAGGCCGTCGTTGTCAAGCTCAAGTGGGGCATGGAGTACCAGGGCGACCTGGTCTCGGTCGACTCGTACATGAACCTCCAGCTCGCCAACACGGACGAGTTTGTCGGTGGCGCCAAGACGGGCCACCTCGGCGAAGTGCTCATCCGCTGCAACAATGTGCTCTATGTGCGGGGCGCGCCCGAAGACGCCAAGCAAGGCTAGCCGTAGCCGCCCTTATGTAATCGCATCAACATGAAGAAGAAGACGAAGACCATCTTGCAAACTGCCTTGCCCCGCCTTGTGCGTGCTATCGGCTGCCTCGTGGGCGAATGCAACCATGCACGGCGGATGGTCGGCCACAGCATAGCATTGGTTTGTTGGCAAGACGATCCTTGCTCATGCCACTAAAGAGTGGCATGAGCAAGGATCGTCAGGGTGGGCCGTCACTACGTGCGGCCACACCACCAAAGGTCATGCACCTCGTTTATATTCCTGCGGGGATCATGCGGCATGCTGTGCATCCTTTCTCATGTGCAAGCACTCATTTCTTATCGTTTGTTTCGCTTCGACCACGATCACTCTTGGTTATTACATAGTATCTGTTGACATCCACACGCGCAATTCCGACTGCCTCGACAGCTACTTGAGGAAGCTGAAGAGGTCGTCGTTCATATCGACGTCCAAATTGAGCTTGTCCCAGCCGTAGAGGTCCATGACGTCGGCCGACGGCGTCGCCGGCTTGCTCTCTTCGCCGAGGTGCATGGACGGCGACGGCACCACCTTATGGGCGCTGGCAGCCGGGTCGTCTTGATGCCACTCGGCCGGCGCATGGTCGATGATCGTCGGGCGGGACGCCGGAGCAGCACTTGCATTCGCGTTCCAACTCGACGTCGACGCCGCGTTGTTGTTGTTGTTGTTGTGGTGGTGGTGGGGATGACTACTGTTGTTGGTGGCGTTGTTGTCTGTGTGCGGTTGCATCATCTGCTGCTGCTGCTGCGATGGCTGCTGCTGCTGCGAGACTTCGACCTTGCGCAAGAGCATTTGCCGATGCAGGTACATTTGCTGCTGCATGGCCATTTGCATCTGCAGGTGCGACGCGTTCTGCTGCTCGAGCGACATGCGCGCATTGGGCGAAACCGGGTACGGCGCGCTCGTGGGCTGTAGCAGCCCAAGGTTCCACTGCATCGAGCCGTTGGCGTCTGAGCTCCCGCCGCCGTTGCTTGGATCGGTGACGGCCGAGGGGCCGAGCTGGCTCAAGGCCGTGAGATGGTGCTGGAACTGGTTGGTTTGCGCCCGGTGGCCGTTCGAGACCACGGGTGGCGGCTGCTTGTTGCTGTGGCCAGACGCGAGGCCCGGACCGGACGACGTGGGCGGCACGGACGAGAGCGCGGCCGCCGACCGCGCCGCGTTCAATGCGCTTTCGGTGATACCTTTGGCCATTGTGACTTGGGAGAGGCGCTCCTGGAGTTGCCGCTGGAGCAGCGCCTGTTCGTACAACTGCTGCTGAATCTCCTCTTGAAACTGCGCTTGCATGTGCAGCGTCTTGGCCTGCACGTCGAGCTGTCGCGTGATGTTTTGCGTCGTCGCGACGACCTTGGCCACCTTCTCGTCGTCTTCGTCGTCGCTCGACGGGTCCTCAACCACTTCGTCGGTCGTCTTGCGCTTCTTGGAGGTGGGGCAAATGGGAAAGAGTGACGAGACAGCGCCTTGCTGCTACACGCTCCGCATCAGCCTCCTATCACGAGACTAGAGAGGATATACCACGGGCTTGCCCTTGCGCTTGTGCTGCTTGGTCGCCTCCGAGACGCTTTCGTCATAGTACTTGAGAAACTCGACGCGCGACCGGTCGTAGTTGAGGCGGTACTTTTGCAGGTGCGACTTGAGATGCCCGGTCGTGAGGCCGGACGAGCACGCGGGGTTGCCCATGAGCGTAAGGAGGGCTTTCGGTGATGCGTTCTTGAGACCCACGTCAAAGACGGCCGCGACAAAGAGCCGATGGAGCTCGTCGGGCCAAATGAAGCGCTTGGTGCGGCGCTCGTACTTGCGACCCGCGGCGGTGGTTGCGACCGGCGCCGGCGTCGAGTCGGACACGCCCGAGTCGGCGCTTTCGCTTGGGTTGGTGGGCCGCATATCCTTGGGCGCGCCGTGGGCCTTCATGGCCGCGAGCTCCAGCAGCTTCATGTTGGGTGGCGCGCTGGCCAAAGAGGAGGAATTCGTGGCTGCCATGAGCATGAAGAACAGTCACGGTCCAGAAGTCGATGGGCGATTGGGATTCCTACAGAGACGTCGTATGGCCAATGAGCATCTCGTTTGCAAGATCGGCGCGTGTCGCAGCGCGCAATGGCGCCAAGCCGTCACCGGTATCGCGTACCTGGCAGCGAGGGCGGCAAAGGCGGCGACGAGGTAGGATGCAATCGAGCTGCTGGTCGTCGGACCCGAGAGAGATGGACGAAGCACCGTCGCTCGCGCAATGCGGTTCTGCTTGAAAGACTGGATAGAATTCGTACCCACGTTTTGTATGGAATTTATTAAATTTGATTTAGCAGGGTGGCCACAGTTGGACCCGTGCCAGATTCGGCTGTCCGCGCCGGGCGACGGCGTCTGTATTTTTATTCCTCCCACATACAAACACTGACTATAGAGACAGCCGCACGCATAAAAACGCCTGAAACGGGCCACATGGGAATCTGGCGTGGGAGATTCGGTATTTAGTCTGAGAGGTTTTCGCCGCCCCCCGAGAGATTCGCGCGGCAGCTGCCTGCCTCGGGGCCATCGCGCGGGCACCGACGAATCTGCAAGATTCATGGCGAGCGTCTGTGCCATAGAATGCCTCTGATCAACCTCGAATCTCCCGCGATCGCAGATCTCGGACAGTTTTGGAAAGGAACATCGAGTTTCACAGGCTGTCGCCCCACGCTCTCTTCCGCTCTGTCTTCGCAGACTTGGACTTGCAACGGCTTCGAGTCTCTTGGTGGATGGATAGATGAGCAGCTGACGCAATTTCCGATTGCGTCGAGACCCGCAACGTCTCGAGAGTTGACAAAGAAACGAGCCGCTCGCATCAACCCCACGACATTCAGACCATAAAATCTGACACTTTGCCGGCACGCACTGGGTAGCACGATCCCTTTACTTGTTGGCTTCTATTACGTGTCGACACATCTTTTGGCCGAGCGTCTTCTGCAGAGGACGGACCACCGGTGGACTCCGAGAAGCAAAATGACGCTCGGAAGCGTTCTATTGGATCCAAATTACAAACCTTGCATCACCGGTTGATTGACATCCATCCTCCATCCTCCATGCTCCGCGACGAGACGCCGGAGGACCTCCTGCATCCGCATAGTACCTCATGTTTATCCGGCGCTCGCGTGGGTTTCGTCTTTGGTGGCGGCAAAGCAGCGACGATGGTACGCTTCAAGAACCGGTACTTCATCGTCGAAGTGACGTTCGGCCGCGGCAAGAAGGGCCCGGCGCTCACAGCGCGCGACATCTACTCGCTCGTACTCGCCGCCATTGGCAGCAACTACGGCGACTTTGGCGTTGGCACGATGCAGGCGGCGCTGCAAGGTGCGCCTGGGATTATTGTTTCCAGTCTGATACGACGCCGATCATTATAGTGCTCTACTACAATGCCATCACACACTTGGCGGTCGTGCGCTGCGGCCGCGACGACGCGACCAAGGTCCATGCGTGTCTGACCTTTCTGACCGAGGCGCAGCACCAGGACGCAAAATTCCGCACCGTCGTCGTCTGCGGTACGCGCCGTCATACGAGACGATCCCAAACCGATGCTATTACTGTAGGGTCGAGCCGCACGGTGAAAGATACGCTCCTGAGGCTGTCGCGCGAGCGAATTCAAGACGCAAAGCTAGCGACGACGCACCCAACGATCGAGGCGGACCTTGTCGTGGAGATTGCCGGCCTCGACAGCCCACCGTAGACGCGACAGGATTACAATAGTCGTTGTTCTTGCTGCATAGGCAAGTAGAACCTTGTAGCGTAGTGCTATGCGGAGCAGATAGAAGCGTGCGCGTTGTTGGAATAGTTAATTGACAAGCGCGACGTCGGGAAAGTCGCCATTCTGAAAGCCATAGCTAGCAAGCGTCTTGTCCTCGTCCGGCGACGACTTGCGGTTGGTCACGACGCCGGCCTTCTTGAGCAAGTACTTGCCGCGGCGGTCGGGCAGCACAATTGAAAAAGCGAGGCGCGAGTGCTTTCGCGCCTCTTCGCTCGCATCACGCACGAGGCCAGCGACTTCGCCCAGTGTCGCATCCATCCACGTGTAGATGTGCAGCTCGTTCGGAAGAGGCGTCTCGTGCATGGCATTGTACGCTTCCGCCCTACGTCCAGTTGCAGCATGCGTCGTGATGGGCGATAGATGGCCGTACCGGTTGTGCGTCGCATTGCAGAAGACGCGGATGAGGCATGGGCATGTCTTCTCGCGCTCGATGACCACGGGTGCGGGCGCGGCGACCCGCTTGCTGTCGCCTTCGCGCGGACCGACCCGGGCGCCGATTCTTTCCACCACACGCATCGAAGTTTGCGTTCGTGGAATCCTTGTCCGGATACGAGGGGTCGCAGCCGCACTCTGATTGGTCCTTTGCATCGAATACCTGCATTTGCACCAATGAAATCACTGTTCGGTCCCGCCAGCGGAACGACCCACGCAAAGGAATTCCCGTGGATCCATCCTTCGTGCCTCCGGAGTCCCATGATGCCAAAAGACATGAGCAACAAGTCCTTTGCGCCGCAGGCTGTCAGGCTGCAGGTGGTTCCTGCCGCCAAGCGCTGCTACTATTGTATCAAGGGGTTTCGTGCTGACCGGATACGCCACCCCTTCCGGATGACATCGATTTGGATTGGTAGAAATGATGAGCATATCTCACATTTCAGCCAATGGCATCGCTTGGGCCGGGTCATTTTGGTTGGAAGTGCAAAGAGGTCAACTCATTTGCTCACCGACGAGACGACGATGGCTGCGCGCAACATCATCCGCTTCCTGAAGAAGGCCGAAGTGTCGTTCTCGTCCTTCGACACCCGCGCGTCGGGCGCCTGGTGCGTAAGGTTCGCGCTTGACATGTCGCTCAACCTGCGCCTCTGTAGCGAGTTTCACCGCCAGCTGAGCGCGAGCAAGACCAAGGCGCTCAACCCCAAGTGCGAGCTCATCTACACGTCGACGCTGCACACCAAGTCGGAGCCGACGATCGAACTCCTCTTCAGTACGTGGCTACTTTGGTGACTTGCAATTGCTAAAACGGCGTGTAGTCAACGACAAGAAGGAGAAGATGGTCGTGCCGGGCCGCAGCATCAAGGATATCTTCAACGACGTCGATTACTTCTGCTCGCAGATCGAGTCGGAGCTCGAAGCTCAGGGCAAGTCCATGGACTAAGCCGCCCGCTCTGTCCTTTTATTCCACCAGCTAGTATACCTCATTCCTAGACATCCTCGACCTTGTCGTTTTAAACGTCTCGCGACTTTTAGCCGGTGGCCTCGATGTACGCACATACGGTGGCCGGGCTCGCACATCGGTTGATCGTCGCCTGCGCACGGCTTCTCGCCGTCAGTGCTGCGACGGTCACGGCGAGACATGACTTGCGAGCCCACGACGTTGTCGGCCGGTTAACACGCTGGCCGATAAGATCTGTGATGCACGAGTACGTTGTCGTAGGGTGCTGGAGGAGGCATGGGATGAGGCGCAGTCAGAGCTGCTTGTGGCCATCACGGACTCGACGATGTTGAGCAGAGTGTGCTGTACGCGCGACGGATTTACAGAGAGCACACGGCGGGGCCTCACCTGACCGTCGCCACTGGCGTTCGCTTCATCGCCGACAAGATCTGCTCGATTGCAACAAGATGTCGAGGCAAATGGATCAAAGCGCCAAGATTACAACCAGTACGGCCTCCCTTCGTCTGGCGTTGGCAGTTTGGCGGATACGGTCACAAAGTATACCGGTATTTTGTGACACCTTGGTGCCTAACGCGGCCGCCATCGACATCCAAGTCGCCGTCTACCGCCAAGCGCATCGTGTCATCAACGGGTTGCCAAGGGTCAATAAATTGACCCTTCGGACGCTTGGCGTTGCCCGTTCGGAGGCGACGTGCAGTGAAATACCTGTATGACGACCGTCTGCGTTGACTTGGTCGTCATCGGTGGTTTGCGATCAGCATCTATGCGTCATTTCATTTACTGAATACGATTTATTAGCGTTATCACACATTATACACGAACTTAGCCTCGAAAGTGGCGCGTCCATGCGACGGAAAAGATCAGGTAGAGCAGCCACACGACCGACGTGGCAATCCACAAGGACGAGTCGCCAAGCACGCACGCGACGAGACTCATGCAAAGCGGAAGAAGCAGCGTCAGCAGTAGCACCTTCAAGTCGGTCTGCGAGTGCGACCACGTGCGGCAAAGCAAAAGCACCGCCGCCGTATCAACGTCAGGTACGACCGTCACGACTTGGTTGGCGTCGGTCGTTGCAACGACCAGAGTCTCGCCGTCCGATATGACGAGCGTCACGGTGGCCTTCGAGGAGTAAAATTTGCCTTGGATCACGAGCTTGGTACCAACGTCATCGAGGTGCCAGCGCAGCGAAATGGTTGTTGCGAGCCATCCCGTTGTATTGACAATGGTTGCCGGCGTTAGCAGAAACGGACTCGTGACGGTAAACGTCTCGGGCGAGCAGGAATAGACACTGCTGCCGCGACTCAGCGTTGCTAGGACCGCGCCTGACGCAGCGTCCGAGAGCGTCTTCTTGGCGTAGAGCAGCGATCGGTTCGGTACATTGCGGGCAAAGCTGAGGGTGGCGGGCGCGGGCTGCACAAAGAGTGCGTCGAGCACAATGCAAGGAAGCGTTGGCCTCTCGACCTGGAGCGTGTAGTCCATGGCCCAAGCGAAAATGGAAATCCAAGCCTTGGAGCTCCGCACTGTTTGACATTGCACGTGGACGCGGCTGGGGCGTTGGACACCGACCAAGGCTGCGCGCTCGACACGACACGGGTCTTGGTGTCCCACCCTTGGACGTTGGACACACGACGAAAAATATCCACCGGTCTTCAAAAGTAGCCAATGGTATACTTTAACCTGTATATGCGCTCTAGGAAAAAAACATATGTTTCGTCATCTATTTGGTGCCTATTTGCTTAGGAGGATTCCTCAGAAGCATAAGGATCTTGGTGTCATCATGTACGTCGGTGACGTCGATGGCAATGAGCGTTGTGGTCGCGCGGCGTAGGCGAACCCATGGTCTTCGCCACCAATTGCTTCGTACACGCTCGCAGAGTCGTACGAGGCGCCTTTGATCCGTGGTCCATGGAAGTGAAAGCGGTTTAAACCGTTAGGCGATCTACCGGTACCAGAATTACCTTGTACATACGCAATGCAGCCTGTGACATACCAATGGAGCGTGCTCTTTACCGACGCTCCCTCGCGGCTTTGAAGAATCATTTTAGAAATTAGGAGTACCCACTTTGAAGCGATTTTGTCGACCAGCATGGTGATTGTCGTACTTTGGTTCCTTCGTGCGTATTTCAGCAAACCAAGCCGTAAAGACAGCTACCCGAATCCTCGCAACCACATACTGTTATAGTTTATGCAGCAGCGCTGGTGCTTGGCCAGCTCATGAGGCGGCCCAACACCTCGTCGTACGCAGCGACAGTCGCCGACCACGTAAACCGCTTCTCGACCGTCGCACGCGCACCAGCTCCCAGCCGTTGCCGCAAATCGCTGTCTCTGGCCACGACTTCGATCCCCGCGGCGAGCGCGGCCGGATCAATCTCGTTGACGACCCACGCATTCTCGCCATGTCGAACGTACTCGGTCGTGCCGGCCACACCAAAGCAGACCAGCGGTAGACCGACCGCCATGACTTCAATGTTGGCGATCCCAAACGTCTCTTGGAGGCCCGGGTGGACTGCCACATCCCAGGACTGGAGCTCGAGGACGAGCGCGGTCTCGTTGTAGATGCCACCAATTAGCTCAATGGGATAGTGTTGATAGTGAGCAGCATCGGGGCCTTCGCCGACCCAGCGAAAGACGAGACAGAGATCGTGCTTGGCTGCGAGGAGCTCGGCGGCGCGCGCGAGGAGTCCGAGGGACTTTTCCGGCGCAATGCGACCGAGGTAGCCAACGACAAGGCAGTCGTTGGTGTTGGCCTTGGCGGCGGGAAGGAAGAGCGTCGTGTTGACACCGGGTGCGATGACGTGTTGATGTGTCGCCGCAATCGCCCGCTCGACGGACTCATGGTAAACTGCAAACTCCGACGGGCCAATGACCGCGTCCACAGCGTGGGGCATCGGACGCAGGCCCGAAAGCTCGAGCACGACGGCCTGCACTTGTACATGGCGCGCGACAAGTGCGAGCGCGGGGTCGCCGTGGTCGCGCGAGTTGGCATACAGCAGAATCGCACCGCGGCACGGCGCAAGCGCAGCCGTATACTGCGCAAAGAGCCGGGCGACGTACGGCGGGTGTCGTCCGAGCCCCTTGGCGTACATCGCGAGCTGCGCCATCGTCTTGTCGTTGGTCAAACTGTACGTGATAACGTCCTTGTAGTCGACCTAGATATCGATAGATTGATAGATTCATTGATTGATACTCGTTCCATTGTGCGTCTCGTCCGAGAAAGCATCGAGTAAGTATACCTCCAGATGGACGTTTGTGATGGGAATGCCAAGTGCGAGAAACGGGTCGAGCCGCAGCGCCGACGGCGCTTGAACCCGAAACATCTACGTTGTGCTATCAAGGGGTCGATTGTGCGAGAAGAAAAGAGCTACATGAAAGCTGTAGGATGTCGTTGGGTGCTGCTGGAGCGCCGCAATGAGGCCAAGCCACAGCCGCACTTGGCCGTCCATGTTGATGCCAGCGGTCACAAAGCACAGCTTGCGCTGGCGAGGTCGCACGACAGACGGCAACGCCAATAGCACGCGTCGCGGCCTTGGCAGCGTCGTTCGCTGAACGGCAGCCTCCGCGTTGGAAAGAACTCGCTCATAGTGCAAAGTCGACGCGTCTCCGATCGGCTGGCCGTCGGCATCGAGAAGCTGCGCCGACGCCCAGTACGAGCCGAGGTCGGCGCCGACGAAGCGCATGGTGTTGGAGACCGCAGGTAGAATCCCGTTGATCTTGTCGCCAGAGAATTGAAGCGACCCATTGACCACTGCGTTTTTGACAATGTACTGGACGATGACGTCGGTGGTGGAGCGGAGGATGAGGCCTGGCGGGGGCCAGAGAAACTGAATCGTGGGGTCGCCAAACGTGCGGCCTACATGTAGCAGCAGCAGCAAGCAGAGCACTGCCTAGAAGGTACATGATCGTACCCAGAGATAACGAGGTTGAGGTAAGAACTCACCGTTCGGTTCCATGGCGCCCCGTCCATCGTTGGACGGGTTGGCGATCTTTTGATGTGCGAATAGTGTCATAATGTTTTAATAGTGTATCCTTGGAAATAGTGTGATATTGAAAATGCGTCCATCGGCTGCAGCAAGGCGTGGAAAGGGTCTTGAAGCGTGCGTTTTCGAGGCCCACCATGTTTACAAACCCTCTTTTTTACAGGATACGCTATGTACAGACATCCCATCGACTCGTTCGTGGTGGTGCGCGTAGTGATATGATTCCCCCGACTTCGCGTCAAATCGCTGCTTCTGGAATTTCTCGAAGTATGCATTGCGCTTTACTATACATGAAATAGTGTATGCTATCTCGGGGAAATCCCTCGTGTCGACGCTATCATTCCGAAATAGCGTACAATAGAGTCTCCGAGGTATGCTGCCTTAAGCCTACAACGACGTCGCTTTAGGCTCGTCTACTCGCCTGCCTATATTGACAGCGATGGTGTACATCGTTGCCACTACGAGTACAAGGCCAGGCCTCCACCACACGATGTTACCCTCCTGGACACTAATTCACACTAATTACAGTCATGTAACAAACCTGTGAAACACGATATGTCAAATGGCCACTCGCTTGCCAAATAATGGCTGGGCGCAGTTCTGATTTCCCGCAGCAAGGAGCAGCATGGCCGACCCGAACAAGTGGATGGGCCTCCTGCGCTGGTCGATGCAGCAGCAAGATGGCACGCATGCGTCCGAGTTCAAGGCCATGGACCCGCACGACCGCGAGTGGCTCGAGCGCGTCATGAAGGAGTGCGTCATTGACGAGATCGAGCGCATGCACCAGATCATCCGCATCTGGGCGGACGAGGATCCGCGCCAAGTGCTGCCCAAGCTCATTGAGGAGCCGCCGGAAAACCCGTTTACGCCCGAAGAGATTGCGGACTACAAGGAAGCGCTCCTCGATGAGATGCTCACGCGCATCGACCAGATTGACAATGCGCAGACGTTCATCAAGATTGGCGGTCTCCCGAGCCTCCTCTCGCTTTTCCAGAACCCGCGCCCGACGACGCGCGCGCTCGCCGCTGAAGTCTTTGCGACCTGCGCGCAGAACAACCCGCCCGTGCAGAAGGCCGGCCTTGACGCGTCGATCATCGAAGCGCTCTGCAAGATGGTGACCGAGGACACGGACGCCGACTGCCGCTCGAAAGCGCTTCTTGGCATCTCGTGCATGGTGCGCAGCCTCGACAAGACGTCCGAGCGTTGGTTTGTATCGCAATGCGATGGCCTCGGTGTGCTCACGCGCTGCCTCGACACGGGCGACATTCGCCTCCAGCGCCGGTCGCTCTTCCTCCTCCGGTACCTCGTCAACGCATCGATCGAGAACGCCCAAGTGCTGTTGACCAACGGCGTCTACCTCCGCGTGTGCGCGTCGCTTGTCGGCGGCGACGACGTGGACCTCAACGAGTCGTCGCTGCAAGCGCTCTCTGAGTTTGCGTCGCTCGGCCCGGCGTTCAAGGCTGCGTGCAAGGCGCCGGCGCTCCAGCTCATTGCCAAGATCCAAGCGCGTCTCGCGGTCATCGCGTCGCTCGAGGGCGATGAGAAGGAGTTTGCATCCGAAGAAGCTGCCTTCGCGTCCCTCGTCCTCGAGAACCTCGATGTGCTCGAGTGAGCTACATAGACGGGACATTTATTAGTATATAAATATAGCTCAATCTCTCTTCATATATATATGCTTCGAAACGGAAACCCGATCGACATACCATTAACGTCGACATGGTCTGCGCCAAAGCAGCGAGCAATGGGACGCGGGTGGCGACGAAGAGTTCGCTCTCTGGTACCTCGGCGTGCTCATGGCCATCGCCGCGTCCATTTGCACCGACATGGGCGTCAACCTGCAAAAGTACTCGTTTCTGTGCGAAGCCAAGCGCCCGGTCAAGCGCGGGTACTTCTTGCAGCCAAAATGGGCCTTTGGTGCGTCCGAACTCCGTGCTGCGCTGGAACGAACGCGTGTTTAGGCCTCTTCCTTGTCGTCTTCGGCAGCATCGGCGATTTCGCGGCCCTTGGCTTCATCCCGCAGAGCCTCGCGATCCCCGTCGGTGGCTTTACCATCGTCGCCAATGTGTTTTTCGCCCACTATTTTCTCAAAGAGCCTTTTTCCAAGCGCGTACAATAATGCTGCGATTTCCGACCCTTTTTCAATGTGGCGTCTAGGACGGCGTTGGCACGGGCCTCATCGTGCTCGGGATCATGGTGGTCGCTGCCTTCGCGAGCAAGACCAACGACTGTATCCCACGTCGCTTTCGAACCGAGGTCTCATAAGCGTAGGCTACACGATCGACGAGCTGCTCGTGCTCTTCAACCAAACCAACTTTATCGTGTATGTCATTGTGGTCGCCTGCACGTCGCTCGCGCTGTACCTGTACATTCGCAAGATCCGCGCGGTCGCGATCCAGCACGGTGCCGGGTCGTCGATGCACCGCGCGTACGCCAAGACGCACTCGGTCATCTGCCCCGCGCTGTCGGGCGTCTGCGGCGCGCAGTCGGTTCTCTTCGCCAAGGCGTCGGCCGAGCTCTTCAAGTCGACGTTGGCCGGCGACAATCAATTCACGTCCGTGGCGACGTATGCAATCGCACTTATGATGCTCATCTGTATCGTGCTCCAAGTACGACGCCATCCATCTCGACAAGAAGCATACTGCATTGGAGTAGATCCACTGGCTCGCCCAAGGCCTCAAGACATCCGACACCATCTTTGTCGTCCCTGTCTTCCAGGTAGCCACTCCATGTGTGTAGCTCCGTTTCTTATCGACCTCAGTGCTTTTTCATCGCCGTATCGATCGTCGGCGGCGCCGTCTACTTTAACGAGTTTGCGACCATGAGCGTCCTCCAGGTGCATTGCTACGTATTGGATGGTGCGGAGGGCTGTTCCACGACGCATTGGTAGCTGATTATGTTCTTCGTGGGCGTTGTCATTACGCTTGGCGGTGTCCTTATCCTCTCCAAGCGCGAAACGAGCACGCTCCCGCCGACCCAGAAATGGCGCGCCGCGGTGATCATGATCATCTTTATCAAGCGCACGCAGAAGCGCATTGGTCACCCATACTCGTGGACGGCAGCGAACGCACCGCCGATGCTGCAGCCGATAGCAACCAAATCGAGCCGCGTTTTGCCCATAAGTTCGGCCGTCAACATCGACTCGACCGTGCTGGCGAGCGAGCCTGTCGACGTTCGGAAGAGCGGGACGGGTCCGGTGGCGAGCCTTTCGTGGGCCAAGGTCGCTACCATCGATAGCCCGCCAAGGGCGACAAACGAGTAGACATAGTGTATTTATAAGCCTATGTAAGTAGAATTGGATCGGCTTATTACTGATGGTAGAACGCCGTCATGGCCGTTTGGAGGTCGGGCGACTCAAAGCTGAACGTGTTGCCGGTGATGAGCTCAAAGAGGAGGATGTAGCGACGTGCGAGTTCCTGGACGAGCTCCGTCGGCGCGGCCGGCAGCACCGCGTCGTTGTACGGGTCGCAGTTGTCCTTGAACCAGAGGCGCAGAAACTCCTTGTCAATGTTGTCGGGGCTTTGCTTGGCCGCCATGCGCGCTTCGTACGACGCCGCGAGCCAGTAGCTACATGAGCGTTCTGCACTCGAAACGTTGATAGTTTTTGGCGTACCGGCTCGAGTCGGGCGTGTGAATCTCGTCAATCAGAAGGATCGTGCCGTCTTCCTGGACACCAAACTCGTACTTGGTGTCGACCAAGATGAGGCCACGCTTCGCTGCGGTCGCTTGGCCGAACGCAAAGAGCTCGAGCGCCTTCTGGTGGCAGTAATCCCACTGCGCCTGCGTCATGCGCCCCGACGACACCACCTCGTTGCCGGAAATGAGCTCGTCGTGCACGTCGTCCTTGGTCTATAAAAAAATAGATATGAGAACGACGAAGCGAGGTCGAGAGTACCGTCGGCGTGACGAGGTTCTCGGGCAGCTTTTGGTGCTGGACGTAGCCGTCCGCGAGCTTGTGGCCGCAAAAGTCGCGGCAGCCCTTGGCATAGTTGGTCCACATCGACGTCGACGTCGAGCCAGTGATGTAGCCGCGCACGACAAATTCGACCGAGAAGACCGTCGCTTGCTTGCAGACGACGACGCACGGGTGCGGCGTCGCGATCACGTGGTTGGGCACGATGTGCTCCGTGGCCTTGAACCACCACGCGCTCGTGAGCGTGAGCACTTGGCCCTTGCACGGCACGGACGCGAGCTGGCGATCAAACGCGCTCTGGCGGTCCGTCGAGACGAGCACGACCTGCTTGCGCTCGGGCAGCACGTAGATGTCGCGGACCTTGCCGACGATCTTGGTTGCCGGCGCCGGCAGCTGGAGGTCGGTGGCGGCAATTGCGCTGCTGCGCGCGATCTGCTCCTTGTAGCCCTGCGTGCGGGCTTCGGCTTCGGCGACGATGCTGCTCATGCTGGTGGCGGATGGAAATGGAAAACTGGTCGCCGCCAAAGACCAAGATCCAAAAGATGTGCCCGCTGGATCACGAAACATCCATACGCATCTCGGATTGGATAAAACACATTTTTTGCGATGCTGCGATTGGTCCATCTCTGCCTCTGCTGATGATATTAGCCAGTCTTTGTCGCTTTAGTCGATCTCGTATTTCGACTAAACTGGACACGCACCAGATGAGCACGTGTGTGCGCACGACTTCTCGCCGCTTGCATGACGCTGTTTTTGCTGCCTCTACTTCCTGCAGTCTGCATTGGAGAAGAGAGAATCCTTCCATACGAGGACTGTGCTTGCAGCGTCCTCGTCGTCAAGTGGGTACGCATCATCGTGCTACCTTGGCAATGTCGAGCAAATCACGTGCCAGCTTAGTCGATCCGCCATCAGATCTTAGTCGGTAGACGGACCAATGGGACGCTGCGGTGACACGAAGTTCGAAGTAAGAACTTGAACTACGACGTTCGTGGGGGCTTCGACGGGTTTACGTTGACAGCGGAGGACCGCCCACAAAAAATATCTTGGGCAGCCCAGTCGCCGATTTGCCCCGTTTAGTCAACAAGACCCTCACCATGTCCGACGAGAAGAAGCAAGAAGTCGCCGCCCAAGGTATCAGCTCGATGCGCTGCGGGCAGGCCCTGTATATATTCTATCCTAGGCAGCGCGCCGTTCAAGTCGTTCCTCTCGGGTGGCTTTGGCGGCATGTGTCTCGTCGCCGCCGGCCACCCGCTCGACTTGATCAAGGTCAACATGCAGACGATGCCGACGCCCAAGGCGGGCGAGGCGCCGCTCTACTCGAGCGCTATGGACTGCGCGCGCAAGATCGTCGCCAAAGACGGGGTGCGTGGCCATGCTTCAGACGACGGTGGCTCATGGCATGTTGGCTTGGTAGCCCAAGGGTCTCTACCGTGGCATGACGGCGCCGCTCGTGGGCGTGACGCCCATTTTTGCGATCTGCTTTTGGGGCTACGACATGGGTGCCCTCCTTGCTGTACGAGCGCCTTTGCGTGATGACGGCCGTCGCTCACGTGCCATCATCTTTGTGTAGCGCAAGGCGGCCAACATGAGTGACTCGGACAAGCTCTCGATGAACCAGATTATGTTTGCCGGCGGCTTCTCGGCGATCCCGACGACGATTGTCATGTCGCCCGGTGAGCGCATCAAGTGCTTGCTCCAGGTGCGTTGCATCTTGCGGGCGGTTGACCGTATTGACACGAGCCGTAGATTCAATCGCAAGCAGTTGCGCGCGGTGAGGCGCCCAAGTACAGCGGTATGTCGGACTGCGCCAAGCAGCTCTACCGCACGGGCGGCATTGGCAGCTTGTACCGTGGCTGGGAGGCGACGTTGCTGCGCGACGTGCCGGGCTCGATCGGGTACTTTGGAGGCTACGAAGGCGTCAAGCGCCTCCTCACGCCCGAGGGCCAGAGCCCCGAGGACCTCAACGCGTTCCGTACGTTTGTCGCCGGTGGTCTTGCCGGCGTCATCAACTGGGTCGTTGCGATCCCGCCGGATGTCATCAAGTCGCGCATCCAGACGGCGCCCGAAGGCACGTACCGTGGCGCGGGTATCATGGATGCGTACAAGCACTTGGTGCAAACCGAGGGCCACGGCGCGCTCTTCAAGGGCGTCGGCCCCGCGATGGCGCGCGCCTTCCCTGCCAACGCGGCGTGCTTCCTCGGCATGGAATTTTCCAAGAAGCTCTTGACGGTCCTCGGTGTCAACTTTTAAAACCACTTTTGTCCATTTGAATGCACTGTATTTTGCGACTGATTGAATTTGAGCTCGCGTCCATGTAGCAAACGCATGCGACCATTTATGCATAGCTTTGGCGACCTCTGTGCGAGCTCTGTGAGCTTCCGTGGATCCTCCGCGCGTGGCGATCTTTGTGCGAAATGACCAATCAGCGTCCGACCATCGACTTTCATCGAAATATCAATTTTGAGAGAATACAACCTGGATCCACGTCAACCAAACTATTCTAGACGAGCTCGACTGGATTGCACAGCATGTAGCTCGATTCATTTAGAGAGCCGACGCTGCAAGCGCGATGCTTTGCTGTCGAGCGAGATTATTGGCCGAGCGGCGAAATGCTGGAAAGGCGAGCTCTTCGGAGCCAAAGGAGCGAGTTCGCCTGGAAATTGGGTGCAGACCTCCGACACCAACGCTCTGGGCCACAAATGCGACGCTCCGTAGCTTGGAGCAAGGACGACGAGGTTGGATTTGAAGACTCCCTGGGCTCGCCGCCCGTTCCCGCCGTCGCCAACGTGACCATCTAACTCCCCGCATCTGGAGCACACCAAGGTCGTCGATGCCAGTCCGCACGACGTACAACCACACCCGAGCGCGACCTGCATCGCGCGTGATGCATGCGTTGGAGACTCTAGCAAGGCTAATTTACATTCTGCGAGCTATACCGGGGCTCGAAAAGTGGTGGCATGACTCATCTTTATCAAGATCAACGCTTAACCCTCCCGCGCTGGGATTAGTAGAAACTGTCCTTACAGAGCAAAGTCAACCAGCTACGCGCGAACCATTATCTCGTCAAGTCGTTCTCGCCTCACGCATGAGAGCGGTAGGGCTGCGGTGCACAGGTGAAAGGATTCCATGGGCACCGTGTACGACCGCCGTCCACACGAAAGACGCGGTTCGAGCCCACGCGATCGCATGCCTTCTGCGCTCTCCACGTCCATTCGTAACGCGCCATGTTGGCGCGGCTCCTCGGGCATGGCGCAAGCCGCGTACGCTCGCACAAATGCCAATCATCTGCCAAAGTCGCCATTTCATTGGTTCACGCGCCTGATAAACGCTGTTACGTAAGCCAATCCCAGCGTCGCACTGTCAATACCAGTTTTCGATTGGTTCAAATGCAGCGCCAAAATGCAACTTCAATGTACCGGTGCCGAGCCCGACGCGGTCGACAACCCGGCTGCCAAGGAGCATTCCTTCATTTCCCCGCGACCTCCGAGTCATGGCCAACGACACGAAGGCAGAAGCCCAAGGTACAGCGTCGTGTACTAGCGCGAGTTTGGCACGACTCACTCTCTGGTATTAGGCAGCACGCCGCTCAAGTCGTTCCTCTCGGGCGGCTTTGGCGGCATGTGCCTCGTCGCCGCCGGCCACCCGCTCGACTTGATCAAAGTCAACATGCAGACGATGCCTGCGCCCAAAGCCGGCGAGGCGCCCATGTACGCGAGCGCGGTCGATTGTGCGCGCAAGATTGTGGCCAAGGACGGGGTATCTTTTTACGCCATTCGTCTTGCAGCACACTCATACACGCTATGTAGCCGCGTGGGCTCTACCGTGGTCTGGTCGCGCCGTTGGCCACGATCACGCCGATCTTTGCCACGTACTTTTGGGGCTACGACCTCGGTGCGCTCATTGCGGTACAGAATCCACGACCACGATGGAGGTTGACATGCGTACTAGCGCAAGGCCGCGGGGATGGCGGACGACGAGAAGCTTTCGATGAGCCAAATCATCTTTGCCGGTGGCTTCTCGGCGATCCCAACCACTGTCGTCATGTCGCCCGGCGAGCGCATCAAGTGCTTGCTCCAGGTACGCATCGTTGCCAGCAGAGGGCGCTACAACAAATGATAGATCCAAGCGCAAGCCGTCGCGAGAGGCGAACCGCCGCAGTACAAGGGCATGGTCGACTGCGCGTCGCAGATCTACCGCACGGGCGGGCTCTCGAGTCTCATGCGGGGCTGGGAAGCGACGCTTTTGCGGGACATCCCGGGCTCGGTCGGCTACTTTGGCGGCTACGAAGGCTTCAAGCGGCTCCTGACGCCGACGGGCACGAGCACGGACGACCTCAGTGCGCTCCGCATCTTCTTTGCCGGCTGCATGGGCGGCGTCATCAACTGGATCATCGCGATCCCGCCCGATGTTATCAAATCGCGCATCCAGACGGCCCCCGACGGGTTCTACACAGGGTCGGGCATTGTCGATGCGTACAAGCACTTGGTCACGACCGAGGGCCATGCCGCGCTCTTTAAGGGCATGGGCCCGGCCATGGCCCGCGCATTTCCAGCCAACGCCGCCTGCTTCCTTGGCATGGAATTTTCCAAGAAGCTGCTCACGGCCATGGGACTAAACTTTTAGTTAGTAGTTTTAGCATAAATACATTTTCTATTGTCGTGCATGCGTCGGACTTTCTGGCAACACCGCCAATTTGGGGGTTCAACGTCCAACGCTACAACTGCGCTGCCGTTGGCCATGAGCCATCGACGGTGCTGACGTCTACCAAAGGAGTGGCGCAGTCCAGCGTCATGGCACCAAGACCATGCCATCGCTTTCTGCAATACGTGTTGCTAAAGAGACCTATCCCTTCGAGTCCCCGAGACCCGCATCCAAGATGACGTCGTTGAAGCCGATTTTCGAAGCCCATCGCATCCGGTCCTCCGGATAAAGATCGTCGAAGCTGCACGATCTTATAGTTGAAGTGTCGTCGTCGCAGCATGCTCCGCAACCAGCGCGTCACGGCCATGCTCGTGCTACTGTTGCTTCTTGGGACCGACGCAGGTCGCCGCTACGCCGTGCGGGATGGCCGCATCCGCGAACTGTCCATGTTTGCCGATGAAAACGCGTGGATCGCCCACGTCGCCACCCACCTCACTGTGCCCACGGCAGCACTCTCCACGTACGGTTCATGGTCCATCTGCACGCTCGATCGTACTCATGGCATGCGTAGCGTCACTGAGATGCAGCGCCAGCACGTGTCGGTGGACGCGATCTGGGTGCACCAGCTCTTCAAGGAGCGCTCCATCGAGAGCGCCCGCGTTGCGACGCAGCGTCCCGTGCATGCGTACGTCACCCTCTCCCATCTCCATAGACCGATACACAACAGCGTACTCTCTGCGTATAGCGGGTACCGCGCGAGCGTCGCGATGCTGAGTGCGCACTCGATCTTTGTCCTTGGGCGCAACGGCCTTTTGTTTGAACGCTACTTCAACGGCGTCGTGTGGGTGTACATGCGGCACGTGGGCGCGACCGAGTCGGTGTACGTCAAGCGACGAGCCTCGACGGGCGACGTGGCTTACACTTTGAGCGCAACGCCGCACATGGCGCCCATGGTGGCCGTCACCCGCATCGCGCACAAAAGGTTTCAGAGCATTCTCGTCGCCGACGCGACCGGGCGGCTACTGCAGCGGGACGTGAGCGACAACCGGCAGCTGCGCTGGGTCGACATCACACCGCCCGGCGCTACCGTCGCGACGACCGGCGTGCTCTCCGCGGACGGTCGCTTTTACATTGCGGCGGCGGACGGGCAGGTGTTTTCCTGGGACGTGGCGTCGGCGTCGTTGCCGCTATGGCACCGCGAAGCCCTCGACGTGGACGACCCGGCGGACGCGATTGTGACGGTTGTCGGCGCGTCGAAGACGCTCTACGTGCTCACGGCGCTTGGCCGCCTCCTCGAATTCGCACTCGAGCATGGCGAGCGACAGTTTATCGACCACAGCGCAGCGATTCGGTTCCAAATCGAAGCGAGTTTGGGCGTTGTAAACACGGCGACGAGCGTGTTTGGGCTCAGCCCGACATTGGGTCTCGTCGAGTTCAACAAGACGACGTCCACCTGGCGCGTGCACGGCCACCCGCCGACGGGCCAGCTTCTCGGCGGTCTCGGCGGCAACGACCCGAGTATGCTGCTCGTGGTCGCGAGTGACTTTTCGCTCTGGCAGTGCAATGCACTCGAAAGCGATTCGATCGCCAAGTGGATACACCACGGAGGCCACGCTGTGCACCCAGTACCGCCGATCGCACTCGGTACCGACGACATCTTGCTGCAGCTCAGCGACGGTCGGCTCGGGCGGCGCTGGCGGCAGCACCGCAACGAAGCGTACGAGACAATGCCCGTGTTGCACGATTGGCAGTGGGATGTGTACGACGTGCCCGAAGGCGCCGCGGCGCCGTGTGGCTACTGCTCGAACGAGCCCGACACCGAAGACAACTGCGTTCGGGGCACGCCAGCGCGCCTGCACGACGCGTAGCGACGAGAATGGAATAAGGACGTAACGGGAAGAAAACTTATGCTACGTGTTTGGTTCTGAGTGGCACACTCTAGAAATTGCCACGTCATGGCAAACCCACCCTTGTGAAACTTGGGTGCCAGCAAGGAAGAAAGATTGCTTATTCCTTGAAGACAGGTTCAGCCACCGTACGAGGCGTGTGTCCCACCTGCAAGTTGCCTGCTTCCCGTCGCTGAAGGCGGTGCCATCAGATGCAAGCATGCAGCAGAAGTGGTAGTAGAGTAGTTTTGGTTCAAGTTGACGGCCACTAAAGCACCATGTCGGCGTAGCCCATCGCCGGCGTGCGCATGTAGGGCACGAGCGCCTCGCCGAACGTGTCTTGAAGCGTGTCGAGCGTCTGCTTGAAATCGCTGGACGTCGCCGTGTTGGTTTGCATGGATAAATACTGCCCGGCGGCATGCTACATGCAAATCGATCAAAAGGATGCTTGGAAGGCCAGCACACAGGGTACCACAAGGATGCCATGGCAGTTCTGCGCTTCGAGGCGCTGCACTTGGTTGGAATTCGACGGCGCAAAGCACGGCGTGAGCACGGCCAGATACGCGGCAAGGTGCGGGAAGAGCAGCCGCTCCATGACCAGCGGCCCGAGGTACATGAGCCCTGCAAATTTCCGTTAGCACCACCAAAAAAACGCCAACGACGCACCGACAATTGCGCCATAGTGCGTCGGGAACGGGCGGGACGCGTCCATAAAGGCGCCGTGGAAGGTCTTGGAGACGCGGGCTTGGATGCTGTTGTACGTGTTTCCAAACCTAGTTGGCATAAGAATCGGCTAAGACCACTCGCTTTTGTCGAGCAATCTGCGACGCACCGGGAGCAAATCTCTGCCATGAGGCGCGCGCCATAGTTGCGGACGGCCCAGTGATCTTCGGCCGGGTTGGCACACAGGTCCTTGTTGAGGATGCACGTCAAGATGGCCGGAATCATCTGCTGGAGCTAGAAAAGGAAATACTATGAGCCGTGACATGGGACGAGGAGGCGCGTGTACGTAGAGCTCGATGCGGAGACCGACGTTGTGCAGAAGGGCGCGTGCCATGCGCAGCACGGACGAGAGCAGCGCGAGATCGTGGTTGCTGTGCTTGACTTCTTCGTAAATGAAGCGCGAAAAGTACGGCATGAGCTGGTGGAGACCCGGGTCATGCGACAAGCTCGTGTACGCGGCCTGCTGGCGCGCAAAGTCATCGCTCTTCACCGCGTCCGTGACCTTGGTGTAGTAGAGTTGCATCTCGTCCGTCAAGACGTGCTTGACGAGCGGCTTGCGCACAACGTCGCCCGTGAAGGCCGGGTCCGAAATCGACGTCGCGGACCGTGCGTGGGCGTTCGTGTCGAGCACGTCGTTCTCGGGGATCTGCGGCTGGACGCCTTCGACTGCCAGCCAGTGCATGTTGACGCTGGGCACGAGCGGGCACAGCGGAAAGGGCGCGTTGAGGATGTCGGCCACCGCCACCTCGGGGTCCTCGGGTACAAAGAGGCCCGGGCTAATGCGGCGGTAGCTCACGCCGTCGCCGCCGCCATAGCCATACAAGATCTACGCATGCATCACGATCGTCTGCTGCTGCTGCTGCGCCGGCGACGTATACCTCCATGTTGCGCGCGGTTGATGTCCCGCGTCGTGAGCGTCTCGCGGCGCGCATGGGTCTGGAACTTGACCGCGTCCTGGATGATCTCGCGGAGGCGGAACTCGACTTCGGGCGCGAGCTCGGCCGCGCAGCCCTCGCGGAGGCGGTCCAGCCCGAGGCTCTGCGCGATGACCGCGATCGACTCCTCCCGGACGACGCTCATACTATTTGCCACACGTTGGTTTGTATTGGCAACCGGACAAACGTGGTATTTAAATGTCAATCTGGTCGTCTATCCTCGTCTTTGTATGTTGCATTGTTTTGCGCAATAAAATACCACAGGCCATTGCCAGCCCAGCACGACAGCAGCATGAGCGCGGTGAGCAACAAGTCGTTTGAGGTCAACCTCCAGGGCGAGGTTCCGTACAAGGACTACACGGCCTTCGAGGAGCGCATCCGCGGCCTCTGCGGCGACGACACGGAGAAGGTATGGCATGCATGCTAGGCGGCGACGCCGACTGCATGGCCATGTAGGAGCAATTCTCGTTCAAGGAATATGTCTACAACTTTGACGCGCAGAGCCCGCAAGGTGCGGCCGATAGCATGGAGATGGCGCATGACTCCGAGGCTAGGCGTGCCCAACTACGAGGTCCGCGCGCGCCATGTGATTTACGGCTCGTGCACGTACACGGGCGCGGCCGTCGAAGCCACGTCCAAGGGCAGCCAGAAATGGTGCTTTCTCGAGCACGACGACAATGAATTGGCTCATGCAACATGCGTAGGGAGCTGCGCTACATTGGCAAGTGGGAGCGCAAGAAGCCGACCGACCAGACGGGCCGCGCCGCCCAGAGCGTCGCGTACCGTAGCCAAGTCGCCGTGTCGGCCAGCGACAACGTGCGCACCTTCTTGTCGACGCTCGGGTTCCGGTAGCCTCGTCTGCCACTCGACCAGCCTTCTCAGGTGCATATCTATAGCCATAGCTTTCGGTACATGCGGTCGGGCACGCGCTGGAACTTTCCCAATGGCATCATGGTCGAAGCGACGCGCATGAAGCCCGTACGCAGGTTCCATCTTGCTGCGTCGTCTATGATGCTTGTGCTTGTAGCTCGAGAAGGACGAGCAGGATGATTTTCCGCTGGAAAACATGCAAGTCGACGCGCTGCTCGTCGAGGTCTCGGCGCTCACGACCGACGACAAGATCGAAGAGGTCGCGCAGAAGATCCGCCGGCTCGCGATCGACCTCGACCCGTATACCTTCTTCGCGATCGCATGTTGCGGTGCTCATGCGTCGTCTGTAGGTACTTTATTGAGCGGCCCGTGGAAGGCAAGGAGGTGTCCCATCACACGGCGATCCTCGCGGGCGAGATGCGCAACATGAAGAAGCAAAAGGTTCGCCGGTAATGCATCATCCATCATCCATCCATCCTCATTGTACACATGATGATCTCGACCTCGTATTTCTTCCCCGCGTGACGAGGCGTTGGCTACGAAAACATCAAGTCGCGCGACGGGAGCTGGCCGACGCCACGGATCCGCAGCATCGACGGGAAGAGGTCGACTGTCGCAAATGCATTTTCGCGGGCTTCGAGTGCGGCTTGGAAGACGACATAGTGCACGCCAGACGCGTCGTCTTGCGTGTACCCGTTCTCGTGGCAGTGCCCGCTGAGGACGGCCTTGACGCTCGCGTGGGCCTGCAGCAGCCGAAGGATCTCATCGTAGTTCCAGAGGAGGCACGCCATGTGGCACGAGTCCGGGTGCAGCGGCACGTGGGAGAAGAGCACAACCTGCTGTCTCTTGGCGTCGGCCGCTTCGAGCAGCGCGTCGAGCCACTGGAGCTGCGACGCGCCGATACCGCCGTTGTACTCGACAAAGCGCCTCGCCGGGCCGTCGAGGTGGTCGGACGAGTTGAGGTCCTCGTTCGGGTTGCGCTGACGCAGAAACTAGCATCCATTTATGGCATGAGTCGGATGAGAAGGAGACGAGAACCTCTTTGCACGCGCTGTGCTCGGCCGAGCCCGGGCGGCTGCCGAGCACGGACGTGTCGTACGGATCCAAAATCGCAAAGACATACGATGGCGCCTCGGGGATCGTGAACGAGTAGTAGGCGACCGTGGTCGCGGGCGGCGGCAGCGACGACGGCAGCGCGCGCGACGACGTCCGATGCACGAGGAGGCGCAGGTACTCGTCGCGCGTAAAGTTGTACAGCTCGTGGTTCCCGATGCAGTGGTGGACGGGGCCGACGCGGTCCTGGAAGCGCTCCAAGGACCCGCGGAGCAGCGCGAGCGACGATTCCGACTGACCGAGGGCAGCGTTCTTGCCGTCGAGGAGGTCGCCGAGGTTGACGACGAAGCGCAGCGGGCGGGTTGTGGCCTCGAGCAGCCATGCGTCGACCGCGGCCTCGAGGTGGCGCCGGGCATCACGGTAGTACCGCTTCGACGTCTTCGTGTAGTTCCAAGCGTCATCCACGTCGGCGTACTGGACGTCGGCGATGGCCCTAGCATGCATCGTCATCGTCATCCTGCCTCGGCTCATGCATCGCACCCGAACGAAGCCAGCGGCTCCAAGGTCATCGTCCTGATCCCAATCCAAATCTACGCCGATACGCCATGTGTCGACTTGAAATGTAGTGCATACAAACAGCATGATATTATTTTAAATGGTGCGATATTGAGCTCTGCGACGTATGTGTGTTCTAAACGCGACACAAATAAATAGACCGTTTTTGTGCCGACATTACCATAAACAGCTTATATCTCGTAATAAACAGGACAACGATTTTAATTACGTCAGTGTAGGCTTGAAAAAGGACAGAAATACGTTGTCATTGCGTCAAACATCCCATATAAGTATCAACATGGACTCGCATCGGCAGAGTTGATTGGACAAGATGAGCGTCGAGCTCGAGATCGATGAGAGCAAGGTCTGGAGCCCGGAGGAGCGGCAGGCGTACCTCGACCAGATCCCCGAGATGTCACTCTTCGAGGACCACATCCTCGAGGGCGACGTCATGGTCGACGCCATGATGGCGCTCGTCGAGGAAGGCGAGACGGCCGAGACGCTCGCGCTCAAGTTCAAGAACAAGGGCAACAAGATGTTTGCCGACGCCAAGAAGTCCAAGAACCATCTCTACTACGAGTATGCCATCAAAGAGTACAGCGACGCACTGGCGTACGGCCTCAAGGCGCTCGCAGCCCCGACGCCGGCGGACGAGCTCGCGGCCATGGACCTCGACGAGCCCATTCGCATGCCGGCGCTCATGACGACAATCCTCTCCAACCGCGCGGCCGCGCACCTCGCGCTCAAGAACTATGGCAGCTGCCGCTCGGACGCGGCGCGCGCGCTCCAGCACGACAGTAAGCACCTCAAGTCCATCTACCGCGGCGCCAAGGCGTCGGCGATGCTCAAGAAGCCGGCCGATACGCTGCGCTACTGCAAGGTGGGCTTGGCCATCGACGCGACCAACAAGGAGCTCCTCGTACTCCAACGCGACGGCGAGAAGATGCTCGAGGAGCAGCGGCAGCAGGCCGAGCTCGACGCGTTCAAGGCCAAGAAGGCGCATGCGATGGTCGAAAAGTACCGCAAGCTCTGCACGCTCCGAAACGTGCGCGTCGGTCGCGGTATCCTCGACGACGCCCGCGTCAAGGACTTTGAAGGCAAGGCCGACTTGGACGAAGAGGGCGTCATGTGCTGGCCCGTCCTCTTCCTCTACGACGAGTACGGTCAGTCGGACTTTATCCAGTCGTTTGGCGAGCAAGACATGTTCATCGAGCACCTCGCCAACATGTTTCCGGAGGAAGGCCCGTTCTGCTTCTGGGACAAGCGCCAGGATTACGTGGCCTCGCAGCTCCAAGTGTACGTGGCGGCCGACGTGGTTGTGCCCTTTGCGACGCCGGACGCTTGGCACGTCGCGCTCAATGGCGCGAAAGAGTCGGATGCGATCGAGTCGGCGCGCCTCGACGCGGACGAAAAGCACGGCTACAAGCACAAGGTCTGGCTGCGCGTCTCGCCGTTCTGCAAGTTGTACCGTCTCCTGAGCCACCACCAGTACGTCGTGCCCGGCATTCCCGTCATCAACATCATGGTGCGCGGCTCCAAGCAAGAAGCGTCCTTCCTGGACGCGATCGACGTTATCAACCTCGAGGAGCGCTAAGCAAACGATACATACTATACGACAATTTTGTAAATGGAAAACCCCAGCGACCTGTAATGCGCGAAGGAGCCTCTTCAACGTCGTTCAGAATGCGACGTCGTCGTCCTCTCTCTGGAGGCGGCGCACGTTGGCCTACGAGTAACATGTTTCTTGTATCTAGTAGCTACACGAACATTAGTACATACTGTACTCTTCGCAGAGAGACTGAATTGGAACAGCCAGCCACAAATGCTGTGGCGACGATCCTTGCGCGATAACAGGGCGCCACGTCAGGGCGATTAACATGGCGCCATCTATTCTGGTATGCAAATCCTTTTTTACGCGGGCAATTAACGCCTTCCGAATCTTTTCAGATGCCATTGACGTTTGGAACCGGCGAAGCGACGAGCAGCAGCCAGCACGACGAGAGCGATGCAGCCGCCGAGAGTACAAAAGCGCGCCGCCTCATGGGCTATTGACAGGACGCAGCGTCGCAGGTCACGCTTCTTAAGCGTGCGATACAAACACCGAGTACACGCAGCGCGGCGATGGCTTGAACGCCTTTACAGCCCTCGGCGGCGCGAGTGATCTCTCGTTGCCTCAGAAAACGAAATCGCATGTCCCTCTACGACCCGCTTTACCACCAGAAGCGCGCTGCAAAGCTCGCCGATGCCAAGTTGGCGGCCCAAGAGGCCCTCATGCGTAAGCCAAGCCCGACGGCGGCCACGAACCAAGCTTAGCGTGCCACCGCGTTCGGGCGCAGCACGACCCCGACGATTGTCCGCCAGCGTGCGACGACAACTGTCCCGGTGACTGCGCGATCGACGATTCGGTCGACGCAAACGCCCGCCACGACGGCAGTGCGCCCACTGACGGCGAGCAGCCGCAACTCCATCACCGCCGCGCAGCGTCGCGAACCGGTGGCGAGCGTTGCGCCTGCTCCGTCCAGTGCCATCACGAATGTCAAGCCAACTGGCGCGACATCGACGGCCATCTCCGAGGCGATCCTCGGTGAGCTGCGCTCGGAGGTTGCTACTCTCCAAGCGCAGGTCGTCAACCTCAAAGCCAGCCTCGACGCGTCGCAGGATACGGCCAAGACTAGCGCCTCGGAGCTTGTCCTTGCCCGTGCCCAGCACGACGGTGATCTCGAAACTCTCGCAGATCAACTTCGCGCCTAGCAGAATGCCGCTGAGCATCTTGAGGCATCACTCGAAGCGTCGGAGCATTCTGCTGCGACCTGTGTGTCGACGCTTGTTGCTGCTCAGTCACAGCACGCCAACGACGTCAAGGAGCTCGAGGCGAGTCTCAAGAAGGCACAAGAAGCGGCTTCGGCCGGTGCCGCGCAGCACGAGCAAGAAGTCACTGCTCTGCAATCTGAACTTGTGACAGCGCATGAGACGTCAGCGAACGTCGCGCGCCGCCTCTCGGCCGACCACAAGACGGCGCTGGCCGATGCCAGTGCCACCCTCGCCGTCAAGGGCGCGGAGTTCCGAGCCAAGGACGAAGACGCAGTGCGCGGCCGCCGTGTGGTCTGCCCTGCTTGCGGCGACGTCGACGAAGTGAGTCAGTGGACCATCTTCCCTGGGTCGCTGATGGAAGACACGGACTTTGACAGCGACATTGAGGTGGGTCTCGGTGAACCACCGGCACCGCCAGACCTGGTCGCAGCCGCAGAGCTCGAGACAGAACGCAAGGCTAACGAGGCGCTCAAAGCGCAAGCCGACGACGCCGCAGCCCGCGCCGCATCGAACGAGCTGCGCCTCGAGAACAAGATATTGAAGCTCATGGCGACCATCAGCAATCTCTCGGCCGATGTCAACGCGCTCTCGTCGGACAAGTCGGCGCTCGCAGAGACCAAGACAACGCTCCAGGAGGAGACGACGAGCCTCGCATTGCGCGCAGCCGCTTTGGAAGCGGCGCTGCAGACACAGGAGACACAAGCCAAAACCGACAAGAAGGCGCTCGAGACGCGGGCGATCACGGCCGAAGCCGCCCAAGAAGCCAACGCGACAACGAACCGTGAGCTGGAAACCACCATCGAAGAGCTCTCGACAAGCGCACTCTACCGACGCACCCAAGAGCTCATGAAAGAAGTCCGGGACCTGGAGGCTCAGCTGCACCGCCTTGGGCACTAAGCATAGTAGTAGCTATTAACTGTTTGAATACTACGATGTGATTTGCATTCAACTTGTCTCCATAGCCTTCGATGCATGGCTTTGTAAGGCAATACGCATCGGCGACGCGTACCGAGATGCTTCAACGGGGCGTTGCGTGCAACTTGATGCCTCGTGTTCGTGATAAAAATTACTCAAGGCCTCCAAAAAAGTCGATCTAAGGCGGTCGATCCCGTCGCCAGAGGTGCCACGACACTTGGGAAGGCGTTCAGTACTGCTACCAAGGTCATAAACATCACTTTCAACTCCCAAGTACTACGTGGTGCAATGGGACGACCTGCAAAAGACGGTCGTCGTGTTTTGGATGTGGATTTCGCTGAGATTATATGGATGGAATACGAACTTACAATGATGACCAGCGCCGGTAGTTAAGGTCGTCGTCGTCGTCGTAGAGCATTTTCAGCACATCGTCGTCGCCCGACGCATCCGAGTCGTCGTCGTCGGTCACCGGTGTGCGCCCGATGCGGAGATCGCAATGCGATCGCATAAAGTCGGCAATGTCGGGAAAGCCCGCGTCCCGCGTCTCGGCAACGCCGGCCTCGGTACCGCCCTCGACGCGGTGCGCGTGGAGCCACTGGACGACGTCCAAGTGGCCGTTGGCCGCCGCGCCGTCCATCGCAAGCGTCGAGCAGCCCTCGCTTCGGTGCGCATGCAGCCACTGCACGACCTCCAAGTGCCCATGTGTGGCAGCGCTGTTCATGGCGCGGACCGAGCAGCCTTCGTGGCGGTGCGCGTGGAGCCACTGCACAATCTCCAAGTGCCCGTTCGCGGCCGCCGAGTCCATTGCAAGGACCGAGCACCCTTCGTCTCGGTACGTGTGCAGATAGCGCACAACGTTCAGGTGGCCGTTCCCGGCGGCAGCATCCATGGCGTCCATGGAGCAGCCGACCGTCCGATGCTCGTCAAGGAAGCGAACCGTATGCAAGTGGCCGTTTGCGGCGGCGCCGTCGATCGCTCGAAGGCTTGGGCTGAGCGACGTGTGCGTGTGCAGGTGCCAGAGCACCTCGAGATGGCCATGTGTCGCGGCAGCATCCATGGCCCGATACGAGCCCGGTGCGGAGGCCAGGAGGATCGTGAGCAGCCCCATGTGGCCGATCATAGCCGCGTAGTCGACCGCCGCCGACGTGCCTTTCGTCCGCGCAAGCAGCCACTCGACGAGCTCCATGTGAGCATACCGTGTCGCGCAGTCGACGGCCCGCGGCGTGAGATGCGTCGGGTGGCAGCGCAACCATCGCTGCACGACGCGTATGTTGCCTTCAAAGAGCGCTAAATGCAGCGCGAGCGCATCGAGGCGCGCAGGCTCCAAGCAAAGGTCGTCGGAGCTCAGCGTGCGCGTCCGGTACGCGGCAAAGTACCGTTCGGGCAGGATGAGCTGCCGCGCCGCGTTGGCTTGCGACGTACAAGCGCGTTGGCGTATGCCGATGGCTTCTGCAGCAAGCGGTGCGAGATCCTCAAAGATGCCATCTTGGTAGGCATGCACGAGCAGACGCAGCTCGGGGTTGAGCAGCACCGCCCGGCAGAGCGACGCGTCGACCGTCGGGCGCGGCTTCTTGCGAAGGTCCGGCATGCCACCTCGTCTGTGATTGGCCGAAAAGCAGCGAATCAGCGTCGCAGGAATAGAATCGGATCTTCTTTGAAGTGCAACCTGGCGCGAGACCTCGGAAGTGGTAGCTGTGATGACGACGGGGAGAAGGCCAAGAACGACGACGCATGCCAGATCCACAGGTCCACGCATCTGCACCTGGACAGCGGAAACGCAGTCGCAACCTGGGCTGCGATACCGCGACCGGTGGACCACTCATCAGCGCCGCCGACGAATTCCCGTAGGTAGTGCGTCAAACCTGTTGATGGGTCGTTGGACACCACCGTCGACAGGCTATTTTCCGCCTCACGCCCGCGTAGACAGCCGCGCCGAGACATGCTACGCGCAGGTGCCGCACCATTGCACCCATTCCGGCTACCGTACCACGGGAAAATGACGCCATCTCCTTCTTCCCAATGTACCCTTGGCCATCAAGGTCATGGTTCCGAGTCCTGCGAAAGGCTGGCGAGATGCGCTTCGAACCTTGCTGCTATCACCGTGGTCAGCAGCGAATCTCCACCGCCGTCCGTGTACTTGGTTGTTGAATTTGGTGTCCAGCGCAAGGTCGGAACCACCTACATTCTGCGCTCGGCATCCGGATAAAGCAGACGTATCCGTAAAGAACGCGACCAATTCGCCTAAAACCAGACCGCATATCCTGATCTCGCTGCCAGCACGCATGTTGACGCTGCCATGGCACCGCCGGGCGCTGCCCGAGGAGAACCGCGCGGCCTCGTCGCCGCACTCGTCGTCTGCGACGTCCTCGACAGCCATCGAGCCGACGTCGCCCGCCCATGTGCTTCTCTCGACCGAGCGCCGGGACGAGCTGCTCCACGTCGCCCGGACCAAGCGCATCTCGTGGGTCGAGGGCATGGGCATTGGCCGCAAGCGCCGGCCGTCCGCGGGGCATGCGCGCCACGCGACGTCGACGGTGCTGGAATGCACCAAGTGCGCGGACGAGCTCATGCACTTTATGGACGCGTTGGAGCTAGCACCGTCGTCGACGCCCGAGACGCCGACCTCGCTTGGGACGATCTCGCTCCTCGACGAGATCGTGCAGCCGCATGGCCATACGCCGTCGCTTCCAATCGACCCGTCGTTCCGCCGATCGTACAACCAGCTCCTCGACGTCCTCCGCCACGCCGACGCAGCCGACCTCGTGCACACGATCCAGACGTTTCTCAAATCTTTCCAGGAAAAGGTCGCCGCCGATGCAGGAAAGCGACCCGCGTCGCACTTTGGCGAGCGCGTCCAGCACTTCGTGACGCACCTCATGCATTTGCTGCAGACGTCACCGCTCGTGCAGCGCATGGAGCGGCAGAAGCTCCTCGAGGACTTCAAGGACCCCGAGTGGCGGCGCGAGGCGCTCGAAGCCTTCCTCATGGAGAAGCTGCATGCGACCGTCTTTCCCGCGTCCAGCAACCTCGATGCAGCGCTCTACGACCGCATTGCGTCCCTCCGCTTCCTCGACTTTGCGCACTTGGACATTACCGCGACGTCGGATCTTCCGCGATGGAAATCGATCCAAGACGACCTTTCGGCGCTGCCTCGGTACTTGAGCCCGCGCCGCATGATGACGTGCATTTTGCACGTCTGCCAAGAGCTCACGCACCTCCTGCGCGCGCACCACGGGCGGTATCCGGGCGCCGACGAGTTCCTCCCCGCGCTCATTTACACCATCCTCAAGGCCAACCCGGTCCATCTCCACAGCGTCGTCCAGTACATCCAGAATTACCGCCACCCCTCGAAATTGCTCTCGGAACCTGGCTACTTTTTCACGCACGTCGTGTCGAGCGTCTCGTTCTTGGAGCAGCTCGACGACTCGGGCTTGAGCATATCGCCCGAGGACTTCCACGCGGGCCTCGCCGCGACCAAAGAGGCCGTCGGTGACGCGGGCGCCGTCATCGAGCCGTTGTCGCCGACCAAGGAGACGCCGTGTCTTGACCACTCGGAAGACGCGCAGTTGACGCCAATCAGTGTCCTCGAGGTCCGCGCCCGTCGCCGGGTCTCGGCCCTCACGCCGTCGGTCGTGCCCGTGCTCATGACACCGACGAGGACGTCGTCGCCGTCATTTCTCGACAAGACGGCGGCGGACCTCCGCCTCTGTGACATTCCGCTGCTGCTGGACGAGTACAAGGCGCTGCACCGACGCGCCCGTGACGCCTAGGCGTTGATTAACTTATATCCGTAAAACTTTGCCGAGCCCAATGAGAAGCATTCCTGTACAGTGCATTACAGGGCATACTGTATCAAGGGGTATATGGACCCTTGGTGCAGTAGCTTATGCTTGCTGGGCCTGTTGCAGCGGCGGCTGCGCTATTGTCGCGTCCATCTCGAGGAGAAAGTCCTGCAGCGCGTCATACACCGTGGCGCATTTCGGGACGATGTGGCCTTGCTGGTGCACGTGGCGTGTGACGAGGCCTGGCGTCGCGGCCTCAAAGAGCGCGGCGAGCTGCTCCGACTTGGCAGCCGACACGACGCGGTCGTTGATGCCATAGGCGTGGAACGACGCGACGGTCGGGACGAGGCCGCTGGCGAAGATGGACGCGACGTCGCGCGGGTCACAGTAGCCGCCAAGAAAGACCGCCACGGACGGCGCCCACCCGAGCTCGTGCTTGGCAAAGTTGGAGCAGAGCCACGAGGCGAGGACGGCACCTTGGGAGAAGCCAAGGACGCCGTCGAACGGCCCGTCGCGTTCCATGGCGTCGCCGACGTAGCGCAAGAGATGGGCGCGGTCGGCCATCGCGAGCGGTTGCGCCGGGTCCCACCAGGCCTTGAAGCCTGTCGTGTCCACTTGCTTGCTCGAGGTCGCGACTACCTTGGGCACAAGGTTGATGGGGCCATCGAGGAAGGCAAGCTCCACGCCATGCATGCCGAGATGCGCGGTCTTGGAGCGGAAGATGCAGCTGCGCTGGTACATTCCATGGAGACACAGAAGCTTCATGCTGGCCGGAATCCGTGACTGGCCTAAAAACAGCGCGGTCGGTCGAGATTCTGGCCGACATCTTGGTTTTTGTATGTCGGGCAGAGGGACGGGGCACGCGCGGCGCTGATTGGCTGCCGCCAGCCGTTATTACCTGCGTAATCCTGCGCATCGTTTGCAGCGTGCCAGCTCATCGCGCGCTTGCGGCCAGCCATTCCAGCGTCCAAGTGTTGAAGCGCTGGCGCCTAGCGCCTCGGTAACGACTCACTATTGGCGCAGTGTTTCAATGTGAAGGGACGCACGCGACGTGGGTGGACAGAGTGCGTCGATGCAAGATACTCGAACACCGTTGCAATTGGGGCACGGGCGATCCAGGCAGCACGAGATCGCACCCTGATCATCAGCAGATATTATTACCAGGATAAATCGCAGGCATGCTTGTCAAGCTATAAGGCGGTCTACAACAAGATCGCGAGCGCAATGTTCCTAACGTGAAAGACAGTATTACGATTCGGGCAAGGGAATCCCATGGTTTGGAGTCGGAGGAGACGACGCGACAACGACGAAGCTGTTGACGCTTGCTGTCGACGGTGCCAGCGCGCTCTCGTAAGCTATCGGGGACACTGCACGGAAAAAGATTCTCGCGAATAGAGCTGGCAAAAAGACGTTTGAGTTTGAATGGCGCCAAACTGATGGAAGAACGCAACGGCCTCATCGCTCATTGGTGCGCTGGCATTCGGCGGGCTGACCGACGCGGCAACCCGATGCATTTTTCAAGAAACTCTGTTCAGAGAACGACCGTACAGCACTCATGGCAGCACCGTCGAGCTACCGCCAGACGGACCTTCAAGGCATTCTGGCCCAGACCATCGACGAATACAACGCGTCTGGTCACGACGACGACGAAGGACCGCTGGATTTGCTTCCAGCACAAGCTCTGCCACAGCTCGACGAGACACGCTGGCCCATGTTCATGATGACCCATCAAGAGATGACTGTGCTGGACGTGGTCATGCAGATTCCGTCGGGCATTTCTGGCGCGTTTTCCCATTCCACTCCGTCTTCTCTTATGCAAATGGTGCTTGGTAGACGGAAACGATTCATCGAGCGAGGAGTCGGAAGACGACAACGACGATGCGACGATTGCCAACTTGGCGCGCGCCCGCACCGCGTGGACCAGCAACGCGCGGTGCCGCAACCGTGACGGCGTGTACGAGCCCGTGCCCAAGACAATTCCTGGCAACAAGCGTCCGGTCTTTGCGCCCACGGACTTTGTTGTGCCGGCGCCCAGTGCTCTCGGTGCCGTGCCGACTGGCTTTCCGCGCTCGCTGCGCAGCGTCTTTCGCCTCACCAAGGCGGCGATCGCGTCCCTGGCTTGCTTTTACAACAACGATTTCGGCATCACCAGCGCCGACGTGGGGCGCGAAAAGATGCAGCGATGCGTCCTCGACTTTATCCAAGGCAAACAGTGAGAGCGATGCACCATGGTGCCCTGCAATGTGGTCAAGAAAGTGCGCTCCATAAGCTCGTCGATTTTTTGTGTACGCTCTCTCGGTCGCAACGCCTGTACGAGATCGTGTGGTAGATGTCCTCTCGAGCTAGCGGCTGCCGCCAACCGTCCGAGTCGAAATGGACGGTCGTGGGTGCACGAGGGACCGTTGCTTTTCCATCCACGGTAACGGTCCCATCGGTGATTGGTCAATCTATTTTCCAACGCATATGATTGGCCAAATGATGTTTTGCCGCTGGAGCACGTGCATTTCGAATTCCGCGAACGCTCAGATTCACATATCAGCCACCTCCTCCCCAGCCTTCCTCAGCCACCGCAACAATGCCCCATCCAGCCCTCAGCAGCAACAAGTCGTCCAGCCAGAAACTGGCCGTGGACCTCGCAGCTCCAGCGGACGGGCAGGAGGAGGCCAGTGCACGCCTCGAGGCGCAACTGGTCCACTTGAAAATTGATATTGCGATCGAACGCGCGCGCGTGACTGCCAACGAAGCTCGGTCGCGCAACACCCACATCACGTACCAAGACGATACGTTGACGCCGCTGCCGAAAACCAAGCCCGGGACCGCTTCGCCGGCGTTTGCCCCTCGCTCGTACGTGGCGCCGCCGGCGAGCGCGTGGGGTCGCTTCCACCGCACTTTCCATCGCGTATCGGCGATGTGTATCGGCTCTCGGACGCCGACTTGGTCGCGCTGGCTGCATTTTACAACGACGACTTTGGCGTGCCAGCGACGACGACCACGGACGACGTGCTCGTGCACCGCGAGTGCTTTCTCCGCTACATTCGCTACTAACCCAACGTCCTACCAAGCAACAAGGCAGTTGTGGCCTTCTTTCCTTGTGTTGGTAGTCGTTGTCACGGTCGGTTGCTCGGGACGACGACGCAAGCGTCTTTGGCGGCTCTATCTCTACCCCTTGTGCGATGGGACAAGAGCTCGCGAATGATCTCTCGGGCGTACTGGAGTGTGTTGGAGGGCGCGCTTTCTCGTGGCATGCTCCTTCGCTTGGCGTGCTTGGCTTGATACTGATAGGGCGGCGTCGGTCTCGGAACGTTGTCGCTGTGTGCAACGCTATTCGCCCACCAACATTCTCCTCTCGTCGTGCCACGTCACGCGGGTCTTCTCGCCGCAGGCAGTGAGATATGACGTGGGAAAGCCTTCAGGAAGCGTCGCAGAGACTTGCAAGCGAACGTTAAGGGTATGCAATTCTAGAGGATGGGGACGGTCCCAAAATATCAGAAAATCGGTGGAAATCCATATTTGTTCGAGAAAATAGTCAGCAGCAACACCGGAAGCGTCGCCGGCGCGCAGCCCGGTTGCTGTCCGGTGGCTTCTTGGGTGGCCCCGCCATTGGGTTCGCTTTCCGCTTTGCCGGCCAGAGTGGGACGTCGCCCGCGCGGCCCAAAGGCACGCGCGAGGTGGCTTGGTGAAGCTTCAAGATTGTATTTTGCGATTAATAGATAGGAGAGATCGGGGCCGCGCTCGTAGTACATCTCGGCCCCGCGACTCGCTTCAACGCAGCGACGTGGCGGGTCTAAATAGGTTCATTCGAGCGCCAGAGGCTGCACGGTGGGGTTGCGCTCGCGGAAGGCCCGTTGGAAGGCCGTCGCGATCGCAAAGTACCCGAGTTGCTGCTTGTGCACGGCGAGCGAGGACTGCTTCTGACGCTCCTTCTTCTGGACGAGGCGGCGCGCGAGCTCCTTCTCGAGGCGCGAGCTCACGATGAGGAGTGCGCTCGTGGCCGGCTCGTCCGGGAAGAGGAGGTCGTCCAAGTCGTCGCCGTCGATCGCAAACCGCGCCTTCTTGGCGCGCTGGTGCATCGGCGACCCCATCGGCGTCGGCGCCAAGCTCGCGTAATCCGACATGTCTTTCTTCTCTGAGACGTTGAGCGCGGCGAGCGCGAGGTCCATGGCGGGCGCGTCGCTTTGGCCCATCATCGCCGTGCGTCCGCGCTTGCACTTCTTCTTCTTGAAGTGGTGGGCGACGGTCATGCTGCTCATGGTCGAGGTCGTCGTTGGTGCTGGAGGGTGGTTGATGGAGGTCGTCGAGGAGGTCGCGCTTCGTGCTTGGGCCAAGCGCAAGAGGAGACGAGGGTCTGAGACGCGTGGATTCGACGACGACGTAGATTAGCTTAAGATCCGCAGACCTTTTTTCTTCTCTACTCACTTGCTTCCTACCGAGCAAATTGCGAAATGAAACAGAATCGCACCAAGTTGTTTGCGCGTATCCGGATGCCGACGAATAAAACCCGTCCGCGCTCCAATCGCCAGTGGCCAGCAACGTCACTGCGCCTTTGTATGCAAAAGAGGCGCGAAACGAGCTGGCGCCTGTTAAATGACGCGAATAAAACGCTCGCTTGCGATTGGCCCCCACGACACTGGCTTTTACCACGCAACCACTGCAGCCTGCAAGAAGGTCGCGAAGCTGTTTGCTTGGTCACGGTCAATGCGATTCGCAGCCACCGAAAGATCGCAGGCCCAACACATGGGCGCCTCGCCTGAAGGCCAGCATGAGGGAGCGCGCCATGGGCCAGCGTGATGGAGCGAGACTTGCGCCTGTCGAGCGCATGGTCAATGGCGCACGGCGATGTTTATTGACTCGGTACAGAGTGGGAACTCATCCCACCTTCGCCATCATCACGGCGTGGTATGCAGCGCAGATCACGCAGAGGACGGATCGGGCGTGAAGCGGAGGTAGCCCTTGCCCGACGGCAACGACTGCACCTCAAAGCCCTTCGGGAACTTGGTCGCCGCCGCCTCGTTCGACACCGTCGGCACAATGCACGCCTTCTCGCCTTTCACCCAGTTCACCGGCGTCGCGCACGCATGGTGCGCCGTCATCTGCAACGAGTCCAGTACGCGCAAAATCTCCACAAAGTTGCGGCCCGTCGACGCAGGGTACGTCAGCGCCAGCTTGATGGCCATGTCCGGACCGACCACAAACACCGACCGCACCGTCAACGGCAGGCCCGCCTTGTCCAGGTCGTCCGACGACAGCATGCCCAGCTGACACGCAATCTCGCGGTTCTTGTCCGCGATGATGGGATAGTTGACGTTCTCGCCCGAGAACGCCTCGATGTCCTGGATCCAGCCGTGGTGGCTCTCGACGTCGTTGCACGAAAGACCAATGACCTTGGTGTTGCGCTTCTTGAACTCGCCGAGGTTGTCGAGGCGGGCGAGTTCGCCGAGCTCGGTCGTGCAGATGGGCGTGTAGTCGTCGGGATGGGAGAAGAGGACGCCCCAATGGCCGTCAAAGTAGGTCTTGAGCGTCGAGGGACCAGTGCTCGAGTCAAAGGCAAAGTCGGGCAGCTTGTCGCCGAGCGTGATACCACGGACGTTGATCGTGTTGGCCATGGCTGCGATGAATTCTGTGAATTCGATTGTGAGCAGCTCAAAGCGGAGCGGTACCAATGCGGCCGTGCCCCGCGCGAAGAAGCCGGTTTCGTAGTGCACGCGACACTGAGCGTTGGCTCCGTCCTGGGCGGGATCTGGACTCGACCGCTCGTCTGCGAGCATGCCACGCACCAATTGGTTGCGGATGTATCCGACGTGGCTACTGCAATCATTTACAGTTAATTGACGCGACAGCAGCTCAGAGTCCGCAAACACACGTCGGCGTCGATCCCACCAGGATGCTCACCGTGCACCCAAGCTAATAGATATTGAATCGCATGGTAGGCTCTGCGTGACGCCTGCTGTCTTGGGTAGATGAATACCTACACGTCGAAACGAAAATGTAGGCAGCGAGCAGGGCCTGGGCAGCGAGTAGGCCATGCACGGCCGTAAGGGCTACGCAGGACGTCAACTGCCTTTGCCAGCTGCTGCACGGTCAGAACGTATCTTCACACTATTTCGCGTGTCGGCTAGGAATAATACAATACGGGTGCGCATCCGGTCCGTTACACGATTGGATGGTAGCTCCGGGCCAATCAGCGCCGCAGCCTGAATCTTTGGTGGCATCTTGCAATCGATGTCGTCGCTCCCGATCACCGATGGCATCAGCCTCTCGATGGCAGCGCCCACGCCAGTGGCGACGGACGATGCTGCAGCGCCGGCTAGCGATGTAGGCGGCGAGAAGCGCAAGCGGGAAGAGGTCGATTGCGCCATGTGCTCGGCGCTCGAGATCAAGTACCGGTGTCCCAAGTGCGAGCGCATCACGTGCTCGCTCAAGTGCTGCCTCGAGCACAAGACACACGTACGCGCCTGGCTATAGCCATGGCATGGATCTAACGGAGCTTCAATGTAGTACGACTGCGACGGGAAGCGCGACCGCACCAAGTACATCCCCATGGCCGCGTTCAAGGACGCCGACATCACGAGCGGTACGCAGTAATATTGGCTCTGCGCGAGGGCACTCATCGCTTGTAGATTACTTCTTCTTGCAAGAAATCGCGCGGTCGGCGTCCACGATCAATGCATTGGCGCAGCAAACGGCGCCGAAAGGCAACTACAAGAAGCTGACGAAGAAGGCCAGGGCGAACCCGGAGCTGCCCGCGGATTGGCTCGGGCGCTTCCCCGCCGCGTGGCAGAACTTTGCCAAGGCCGCGATCGACAAGGGCGTCGACGTGAGTCTCCTCGCACCCGGCATGTCCAAACGCAAGGCCAACACGTCGTGCGTCAAGGGCCACGTCCTGCACTGGCGCATTGAGCTCCACTTTATCAATCTCTCGCCCGTGTCCAAAATCGTTCAGGCACGATGGGACGAATCCAAGTCTCTCAACGATCTTCTCGACGACCTCTTGGCGATCCGAGTGGTATGTACCACCTTGGCGACGACACAGGACTCACTCCGCGTCGTGTAGGACACGGCTGCGCTGCGCACGACGCTCAAGCCGTACATGAAGGCAAGTCGTGCTACGTGGCGCTTCTTGCTCCGAAAGGAGTTTGTCCCAGCGTCGGCGCCGCAGTACTTTACGATCGACCCTGCCAAGAGCATGGCCGAGAACCTCCGCGGCCTCGCGGTCGTCGAATTCCCGATCCTGCACGTAGTCTTGGAGCAAGACATGCACAAGTACGTGCTCGCCCACCGCGTCATCGAAGAAGTCGCTCTACCTAGTTAATTTAAACACGTCCCATTTGCCCTTACACTCATGGCAGTGTTGCTGGCGCCAGCCATGGCTCGATAGGTCATCGCCGTCGCGATGGCATCATCCTTGCTCGATGAAGCGCATGGCGGATGCAGTCTGTAGGCATAGCACCTCGCAAGCCACGGCCATGATGCGGCAGGTCCGGCCACCACGCTGCCCGCTACCGGCGCATGGGTGGCGCAGCTCTTCCTTGAAAAATAGACCAACCAGCCAGGAGGGGTGTATTTTAATTCTGTTTTATATATTTCTTCATACGAGTATGCAATGTCGTGATTTGTATTTTATTGCGGCCACCCCGCAAGCTCCGAGTACACCGCGCCGTTCCCACAGCAAGCACGATGTTTGGCTCGTTCGGTGCTCAGCCCGCGGCCCAGCCGGCCGCGTCTGGCTTCTCGTTTGGCGCGCCGGCCGCAGGGTCCTCGACCTCTGCCTTTGGCAGCAGCAGCACGCCGGCGACGGGCGGCTTTGGCGCCCCGGCGGCGCAGCCCGCGTCCACGGGCTTCTCCTTTGGTGGCGCAGCGACGACACAGCCGGCGACTTCCTTTGGTGGCTTCGGCGCCGCCGCCTCGACGCCCGCTGCGGGATCGACCGGTGGCTTTGGCTTTGGCAGTACCTCGTCGACTGCAACGACCGCGTCCTCGACACCAAGCTCTGGCTTTTCTTTCGGCGCGACGCCCGCCGCTGCCCCGGCCAGCACGGGTGCCTTCTCGTTCGGTGGCTCCACGACGCCCTCGACCTCGACGCCTTCGACGGGCTTCTCCTTTGGCGGCGCCGCAGCCACGCCGTCGACGCCGTCCACGTCTACGTTTAGCTTTGGCGGCAACAACACGACAGCGGCGCCTGCAACGGGTGGCTTTGGCAGCGGCTTTGGTAGCACATCGACGTCCAGCTTCTCGTTTGGCAATGCGGCGGCCAAGCCCTCGGGCTTCGGCGGGTTTGGTGCCGCCGCGCCGGCCGCGCCTGCATCCGGTCTCTTCCAGCTCAACGCGGCCTCGTCGACCAACGCCTTTCCCGGCGCCACGAACGCGCTCGCGGCCGCGACGTCGGCGGCGGCCAACTCGCCAATGGAGAGCCTCACGGGCATCCGCATGGCGTACATGGACCCGCAGCAGTCGCGCTTCAAGCACATGCTCTACAACGCCGTCGACCCTGCGCAGAAGCATCTGTACGTGCGGCCGGCGCACATTAGCGAGAAGCTTTGGACACAAGCACAGCGCGACAACCCGGACCCGGCCAACTGCGTGCCCGCGGCCGTCATTGGCTTCAAGGAACTCTCGACGCGCATCAAGCTCCAGCAGGAGCACGCCGACAAGTTTGCTACATATGCCGAAGACATGGTGACGCAGGTCAAGGAGATGGAAAAGACGTCACGCGAAACCGACGTCAAGCTCGCGCAGTGTCGCCACCAGCACGTCGCGCTCTTCCATCGCCTCATTCAGGTACCCGCACCTCGCAGCACCTTGGTCACCGATGTCTTCTAGCTCATGCGAAAGCTGGAAGTCTTCAAGAACCTCCGCAAGCCGTTGCACGCGGACGAAGTGAAACTCTTGTACGCTCGCTACTCGTCGTCGAAGTCGCACTCACTCCGTGCGTAGGGAGACGCTCAAGAAGGTGGCCAGCATGCTCGACAACCCAACGCAGTTCAAGGCCCGCATGAACGAACTCATGGCCCTCCAGGCGATGCAGGCGGCCAAGCCGCACCCGGACCAGGAGCAATGCCAGCTCTCGGAGCAAGACCTGCACCTCGTCTTTGGCGTAATATGCTCATGCGATCTGCGGCGCCGAGGGCTCATGCATTTGTAGATCATGGACCGGCAGCGACAAGGCCTCGAGCATGTCACCAAGGTCCTCTCGCAGGACATGCGCGATGTCGAGATCATGCAAAAGGCGCTGGCCGACGACGAATACTAAGCCTAAATACAATTCACTGTCTACCGCGTATGCACCAACGCCATCAGCGTATCCGCGTCCTCGCGCGGTCCATGGCAGTAGATGGTTTAGCATCAAGAGTATATTATGTCGTGGCAGGCAACACCTCACCGACCCTTCTAACAGTCACGCTCGTGGCGTCGCATATTTAGTGGTGGTGGGGGTCCGTGGGGCCCCACGTCTCGACGATGATCGGCGACTCCTCAAACTGATGGAGCGGCGGCGGCGACGACAAGGTCCACTCCAACGTCTCGTGGAGGTCCGGGATGACGACATCGGCATCACCGGGCTTCGGGGCCGAGCTGAACGACGCGGCCAGCGGGCGGGCGGCCGACGGGCGGGCGGCAGCTACATCATCATCATCATGAGCCTCTCATCCTGCCATGAAGAAGCATCTACCGAGGGTGCGGAGGGCGGCGACGCGGAGCATGATGGTCGACTTGGGGGAAATTTCTTCACTAGCAGCCTCGGACGGCCAGCTCACGCCCGCCACCCTTTGTATACCATACTTACTTCAAGTGAAATGGCGCACACACGCACCGACAACCCCACCCCTGCCAAGAAAAACACGCCAACCGCAACAAAAACATGCAATCTTCCGTATCCGTATCCGGATACCCACAGACAGGCCAGTCCACACGAAAATACTGTGCGTTGTCGACCCGACCATTGCACAATATAGTGTGCCTGCAACACCCACACAGGCAAGGATCGAGGCGCGTGAGGCGAGCACGACAGCGTGCGCCGATGACCAATCCATTCTTTTGTGCAGTGGCAACGTCCTTGATATGGAGACAGCGCCGATGGCCGGAATGAAAGAGGCCGACTCAATGAGGCGGTGGCTCACACTACTAAAACAACCTTGAAATAGCGTACCATGACATGCCAATGGCAACCTGGCGACGTTGATCGCAGGCCTTCGTTGACGCGACGCTGCGCCGGTCAAGCGTCGTGAACGCCGCACTGCTGCTTAGCTGGTTGTTTAGGATGTATAATATATGTATGCAGTACTCGTGTCCACTGCTGGAGCAGATCTTAGTCCTCTTTGATCGTCGCCGCTCGGCGCATATTATGCAACGAGCCAGTTCCATGCCCTTGCATGGAAGGGCAATCCATGCTCGATGCAAGCCGGTGCATGGAGCGACAAGGACGGAAGTAGTAGTATAAGTTTCTAAGAATTAGTACGAACACGGTCATTTAAAAGCGCTGCTTCTTGGCATGCTTGGGCGGTGCTTGGGCCTTGCGCTTGAGCGAGTCCACGAGCGACTTGAGCTCGCCCTTGCCACTGTTAGGCTCGGTCGACGTCGGCGTTGCCGTCGCCGGCTGCGACTGCTTCTTGCGACGCGCCTCAAAAATCGCTTCCGTGGCTTCCGTGCGCTTGAAGCGCGCGTCCGTCGGGTCCAAGCTAAAGTCGGGGTTGTTGTTGACAAGCTGGCCGAAACGATCATCGGCAGCGTTAAACTGAAAGTCCGCTTGGCGGCCCGCGGCCTTCTCAAGCTTGGCCAGTTCCTTCTTGTGGCGCTTGCCCTTCTTTTCCTTGTGCTTGTCGACCTTGGAAATGACCTTCATGTCAAAGTCGCGCTCGTCGTCGTCGCTGCCAATTACGTCGTCGGCCTTCTTGGCCGCTGCGTGCTTGCCCTTCTTGGCCTGCTTGAGCGCTTCGAGCTGCGCCGCATGCGCGGCCTTGGCCTCCTGCTTCTTGTTGCGCTTCTTCTCGTTCTTCTCGAGCTTCTTCTCGCGCTGATACTTTTCAAACGGCGTCTCGTTGGCCTCGAGCTCCTTTTGCTTTCTCGCTTCGAGGATCGCGGCGCCCGGCGTGAACGTCATCTCCATGCCGCCGTCACCGCCTTCGTCCTTGCCGAAAAGTCGTCGTTGAAGCCATTGTCGTCGTTGCCATTGTCGTCGTTGGCCAAATCGCCGAGCAGCGCCGCGCGGTACTTTTGCTTGAGCTTCTCGACCTTTGCCGCGCTCGACGCCTTGTCGGTATCGTCCTCATCTTCGGACGACGACACTTCCGACGCCACATACTGGGCGAAGTCGTCGTCGTGCATGTCCTTCCAGTTCGCAATGCGCGTGAGGCGCTCGTTGCGCTCGCCATCGTCGGCTTCCCACGTCAGCTCGAGCTCTGTGTTTTGGAGCGCGAGCGTCGCAAAGATCGCGGGCGTGTACGAGTCGGGCACCGACGTCGCCTTCTCCTTCGGGGCATGCGCAAAGGTGACGTCGTCCGGTACAAAGCGAAGGTCGAGTGTGTTGGCCGACGTCTCGTACTCGAGACCGTCGCACGCATCAAAGACTGCGCTCGCCGCGGCGACCGTGTTGAACGTCGCGACGCCGTAGTAGTACTTGAGTTTCTGGAGCTCAAAGTTGCGGAGCTTTTCCTTGTCAAAGCTAGACATGTCCATGATGAATTTCACGCCCAATGGACCGCAAACGACATACTCTTCTTCGTTCGACGCCGACTTCTTCATGCCGAGCGGGTCGTCGTCATCGTCGCTTTCGCTCTCGTCGTCGCTGTCCTCGTCATCTTCCTTCTTCTTCTTCTCATCGTCCCAGAGACCGCGGGGACCGTACTTCTCTTCCTCAGCCTGCAACACGATGAGCATTCCAAGTACAGACGACTGCACGGGCCGCACCATCTTTTGCAAACCAAACTCGGACGGGTAGATCGTGACGTCGTGGACGACGCCGCCCGCAGGCACGAACGACTCGAAGAGTGCGTAGAGGTCCACCGCACGCATGCGGGACCAGTCGCAGTTCATGATCGCAAACCGCTTGGTCTCGTCGCCCATGGGAATATCCTCGGCAGGCTCATGCGTCGCCTCGTCGTCGACCTCGGCGTCGTCGTCGTCGCTGTCGCTCGAGTCGCTCGACCCCGCGGCGTCGTCGCTGAGCTCGCCGCGCGCCATCTTGTTCAGGTATGCAATGCGCTTCTCGGCCGCCGTCATGGGCTTGGCGGTCTTGCCTTCGATGTCATCGTTGTCATCTTCGTCCGCGTCCTCCTTGTCCTCATCCTCGTCTTCGAGGTTGTAGTACTTCTTCATCTCGTTCTCTTGCTCCTCAATGCGGCGACCATACTTGTCGTACTTGCCTATAAGCCATGTAAGATCTTCAAGCGCATGAAAGGCAATGTGTGTACCTTGCACGCTCTGAAACTTCTTGTCGGTCAAGACAGCTTCGAAGCGCTTGTCGAGCTGGACCTTGTTGCGCTTCTTCGAGTTGCGGGCAAAGCGCTATGAGCAGGATAGACAGTTAGTTAGTAGAAGCACAAGCAGGATCGTTGTACCGGATCGTTGTGCACTTTGCTAAAGCGCGGGTCCGAGACGACGGTGTTCGGCGGGCTCATGATGGCGGGTGGAATTTCGGCAATTGGATTAGTTGGCCGCGATTTCAAGGGAATTGATTGGACAGAAATCCCAAGTTTCTTTTAAGTACGCCTTATGATGTCGTTAAAGTACGATTTACGCTAGTGCAAGCTTACCGGGCCATCGTAAGTGCGCTTTGGCATGATTGTGCCACCGCTTATTGCCCGGCTCGACCATCGAGGTGCGCATGGCTTGCTTTGGCCCTACGATCGAGCACCGTCGCGCCTACAGCGTTATCGCTGCATCGCCAGAATGATATGGAAAACCAAGGGCCAGCATGATGATGCGTAGAGCGTGGCATCTGGCGACCCTTCAAGGTCCGCCATGGTATCGGCTCGGTGGAGCTTGATGGCCACACGACCGCGCAACGCAGCTGTGGCTTGTCAGAAGGTCGCGGTCTGAGTGCCGAGAGCGCAAGAACAGGACGTGTTAATTCGCCCAAGCCACGGGTTCCACCTAGCGTTCTGTTGTTTAAATTACAAACCGGTCTATTGTCCGCGGCCTGCTATCGTGAGCGACATCGTTTACTTGGCCAAGGTCACGATCGCCTTCTTCCAGTCCTTCTCCTTGTACACGTAGCGACCCTGCATCGCGCGCTTGAACTTGCCTTCGTAGTTCATCGTGCGCACGTTCGTCACGGGCAGGCGGTAGACCTTCTGGAGGTACTCCTTCACGTCGTGCTTGGTGTAGCTCGGCTCAACGCGGAAGATGTGCTGGTTCTCCGGGAGACGCGTCTTGGCCGTCTTCGCGACGTACGTCACGGCCATGTTGGGGAAGCGGAGGCGGTTCCAGACCATCTTGACGTATCAAAACCACGAATATGCGTCCAGCGGACGGCGCCGATGCAAGATTTTAGCCAATCGACAGCGTGGATTGCGCTCAAATGCTGGGTTTTTTAACGAATCATCGAGAGGCAAATGACTGGTGGGGTTTTTGCCTCGTGAAACTCGATACAATGCGATCTCGCCGTCTTTTTCGTCGCATATTGCCGATGCATTCTGGCTGATTATCAATATAGAAGGGTCATCGCGGCGGCAATAGAGGCTGCAAGAGTGCATCATTTTGGCCAATTAAAAGCAAGCTCGATTGTGACTGGCTGGCACGCTGGCAGCAATATGACTGGAGGGAAATTACGTATTGGAATTTCTGTTCATTTCATTCGAGTTCTCGCCTGCCCACTCAACATTAAATATGGTACGTTAGGCGCGGCGACCGAATCCCGTGTATGGAGAGAGAGGGCACTAAGGTTGCGCGATTAGGATCAACCCGTCAAGCACGCCAAGGTCATCCGCGTTTTGGGCCGCACCGGTAACACCGGCAACGTCACCCAGGTCCGCGTCGAGTTCATCGATGACTTCGGCACGAAGGAAGCCCGTACCTTGATCCGTAACGTCAAGGGCCCGGTCCGCGAAGGCGACATCTTGTCCTTGATGGAATGGGAACGCGAAGCTCGCCGCTTGAGATAAATTGCCCCCTCAAAACGGAGCAAGAACAGGCCAACGCGCGTGCACCTCCTCGCTACTTTGCAGACGAAGAACGACCACAACCACCGGCCTTGTTTTGATCTGCACGGTTATATTCCAATGAGAATGTGTTAATGATGGGCAATCTCGTATTTCGTGTCGTCTTCCTTCCTCTCTCGACCGGAGCCGTTCTCTCAGCGTGCTTCGTGATGTGTGGACGCTTGGCTAACGCCACCTTCGCTGTATGCTGCTCTCCACCTGTGCTCACGTTTGCAGTCCAGCTTCGAACCGTCAGATTCGCCTCCTACAGTCAAGTCTTCACGCCCATCCTAGAGCCACGTAGCTCGCCTGCCCACCGGGCGAATCTGCTCTTCGTTTCTCTTCGTTGCTGCTTTAATGTCTTTAGGTAGAGAGAAAGCTATTTCGCCTCGCTTGCGGATCTAATCTGGAGCAAACGATGTTTGGGCCACAGTCAGGGTCGATGCTGGGGCCACAATGCGTCGTGCGTGGCACACGGGACGCGCGGGTGCGAAGATCTTCGCGGGTTCAACCTCCATACCATCGTTGATTGGCTATAATGTCGATAAATGCATCAATTTTTGGCCAATCACGGCTAGTAGCAATCGGCATGACGCAGGACGAAGTGAAGATCACCGCGTCGCTCGCGTGTGCGTACTTCCACCCGGGAAGCGCGGTGCGTGGCTGCCTCGAGATCCGAACGCCCAAGGACCTCTACGTCGAGGCTGGCGCTGTCCAGCTCCACGGCCACATCTCTGTTGACGCGGATCTGCTCACGGTGCCCATTGTGACCCTGGCCAATTTGGACGACGACCTCGCCACATCGCTCCAGCTGCCCGACGTGCGCAGCTTCTCGGGCCAAACAGGCACGTGCATCTACCAGAGCAAGCCCAGTGTCCTCTTCTCTGATACGGACGTCCACGAGACCCTGCGTACACACTTTGCTGTCGGGCTGCCAGACGACATGTGCCCGACGTTCAAAGGTCTCTCGATGCTGGCAGCGTCGATGGTAATACTGACGAGCACCAATAGGCATGTCCGCCCGCGCCTTTTATATCCTTACGTTTATTCTCAAGATCAAGGGCACTTCGCTCGCCCAGTCGCTGCATGTGCCTGTCGAAATCTACGCACCGGCGTACGCATTCCGCCTCCAGAGTCCGTGTCGATCGCCCGTACCCGCCGCGCTGCTCTCGCCGATGGTGGACGAGCACGAGAAGAAGATCGTGCCGGTTGCAGTGCGTCATGGCCACGAGATTCCGTTCGAGATGAAGCCGCGCCTCATGCATGGCCGCGTCGAAGTGGGTATGTCCTCGACACTAGTCACTAGTCACTACCGCGGCAGCTTCAACGGTGCTACTAGAGCGCGGCCTTGGTGTGCAGCAGAGCCACTTTACGATCGGGCAGCACTTGGTGCGCGTCATTTTGCACAAGCAGGCCTTCTTTCCGGGAGATACGCTGCTCGTGTCGTTTGACTTTGCGGCCGCTACCATGGCATGCGACTCGGTCAAGGGTGCCCTGGTGCTCGAAGAGCATCTCTGCGAGCACTCGCTCGAGCCGGGCAAGAAGGTCGCCACGACGACGCTCGAGACGGTCATCGAAGTCACGGCCGACCTCCTCCAAACCAACGTCTGCTCATGCGGTAGAGGATGTACAATAATCGTTGCATGTAGATGCGCTTTGGCGTGCCATTCCACGCCCAGCCGTCGATTGAAACGGACCTCGTGAGCTTCAAGTACGCCATCTCGTTCGAGTTTCATCTCGCGGGCGGCCGCATGTTCCGGTGGGCGACGCCGGTTGTGGTCGTGGCACCACTGCCGCCCGTGCCAGGCCACTTGAATGTGGCAGCGCCCGTGTACAACGGTCCGTCCCGCGCCCGCGCCCTGCAGATAGTCGTCTAAGGCGTGTTCTTATACAAGAAGTCGGAATCGTACGAAGAATACAAGCAGCAACATGAGATCTTATGCGCCTCGTCAGCAGTATATCGTGGCTGGTCTAGCGCTTAGTGGTGCTCGGCGAGGTAGTCGAACTTGCCGTTCACGCGCTTCCAGTAGTCGGACTTGGCCTTGTCTTCGTCGGTCGCGCCCTTGGTCGGGAGGTAGCCGCAGATGAAGAGCGAGGCGAGGCCACCGTAGACGAACGGGCGGAAGTACGGGCGCTTCAACTCGTGGACGATGAAGTTACCGTAACCATTCTTGTGCCAGCGGGCGGCTTTAGCGGCGACCATCTTCCAAGGGGGATAATTTGTTCGGACTGACTTACACCAGCTCCACCACTCATCGCCTTCGTACATTCACCGTACAATCGACGTACGTACACTGTACGTTAAACGTACGTAATTTTATACGTGGCATTCCGCGATGCAATACAAACAACAAGATACGGGAGCCGACGTGAACACGTACGAAGCGACGTATCCTTCGCCAGCGACAATTTCAGGTCCGGTGAGGACCCTCCCTTTGACATTTTCCCCTTTTTTGGACTTTAGCGCTTTTGGCGCGGTTTTACCAGCGTGACGACAGCGAGGTCCTTCCCTGCGAGTTATTGTTCTGCTGCTCCTACCAAGGTCCTTCCCTGCGAGTTATTGTTCTGCTGCTCCTACCACGGTAGTGGTCTTCAATTCTTGAGGTGAGGAAGGGCCCTGGGTGGGCAAGTGGGCGAATTGCGACTTGCGCAAAGCAACCCTGTGGCGATTGTTTGGCAGCGACCTACGATGGCGTATCGCTCGTCGCATCAACGTGGCGTTGTCGGCTCGCTGTAGAGATCTGGCGTCCAAGCTTGGTCTGTAGTAAGCCCTGCCTGCACGCCTGCTACACAATGTGTGTCGCGGCGAGATACATTCCAGGTATTTGTTGCACTTGGTGTAACATGGACCAAGCCTATCGTTGCCGCGTGTTCCAGGCATCACATGCCCTCCATCTCAAACTCTCGTTTATAGGATCCAGCGAAGTACCTGCTGGCTCAATGGAATATCGCTCACAGCTCATCGTATCGCGCCTGCACAGATCTCGCCGCCGGCCTTTCTCTCCGTCGGAATATCTGGACGCCACCGTTGTACTTGCACCTAGCTGTTTCAATCTGATCACGCAAGGAAGACCTGGTCGGTGCGTGGCGGTCGATGTCGCCATCAATGCTAGTATGCTGTCGCCATGGTGCTGACAGCGTGGAGCATGTTGGTACGCGACAGTCGGTCGTCCGAGGTATCCAGCTCCGCGCGCTGTGATTGGTCCATCGCGCTCGACCTGCAAGCAGCAAACCATTAAATCGAAATCTCGGTGGTGCGAATAAAAACCGTGTTTTTATGCAAGCCGCCGTATGCGCTTTAAAACTACGGAATTAAATTTTGTGGAATAAATTGGCACCCAACAGCCTGCCCGATTCCCGATTTTGGCCAGTGTCGACGACGCCCTGCCGCTGCCGATGGGAACGCACCAGGAGCCGAGCGAGTCGACAACGAGCGAGCCGCAAGACGCGCCGCAAGGCCAAGCCAGCATCCCGCCGGGCGCGCGCACCTCCGAGTCGGAGCTGCCGCAGGGTATCGCGATACCGATCCTCGAGTACAGCCAGCTCATGAAGAAGCCGGCGCTCAAGGCCATCGACTTGAACAACGACGACGAGAAGACAATGACGATGGACGACGACGACGACCAAGACTATGTAGATCCGACGCTCTTCTCACCAGAAGTCTCGCGCCACTCGATCGAGGTCGCTGTGCGCCGAGCCCGGTCACTGGAATTGGAGCTCCGCGACATGGCGCAAGAGGTCGCTGCGCATCCGCCGAGCTCGGTGGCGACCGACGTTTCATCGACGCTCCTGACGGCTGTCAAACGTATCGTGGGCGCCCGGAATCGGTACTCGCTTCTCGACGAGAAGCAAGCGTCCGCGGACGCGCAAATGGTCGGCGAGAGCGACAACACGGATGGCGATGGCATGCAGCTGAGCCCCGTGTCCAACGGCGGTGACGTCTTTAAGAGCCGACTGTCGACGCCATCGGTGCTGCGCAAGATCTCGGCCTACGGTCACGACCACGCTGGCTCGATGATCCCACCAAAGCAGAAAAAGCGCATCATGTGGCGCGATACGTCGACGGTCGCGAACGGCGACGACGACGAAGCACTCGTCCCGGACCACGAGGTGAAGATAACTATCTCGGACGATCAGACGACTATGACACGGCCTCCAAAGCGTGCGAACAAGCAAAAGACGGGCGTCATTCGGCGGCTCTCGCCCAAGGAGAAGGAAGAGCTGTACGAGCTGCGGCCAGACCTCAAGATCGTGCCCAACTGGGCGCAAAAGTACCGCGAAGAGATGACAGGCGCCCACGACTCGGTCCAGTGCAACAATTGGCTCGTGCTCTTGATCCTCTTCCTCATCTGCCTCCTCGTGTTTCTATTTTATATGATCAGCCAAACCAAGCCCGAGCAAGGTCTCTAACGTGTGATTGATTACCAACAACACATAACTATATCATATTGGTAGTTTGTCGCCTGTGGACAATATTGTCTTGCACGAGCGATGCCTCCGACGACATGAGTTCCCATTATGGCGCGCTCAACCACGCGCCATGTAGCCGTAGTTGTACTAGTATCCCATGACGGCGGAGCGAGGATAGCGTAATCGCCCTAGCTGGCTGTCCGAGGCACAGCCTTCGTGGACCTCGAACGAGCTTGGCGTACGAGACATCATACAATCAGCTACGACACAGTGCAGAAACGAGCGCAGGTAGTTGTCCCTCTGCATGTGGCTACGACTACGAGGCTAAGTTCTAGGATTCTAGGTCCGCAAGCTTGGCTGCGCCGATGACTCGTTGCGCATGGTGTTTTGCCACTGCTGCACAGACTGCGGCGTCCGCCTCCAGAGTTACTAGCCCAGAATGAGGAGCCTCCCGACGACGCACTGTCTGCTTGGCGATCGCACCACGTTCGTCGAGGTTCATGGCGCGCGGATTTGCCCTTTGTATCCGGATGGACTGCTGGCCACTAAAATAAAACGATGCACATTTTTAAATCATTCCATGCGGCTCTAGGCTTTAAAGACGATACTTTATTAGTAAAAAGATTTGGGATGGCATTTATATACCAAGGCAGGCCGCATTCGAATCCGGATACGCCAGCCTCAATTGCAAACGGTGGACCTCATAGCTTGTCGTCGTCGGTTCCTCGCGTAGTACGATGCTGCGCTACGTCTCGAAGCGAACGATGCGATGGACCGCGCCGTGCGGCCTCGGCGCATGCCTCCCGACGTCGCTGACGCTGCCGGCGCCGTGGAGCGCGCGCTTCAAGTCGTCGTCGGCGTGCATCGCGGACGAGTTTCCGGACCACCCGGTGCTCAACTCGTGCGTGTTTGACTTTCCGTTTGATGGCGCCGAGTACAACCTGAGCAACGGCCGTCACAAGTACAACCGACGCGTGGCCGACTGGGCGACGGAGAAGATCAACATCTCGATGGGCGCGCAGAACCGCGTCGACCACGAGCACATGGCGCAGCTCATTGCGCTCCTCTCGGTGCGCAACTACTACCAGGAAGCCATCGAGGTGCTGCAGTTTGCGCGCAACAACGGCGCCAAGCCGCACATCTCGGCGTACTCGCAAGTCATTGCGTCCTGCTATGCGCATCAGCGCTACGACGAGGCGCTCCAAGTATTTGACGTCATGCGCCGCGACGGCTACCGCCCGAGCTTTGTGACGTACTCGCGCGCGCTCTCGGCCGCGTCCAAGGCCGAGTACCACGACATGGTACTCCATGACGCAATCGATATACGAGCGCTCATTCAATATGGTAGACACTCAACCTCTTTGACGACCTCTTCAACGACTGCGACAAACTCACGTTCGACTCGATCAGCATTGCGTGCAACATCGTCTTGCACTCGTGCGGCAAGCACGAAGACTACAAGACGGCCACCGACATTTGGCAGCAGATGACGGACGAAAACATCCCGAAGAGCACGTCGACGTACACGGCGTTCCTGCTCTGCGCCATCAATTGCAAGCAATGGGACGGCTTTTACGCGATCTTGGACGAGGCGACCACGACCGGCGTCGAGCTCTACAGCCAGTCGTACCTCTCCATGATCCAGTCGTGCGCGCGGGCCAAGCGCTGGGAACTCGTCGTGCACATTCACCACAAGCTCGTGAGCCAAAACTTGCAGCTCTCGGGCATCGCGATCGGCGCCGTGCTCATGGCGTACACCAAGCAAGGCGCGCCCGAGCGCAGCATCGAGATCTACAACCAAGTGCTGGCCCAAGGCGCCCACTTGAACACATATGCAGTCTCGGGGGCCGTCACAGCCTACTTGCATCTCGGCGAGTACGACAAGGCGATCGCGCTCTGCGACAAGGTAGGAAGAGGATGCCATGGATGCCATAACCCTTTGCAACATTAGGGCACGACCGAGTGGCCGGCCGCCGGTATGCTCTACAAGCTCAAGGTGCAGCTCCTCATTGCGACCGGCTCGATTGACGATGCGCTCGAGCTCCTGGATGCGAAGAAGCACCTCATGGACCGGACCGCGAGCTGCTACCGGCCGCTCATTGCGTACTTTCTCGAGAAGCGCATGTACGACCAGGCCGTGCACTACTCGCTCGTGCTCTTTGAGACCAACCGGTTTGTGGCCGTGGCCGACTGGACAGCTGCGCTCTCGGCGGCGATCGCGCTGCCGGACAAGTCGCATTATTGGACGTTGCGCAACTGGATCGAGACGCGTGCGCCCGACTACGTGCCGCAGATCCCGGACGAGCTCCTCCTCGAGCGGCGCCCGCGCGAGGCAGCAGCCACGCCGCTCAAGCTTCTCTCGCCGCGGCGGCCGCTCAAGCTCTTGTAAACCAAACTAGTATACGACACCTCTTTTTCTGTAGTCCATCATGTTGTTTGTCGACTGGCAAATGGGATGTGTGATTCCATGCATGGCAGCTACTTTGCCAGCGCTTACAAGTACCGGTGCGGGTTGTGGGGCTTGCCTTCAAGCTCGTCGCGCGCAATCTGTTCGTCCTTGATGAGGAAGTAGAGGAGCGTGAACGGGCCGAGCGTGCCAAACACAAACTTGCCCATGTTGGCGCCGTTGAAGACGAACTCGCGGTCGCAGTTCTCACGCACGCCGTTCCATACTTCGATGTGCTTGTTCTTGTTGAGCGAGCCGCCGTGGCGGCGCTGGGCGCCATGGACGAGGCGAGGGGTCACGCGACGGGCCAACGCTTGCATCTTCTCTCGACCACGAAATTGCTGTGGCCGACTAGGCTCGCCCAGTGGCGACCTCTCGCTTTTGATACGAACATATGCATTCTCACAGGTCAATTGTCTCCATTTTGAAATCGGTGTCGAGGATGCATCATGCAATGATGACCTTTGCATCAACGAGAGCTATTCGACGAGCACGGAGATACAAGATGGTAATAACACGTATGGACGTTCGCTGGAGCACATTATCATCGGATTGCACGCACGCTGCAGACGTCGTTGCCGTCGTGAGGGCGGTAAAGGTGGCTGCAACCAAATGACTGGGAAGATTCGCAGCACAGGTTGTCTGTTGAGTGACTCGACGAGACACTATCTCTTCCATAGCAGATAGTATGTGCAGAAGGCGATTGATTTATTCATTATTCGATCCCGCGCTGGATTAGCGCATGCTGCTGGTAATGGTCGACATGTCCGACTCGCGCACGGTCGACGCATCTGACGGGCGGGGAATTTCCGAGCCGCGCGGGCTGAACGGCATCTCGTCCATGAGCTCCTTGCAGTGTTGCTTGAGCTGGACGCGGTACCGAGACGATTTCAGGCTCATGAGCTGCGAGAGGGCGATGGCGAGCGCGGGGTAGAGCCCACCAGCGACCAGAGTCGCGTAGGCGGCGTACCGAATGCTCCAGCACGACCGATTCGTTGGGTTGGCCGTGCACCGAGTGTACTCGTCCGAGTAGAACGTCGAGTTGAGCACCTTGAGGTAGACGTACGTGTACCAGAGACCGATCGCCGCCATTTGCACGAAGCCTAGACAACGATAAGATGGCGGGTCGCCATGAGATCTTGGTGCGTACCGGCGAGGATCGATATGTGGAGAAGGTAGTTCTCGGTGAGCGTGCGGTGCGGGTACACGGCCATGACGATGACCCACGCGAAGACAACGACAGAGAGGCCCGCGGCGATGGCCATGACGACCTGCACGATGAAGAGCGGCGTGCCGCAGTAGATCGACTGGATGACGCAATACTGCTTGTCGTACTCGCCGCCTTCTAGAACGGAGCAGTCAACCTTGCGATACGACTCGCTACAGACAACGACGGGCATGAGATCTTGCCAGGCAGGGTCGGTGCACGTACCATTGGGCATCGAACGAGTCGACGGCGTTGGGCTGCGTTGGCAGCCAGAACGAGTTGCCAGGGTCAAACGAGTCGTCGCCAAACTGCAGCGTGTAGTTGGACCACAGGCCAATGCCCTGCGAGTAGCTGGACTGGCCATTGTCGCCCGACTGCGCCATCCAGTCGGGCGAGAGTGCGCAGTACCAGACCGAGATCATGAGCAGCGCCGAGAGAAGCACACCTAAGCACGCTGCATGATCTCTTCCTGCCTCGCATGAAAGGCCACGTACAGAGGATGTCGAGAACCCGCGTCTTGAGCTCCATGGTCTCTGGGGTCGACGGCAAGATTTCCACAACCCAGCACTTGCGATTGGCCCGCAGTCCGGATAGCATCCGGTACACACCATATTTTAAAGTAATGTTGAATTTCATCTAATAAACTCTATAAAGATGCATTATAATCGACCTCCGAGCTAAAATTCAGTCGCTCTTCCACGCCAAGCCCCTCCCGCCAGCCTCTGGCGCCACAAGTTGCGGTCGTCGAGCCATCGTACAGTACGTTACCCTAGTGTAGGCATGGCGGAGGGTCCACGTTCAAATGTGTTGCGAGACGATGGCCTACAATGTACCAGACAACATGATGAGAGGATCAGATCTGGTTTGGCGCAACCAGGAAAACCCAAGGACCGAATCGTCGGCGCATATTTAAATTTCATCAAAATGCATCGGCGAGAGGTCATCTCATCAAATGCTATCGCGTAGTAGATGCGTGCACGCTCTCAAGTACTATTACCAATCGTACGAAGAAATGGACTCGTCCGGCCCTTGTCATGCTTTGCTGCCACCCTTCTCCACACCACAATCTGGATCGCGCGCCAGTGAATCGAACGATGGGCTCAGAGAGCGTCGGTCACGATGAACGCGTCGACCAGTCTTGTACTGTCCTGGACGATGGAGCGTGGGCGGTGGACACTATTAGTACATCGCTGCTCCCTAGTGTACCATAGAACTCGAGCCTGCTGGTAGAAATGACAGTCTCGATGATCGTAGCCGCTGGTGGCGCCAGCGTTGCTGCCCAGGTGCTTGATACGCTTGGTATCCGGATGAGCGTGTCTATGTATCCGGATGCTACACACCAGCAGGGCATCATTTCGGAAGATGGCGGCTGCATCCGTGGGCAGTTCGATCAGCGATGAGAGCGCCATGAGCTTGAACGAAGCGCAGCTCATCCTTGAGGACATCGCGCGCGAGTACTCGGCGAAGCGCGCCGTGGGTCTCGTGCCCTCCAAGCCCGTGCCGGCGCGGGCGCTGCTCTGGGAAGAGATGGCCCGCAGCAAGAGCAAGACGGGCGCTCGGAAGGGGTGCCTCTTTGGCCGCGACACAGACCACAAGTGCGACTGCGTCTCGTACGTCCCGTCGTATGTGGACAAGGAGTCGATTGTTTGCTCGGGCTGTGGTCATGGCGCGCCGTGGCACAAGATTGTGGGCGGCGAGCGCGTCACCATGTCCATTGTGGAGAGCATGAACCACGACGAGAACCACAGCGAGCTCTACAGTCTCTATAGCGAGTACGGCTCCGAGTACTATGGCTCCGAGTGCGACGACGATGACGACGAGGACGATGAGGACGACGACGACGACATCAACAACGAGATTGCGCGCCCACTCCAGGCGCTGCCGCCACAGCCCGCGTCGCACCGCGGCTCCCGCACTTCGATCCAGTCGCGAGCAACGTCGTCGTCGTTTGGCATGGGCTCGACAAGCTTTGGCCGGAGCAACCTCCGATCGGGTGGCGCCAACCTCGGCTCGATCCTTCAAACCGTCAACCAGATGCAACGCGACGGGCTCACGGAGGACGAGATCGAGGCCGCGCTGCGCGTCCACCAAGTCGCGTCCAGCAACGACTCGTCCGTGCTCTACTCCAACATCTCGACTTTGTAAATCCGCGTCATGAAGCCACGAAATGGGATATTTAACATGGAATTCTGTGACTTAATAAGTAAGCTGCCGCAGTCGGTCGAGGTGGCAACGAAGGTAGCTATTGAACAAACTAATAGGTGGGCTGGATCTTCTTGACTTCGGCAAGGATCTCGTCGTAGCTTTCCTGGACGTTGAAGCCCTGCTTGCCCGGCGTGACCATGATGCAGCTCGTGGGGCGCTTTGAGGCCGCCGACGCGCCGAGGTCGACCTTGGACGGCGTGAAGACGTACGCGATGTCGTTGTTTTCGCAGAGCACGGGGATGTGCGAGATGACATCGATGGGCGAGATGTCGCCGGCGATGATGCACATGCCCTTCTCGCCCTTGCGGATGGCCTTGACGACCTCCTTGACGCCACGCTTGGTGCACTTGACCTTGGTCGACTTCTTGATGAGCTTGTACACCTTCTTGGTGAGCTTCTTGTTGGCGAGCGGGTTCGCGATGATGCTAACGTGCTTGACGCGCTCCTCGTACGTCACGCCCTTGGCCTCTTCCGTGTCGCTCATCTCAATATCGATTTTGCTTTGGTCTTGGAGCCTCCACGCCACAGCGCCCACCCAACCACCAACCAACCGCCATCTTTCGTTTGATTGGTTATACACACTATTTCATTTTTGGAAGGTTACGTTGGGTTTTAGTGTATATGAAACGCATCTTGTAGGTTTTGTATGGCATACGAAAAGCAAGCATATAATTGAGAGCCATGAAGCCCTTGCACCACAGAGTTTCACGCGGGTCGACAATACTAGAATCGATATTGTAGCTTGCTGCGTCTTATGACTATAGCAGGACGTTCTACCGCGCACATAACGACTGTACCCCGCTCCGTGCCCCGGCACCGTAATGAGCAAGATAGTGCTTCGATGATGGAAGTAATACCACGGCGCATCGGCGACATGGGCGGCGTCTTGCAGCTCATCGCTCGCACTCTGCACTATGACCATCGCGTGGTCGTCGTCGATTTGTTCTAGCGTCGACGACTACAGTGCATTTCTGAGCACGACAACGACACGGACAGATGCTTGCATGTGGCCACTTGCCAATGATGGCCGCACTTGCCGGCGCTGGACGAGATGCACGCGATCACATCCGTACTATGCAATGTGCAGGGCTAGCTTTGCATCATCCTTGTAGTGCGCCATCTAGCTTCTTGACGATCAAATGGAGGTGGCAAGGATGCATCTGCGCGCGGTGAAGCCTCCGAGGTGGGTACCTTGAAACGGCTCGCGCCAAGTTAGGCACGAACATATCGTCAAAATACATGGTATTCCCAGTGTACGGACTTTCTACCCTTGTTACTGCAAAGGCGGTGTCTGAGTTGCGCGCCGCGTTCCATTCTGGCCAAGGTGGATGATGAACTGACGCGCGTGGGTGTCCACGTGGCAGCTTGGCGGCAGAGAGCTCGACCGACGAGCAGCTTGCCGTGGCAAAATTTCAGAGTACGATGATGCATTCTCAACTGGCTTTTAAAGATTGCCACTTGAAGCCGCACCATTGGTGTGGCCTGCACGCTTGCACCACCCTTGCCGAACTCGGTCACTCGTCCCTTCCCTCTTTCTGCATCGACGAGCCGTGTCGTTCGCCGTCTATTTGTCGCACGAACCCGATGTGCAATAGTTGACGTCCGATAGGTGCGTTGCATGTCCAGCGACATCGAGCTGGTTTTGGCGGCAACGTTCGCGCCAAGGACCGGCGTCAGCATCACCAGGTGTCCTGCCGGTTCGCCCCTTCTACCTCGGCATTTGTATGCAAGGGACCTTTGCTAGAATACAAATGACGAGGCACGGATCTCGGGCCATGGCCAATCCAAACGCTTCGTGCCAGCGCCGACATAAAAAGAAGCGCATAATACAATGCAACCCTGCCGTCCACCATACCAACAGTACGATAATTTATTAGAAATTCAATCTCGTGGACCCGCAGCCACAGGCAGCCTGTGTCCATATGCGGAATTCGGCACGTGGCGATTCGGCGCCAAAAGAAACTTGCTCATTGTATGCGGGTAGCCTTGTGACATACAAACCACAACCCAGAGCGCTAGACAGGCAGCCCATACAAAGACCAAGTGCTCGCCGGACGCGCGCGAGCGCAATTTGCGAGGTAAACACTCGTGACGAGCTATCAAATGTCAAAGGTATACGACGTGTAGCAAGGGCACCCATGATGCCCCACTCATTTCGCAAGAAGCACGCAACAGCATGATGACGGATCTCAGCTGTGTCGAGGAACTCCATGCGGTCGCGCCCACAGAGATGCTCGAGCCGGACGCCGTGCGCCGCCACCTGCGGCTGCTGCTGGCCAAGGAGGACAGCCCGCGCCCGAGCGGCTACCTCGCGTCGGTGCAGACGCAAGGCATGGTGGCGTCGTGGCGAAAGCGCATGGTCGAATGGATGCTGCACACGGGCAAGGCCTTTGAGCTCAGCGCCGACACGGTCGAGTGCGCGATCCACTGTATGGACGTCTACTTGGCCGCGCTCTCGGTCGACAAGATTGTGCTGCAACTCGTGTCCATGGTCGCCATGTACGTCGCGTCCAAGATGCACGAGCCGCGCCCGATCCTTATGGAAGAGATGGAGCTCCTTTGCCAGCACAAGTACCCGCGCAGCGAAATCATCCTCATGGAGAAGCAGCTCCTCCACGTGCTCAAGTGGCGCCTCAACCCCGCGACGCCGATTGCGTTTCTTCGGGACCTCCTCACCTTCGAGTCGGTGCCGTCCATCCAAGCGCATCTCGAAGAGGCGGCCATGGAGCTCCTTGAAGAGTGCGCGATCGACTACGAGTACCTCGTGTTCCCGAGCTCGGTCGTCGCTGCCGCCGCCCTTGAAGTCGTGTGCGCCACCCAATTTGGCTGCGCGAGCCCCCTCGCCGCATATGCACTCGACACGCTCGGCGTCGACGCAGCTGCTTTCAAGGACTGCGTCGCCCGCATGATGACGCTGTACGCGCCTGCCGACGTCGAGCCCGAGCTCGCAACCCTCGTGTACGAGGCCAAGAACGACGTGGTGGCCGAGGATTGCAAGCCTCGGAGTGCGAGCCCGACGTCCATCGACAGCCCCGGGCGCGTCGAAAAGAAGCGTCGGCGCGACGACGATGACAACGAGGAGGCCGTCGCCGCGTCGCCCCGAAAGAAGCAGCGGGCGACTGCTTAGATGTGTACATCGTCGCTTTTTATTAGAGTCTAGATCCGTTCATGTGTCCGGCTGCGTAACCCAAGCCAACTCATACAAGCTTATTTATCAACTACGATCTTATCTTCTCGGTAGCACCATTGGCGTCAACGAACAACCATCATCCGCTGTCCCATATATGGCTACTGCATCTGGTCATGGCAAGCCAACTCTGAGGTTGAAGCGGACGTCAGTTATTACCGCTCTCGGTGCAAATAATACCAGAAACGACCAGTCCCTTCGGCGCCGCCATGGCCTCGAGGAAGACCACGGCGCATGCGATCGCACAAGACGAGTGCGATGGCGACGACAACAACAACAATGCAAAGACGAGTTGCACCGAGCCCCGCAAGGTCATCATGCCCAAGCCATGCCCCGACCTCCGCGTCCGGACCGGCGGCTTCCAAAAGATCGAAGAGCGAACATGGAACGTCATGCGGTCCCGGCGCACGATGACCAAGCAGGCGGCGACGCCCGAGCCGCTGAACAACGACGACTAAGATGACACTAAGATGCATGAAGTGGCGTCGAATCGCTTGCATGATCATGCTGCTTCGTCGGCTGGAGCGGCCTGCTTCCGCCATGCTCTTTTCAACAATACTGGCCAATGGAGGCCGCGTATTTTCTAAATAATGGACCAATCGCAGACGTCTGTATCGTATTTTGACCAATCAATGGGATGCGTCGGGTGCGGAATACAACCAATAAGCGGCGACAGTCTTGGCGGGCTCACAATTCGATACTGAGGTGGCCGCCGCCAGTAGCGCGAGTCCGTGATCTCGCGACCAAGTATGGAGAAGAAGATGGAGAAGATGATCCACAACAACATGCAGCTCCTCGGCAACCGCATCCCGAAGGCGAAGCGCGCCCAGACGATCCTGGACATGGCCCGGATCCAGCACGAGAAGAAGCGACAGCGCGTGATCGAGGAGGACGAGGATGACGACGACGTGCCAATTCTTCTACCCGGCAGCCGAACGCCGACGCCAGTAGCGCAAACAAACGTCGCCCGCGCCTCGCCTCTGGAAGGCCACGTTGACGCAGCCTCGACGCCGACTGCGGTACGACCTACTGCTGAGGCGCACATGTGGCTCATTGTATCTTGGTAGAGCAAGCCTGCGATCCGCGCCGGTAAGCCTCATTTCTCTCGTCTTGAAGCACTTGGCCCACACGACGAAGCAGTGAGCGTGCTCGCGCGGCTGCCGTCGCCCGCGGTCGCCCAGTCACCGAGTCGTCCTCGCCCCCCCATTCTCCTCCACAACCGTGCATCAGCGACTGCGGTGACGCCGCTCGCATCACCCGCCGTGCGGTCGCCCGAAGGTACGCAATGCTACACGATTCAACTGCGAACGGATGCACGCTAGTGACGCTTCTTCGGGTGGAATCGGCGCCACCAGTTGCCTCAGCCGCGCCACCAGCTGTGCCACAAACACCAGTTCTTGAGCGCGTCTCGTCGCCGCCAGCCAAGAAGCCCAAGAAGGCGCTCTCTACGCTCTCGTCGAGCTTCAAGAGCATGTGCTTTTCGACCGAAGACCCGGCGACCTCGATCGATGTGACGCCGGACGGCCAGTGTATCATCATCGCCTTCTCCAACGGCTCGGTGCGCCTCTTTGATATCAACAGCTCGTGCACGGAAGAGCGGTAAGTATCTTGCCGCGGAAGTGACATCTGAGGATGTGTTGCAGGTATGGCTATCTTCTCGGACACCTCGACGAAGAGCTCAACCAGCAAATGACGCCGGCGACGGTCCGGCTCAAGGTGACGCCGGACGGGTCCTACTGTTTCGTGGGCTGTCGCGGCACGTCGCCCAAGACCGTCATGGCCATCCACTTGGACCGCTTCCGCCACCACAAGAGTATGGACTTTCAACGCGTTCTATCAACTTGATATTGATGTGCTTGGGATAGGCAGCGAAGACGAGACCAATTTGCTCAAATTCTTCTTCAGCGACGCCAAGTTGCGGGTGCGTGGAACTCTCCACCGTGCGTATTAGTGTGGACGACGTATGATGTCCATATTAGGGCTTTGCGGATGCATCCGACAATACGGCCACGGACCCGCAGAAGAAATCGTACTTTCTACTCTTTGGCCTCGGCGTGCAAAATTTCCGGCTCTGGAAGTTTGAACAGGCCGAGAACCGCCGGCCCATGTGGACGTACCTTCGCCAGTTCAACTCTGCGAGGTAGATGGTCTCGAAATGGCTCTCGGTAGCAAGAGCACCTTTTGTAGCAACACGGCCATGCACGCAGCCTTCTTCTCTGCGTCGTCGGCCGGCCTCTCGTTTGCTGGCGTCGGCCTGGACAGCAACCTCCGCATCTTTACGTTCACAACCGACTCGGCGCTCATCGAGGGCGGCGAGACAAGCCAAGTTGTGGTCCCCAACACCAAGGTACCCACGTCCATATCTTGCACGCACGGATGGATGATCCGATATGTATAGGACATTACGTACATCAAGGGCCAGTACGCGTACGGCTACACCAACGTGGGTGGCTTTTACCGCCACTCGCTCCTCGGTATGGACACGACGCATCCATATATCACGACGTAGCGATGGTGTATCGTAGAACCATCGGCGCCGCGGCAAGAGTTTTTGCTCAACGTGGATGCGTCCAACGCGCGGTCCCGCGGCGCGGGCATCGTCGACCACATTTACGCGACCGAGGTCCGTCTCGACCCATATCGGGTTTGGTTGGATATGGATGCATATGGTAGAATGGCAACCACGTCTTGGCGCTGGCCGATGGCACCGTCTACTACTGCAACCCGTCCGTGTCCATGTCGCTGCACATGATCGGATCCACGATTGCACCGGGCTTGGTCCAAAAATATGGGATTCCCGCGGCCATCTACGTGCCGATGACGGCCCAGTCGATCCAAGAGCCGGTGGTTGCGGTCACGTCCAACTGCGAAGACGACCGCGACGGCTTCTTCACCGTGGATCCGGTCAAGAAGCTCGAACGCGCGCTCGAGCGCGGAAAACCATCCATCGGACTCACGTGCTGGGTGTGCCAAAGCCACACGTCGCTGCATTGGGGCGTCAAGAATAAAGCCATCAAGCAAGAGACAAGCAGCAAGGGCGGCAGTAGCAGTAGCACGAACAACAACGTCACGCCGCCGAAAGCACCGACGCCGCGCCCGCCGAAACCCGCGGCGACGTCGACGGCGTCGGCTGCACCGAGCCGCCACGAGCTCGCGACGACCGTCTCGACGCTGACCAAAGAGCTCGCCAACGCCCAGAAGCGAGTGACGCAAGTGAAGAACGAAGCTGACCGCCGCCTCCGCGCCGAGCTCCAGCTGCGCCGGACGTGGAAGGCGCAGACACTCGAGTACGAAGAGAAAATCGACAAAGGTGCTATCTACATCGCACCGTCGTCGTTTCGATCGAACTTTTTTGCTAGCGCAAACCGCTGCCGACGTGAGCCACGCCAAGGTGACGGCGCTGCGTCAAAAGCTCGCCGAAGTCGAAGCCAAGGTCGCGCACGAGGCGCTGCGGGCAGAACAAGAGGCAGGTGTCCGGCTGCAGTACGAGCAGCTCTGCGTGCAAGTCAAGGCCAAGATCGCCCAGGCCGAAGCGCAGCAAAAGGTCCTCGAGCAAACGACCAAGACGCTGATCCGCGAGATCGACCGCAACGTCCAGTCGCTCAAGGTACACACACCATCGAGTTCTTAGCTCATAAGTCGTGGGAATGTAGGCGGACACGGCCGAGACGGTCGCGGCCATGGGCAGCGCAAGCCACGGACCCGAATGCGTCATTTGCCGCGACAAGACAGCGAACATGGCCGTATATCCCTGCGGCCACCTCTGCTTTTGCCAAGAGGATGGCGAGCGCTACCAGGCGCACGCGATCCACTCCAAGAACTGCCCCGTGTGCCAAGTCGAAGTCATTTCGCTCCTCCGCGTCTACGCCCCTTGAATCCATCGATACCGTCTCCCGCCCGCTTAATATATACTAGTTGTTATTGCCACACCGTTCTTATCTTTCTTAGCTACAGCAGTCCATCGGTCGATAGATATCCTTGAGTCCTCGAAGGCGCGCTAGCGGATGTCGGAGCTCACTTCAAGTTTCTTTCTCAAGTCGCGCCACCGCTCAACATGCACACGTCTTCGAGAAGAGGTCGTCGACCACGCCCCGCCCATAGCTTTCAGCAATTCAAGGAGGCTGTACATTGCTGTTGCACCCACAACGCCAACTTGGCAACAACCATCAAGTATCGGCATGGTAGAGACGCAAACAACAATTGAGTGGTTTTATTCCGTAGTGTCTAGCCTGGTCTTGGTCGATGACTAAAAGTACAAGCCCGGCGACTGGGTCGTCGCCCACTGCGCCGTGCGGAGAGCACCGAGCGCAAACACCTCACGGCGCGTCGCAACGTGCTTGATCTCGATGCGCTCGCCAGGGCCGGCAAAGTAGACGGTGTGCGTGCCAATCTCGTCGCCGAGGCGGAGGCTTTCGCAGCTCACGGTCTCAAAGACGCCGGTCGCCTTGACAGCCGCCGAGAGCGTCTTGCCCGTGCCGCTGGGTGCGTCGAGCTTCTTCGTGTGGTGCACCTCGAGCACCTGCGTGTTCCACGAGCCGTCCTTGGGCAGAGCGTGCGCGGCCGACGCCGCCAGGTCCGCGACCAGCGGGACACCGATCGAAAAGTTGCTCTTGATGACGACCGGCGCGCGCTCGGCGTACTTGCGCAGGAGGTCCATCGGCAAGCTGCCGGTCGTGCCAATCACAAGCGCCGGCGACGACGTCCCCGCAAGGAGCTTGGTCACGAGCGCAGCCGTGCCTGCTGGCAACGTCACGTCAATCACCACCTAGTATCAATGTATCAAGGTTGGCCTTTCCGGGGGATGAGAGGTGTACCTGCGCCGAGGCGGGGAGCGGCGCCGGCGTCCGGACGTCAATGGTCGACGCTGTGAACGCTGTCGTGTCCTTGGCGAGCTCGGCCGCAATCAAGTTGCCGAGACGTCCCTTGGCCCCGTGGAGGGCAATTGAAAGCGATTTCGACGACGTCGACGCGGCGGCCAGTGGTGCCGTCGACGCTTTGAGCGCCTGGTACTCGGTGATGGCGGCGGCGAGGCGGTCGGCCCCGAGCACCATCTCGTCGGCCGTGTACCACGAGAAACTCAAGCGCAAAAAGTTGGTCATGGACGCGCCAAACGACGAGCCCGGCAAGAAAAGCACCTTGTGCTTCTCGGCGATCGGGAGGAGCTCCGAGGCGAGGAGGCCCTTCGGGAGCTTGACGAGGATAAAGTAGCCGCCGTCTGGGCGCTCAAACGTCGTGCCCGCCGGAAGCTTGGCCGAGAGCGCCTTCATGAGCGTGTCGGCGCGCGACCAGAGCGTCGCAGTCGTCCAGTCGAGGTGCGTTTGCTGGCCACCCGACGTGATCGCCGCATGGACAATACCCTGGACGACGGGGTTGATGCCGCCGCTGCTGTCGAGCTGTCCGGACGCGATCAGCGGCTGGAGAAGCTTCGTCGACGCTTGGATCCACCCGAGGCGGAGCGCCGGCGCGAGGATCTTGGAGAACGACCCGAGCGCAAACACCGTGCCGTACTTGTCAAAGGTAAACATGGGCGGCGGCGGCGTAATGTGCGGGAACGAGAGCAGCTGGTAGACCTCGTCGGCGAGGATCATGAAGCCGTACTCGTGGCTGAGCTCGACGAGACGCGCGCGCTTGGCGACGCTCATGGTGCGGCCCGTCGGGTTGTGGCACGTCGGGATCGTGTAGAGCGCCTTGGGCACGACGCCCGACTTGAGGAGCGCCTCGAGTTTGTCGACGTTGAGGCCGTCTTCCTCCATTTCGATCTGGCGAATGTTCATCTTGAAGTCCTTCATGATGCTCAGCGCCAAGAAATACGACGGCTCCTCAAGGAAGACGAGGTCGCCCGACTTGAGGTAGATGGAGCAGAGGAGCGCGAGGCCGCCCGTGACACCGTTCGTGATGAAGAGCTGCTCCGGGTCGACAGGTGCCTGGTACCCTTTCGAGAGAAAGGTCGCAAGCGACGCTCGGAACTTGGGGTAGCCCTGGATGTGGCCGTACTGGAGGAACATCGGATCCGACTCGGTGAACTTGGCGGCCGCGCTCTCGCGGATGAGCTGCAGCGGCAGCATCGTCTCGGCGGGCTGGCCCACTTTGAAGTTGATCATGACGTCCGCCGTCGGGACGATGTATTGGCCGTAGTCGCCCATCCTCAGAGATTTCGAAAATGCAAACTGGGAACCGTCCGAAGCTTGGATCGCGACATGTTGAAGATTGTATGCTATACAAAGGTTAAGTGAATGAAAGCAGCCCCGCGATTGGCCCGTACGTGGCAAGACCACAGGATTCTTCCCGCGACCGTGTGGCGACCTCGAAGGTGCTTGAGCAATCGGTGCGTCGTTGAAGTCGTCACATGGATACCGACTGCCGATCACATACGACTTCGGACAAGTTAGTGTAGCCAGTCCTGTACTACTACTACTCGTACTCGATAAGTGAACGGCAACAGGAATCTCATCCTGGCGCTTCAATTTGACACTTGCACGTGGCCGAGCACGAAGCGAGAGGCAGATTCAAGCATTCGGGCTACCAAGGGCATGCAATAGCCTCTTTCCTTCGTCAGTAAGAACGTCCTTGGTATTCTGGTGGCATACCAGCCTGCAAGGAATTTATTCGTAGTATTTCATGCCATTTCAAGTCCTTGGGTATACGATCAACTCGGATCAGTGCACGGGGCAGGCAAATAAGGTTCGCGTTGTTGATCATTGCGCCGTACCACGCGACGAAAGCAGACTACAGGAGGACAGGAAACGTTATGCGAGCCAATCATGGATCGCCACGTCATGACGGGCGCTCCGTCGCACGCGCGCTGCTATCAATATTGTACAACGCGAGAGAGTTGCCTGTAGCCGTCTGTGCTAGTGCGTAGGCAAATAGCATTTCTCAGACTGACATTGGTGAGTGAGGACAAGGAAACCATTTCTCAGACTGGTAGAATTGGGAAAGCCAAGAGAACCTGCAGAGGCACCAAAGGGATGGCTCGAGCGGCGTGCGTAGGACGTGCATGGATTTCGGACCTTGCGGATCGCCACATGCAATGCCTCATGCCGCGTGTAGTTCGTGCACGACACATTCCAATGGCTCGGATGCCGTGGTATCCAAATTCGTGAGAAGGCTCAAGCGTAGCCGTTCAACGAGCTTTCCGTCGCAGTAGCAGAGCAAGAAGCAGTCGGTGCCGCGCAAGCTAATGGTCGGACAGCGCTTGAGACGCGGGTGGCTGTTCATTGCGCTGTAGACTGAATCGCCACGCACCGTAAGCTGCGGTGCAACGCGAAGCTAGGAGGGTGTTAGGGTGGTTAGGAAGACCGGGCGACGCGGAACAACGCAACGTTCTTGACGTTGTTGAAGCGAAACGGGCTGAAGTTGACCTTTGCGCGCCGACGACACCAGCCGCGTCCTATGCTTCAGAACTCGCCCACGTGTACAGCACTGCAGCGTACTAGTACAGGCAATCAAACCATAGACCAGAGGGAAACAGGCCGTCAGTAGCCCCATGGCAATGCTCAGAACTGCGCCATCTGCTTCGTGATTGCGGCGATTCCCGGCACAAGACAGTAGAACATCCACGGATAGACGCGCACGATTGCAGCAACATGACCGGTAATGGACGCGATGATCGGGGCGTGGACGACGACGGCGATCACAAGAAGTGTCGGGTCGACTTCGGCAAAAAGACGTGCTGCTTCTTGCAGCAATTGAGCAGTGTGTGTACCTTGCCACGGCAAGTGCTCGGAGAGGTACGCCGCTAGTGGCTATGTAAGAGGTTGCGTCAACCGTAGAGAAAAGCCGTCCAGAGCCTACGAACGAGGAGACGTGGCAGAGCAAGATGATGCTCGCAATGAGGCCGAAGCAGTGTCGACGTATGCGGTAGCTGCACTTGGGTACGTGCGCGGCAGCAATTCTGGCGCGCCGCATCGCTCTATCATGGGTCGACACCAAAGTGCCTGGGCTATCGACGAAGCGTGCTAGTCGATCGGTAGACGAATCAATAGAGTTGACTATTGAGTCAACCATTTTCGTACACTATGTACCAGCTACAACAACGACGCAAGATTTCGCGCGCCGGGTGCTTCCCGCGCCGACGCGTAGCACACGCGCAGTCCTTCAATTTCGCTCGGAATCCGATCCGTCGCGACCGTTGCTGGCGGTGTCAGAATGACGTAGACCGAGTCAAAGCCGGCGAGGTGCGGGTTGCTCGAAATGACATTGTGGAGCTCTTGGATCGCGTCCCAGGGCAGTTGGCGCACCGGCGTGACCGCCATTCGCAGGTAGTAGACGCACTTGTCTTGCACGCAAATCGCATCGACACCTGGCAACAGCACGTAATAGTTGGGCGCCCAGTACGACTTGTCGATCCATCTCGTCCCGAGGCAGCTGAGGTAGTTTGCCTTGGACGCATCGTACAGTGCAGGATTGAACCGTGCAGTGACCACCAGAGACGTCGCTTCGCCCGAGAGCACGAGCTGCAAAACGCCTTCAAACGCGAGCTTGTGGATCGTCGCTTCGTAGAGCGACTTGTAAAGCGCCGTGTACGTCGTCGTCTCGACCCATCGGAGCGCGTCAGCAACGGCATCGATGCGCTCCTTGGCGATCCAGTGCCGCTGGACGACGCCGGCGTCCAAGACGCGTTGGCCTCGGTCGAGGTAGCACTTGTACTGGTCAATGTCTTGAATGTACGTGCGTCGAATCTCGTCTTCGTCAGTGAGCGCACTCGGACATCTGCTCAACCTCTGGACATGAGATACCAGTGCAAGCAGCCGCCAGCAAGCACGTAGCGCTCCTCAAACGTGCTCACGACCTCCTTGTAGATGCTACACGCGTCACGAAGTGCGTCCTTGGACCACGCGGGAAGAACCAGTGGTACGCGCTTGTCGTCGTCCTTGATGCGGTACTGCGCCGACGTCGAGATAATTTGGCACAAAGCGACGGTTCTGGTCAATGCATCCTTGGTCTGGAAGTCCGACTCGAGATAGCCGTCGCCAACGACGAGGAGCGTTTTTCCTTGAGCTCGGGTCTCCGCCGCGATCGCCCCGAGGAGGTTTGATAAGTCCGCTCGCTTCAAGCCGGGGTGCTTGGTCACGTGCCCACCGCGGAACCAAAAGACGGCGTCGCGCAGCGTGGTGCCATTCAAGACGTTGGAGTTGACGTTCTGCACGCGGCGCGTAAAGAAAATGTTGACGTCGTGGTACACGCCGAGGTAGGCGTAAAAGAGAGCGAGAAGCACCGACTTGCCAATGCCTGGCGACCCCGTGAGGAGCAGAGGCAGCCACAACGCGTCGGTCGTATCGCGCGGGGTGCGGCCATCGTCTGCGTCCAGAAACATGTCTGGACGACGTTTGCGTTCAAGCGCAGCAAGCACAGCGCTGTCGTCAGCATTAGCAGCGTAAAGTTGAC